GCAAACATGACAACGAAGACATATTGCAGCAGGAGGGGCGTGTCATGCTTCCGCAAAAAGTATGAGATTTTTTAAGACAAAAGGATTTTTCTTGATTTTTCTTTGAAACATAAATATTTTATGATGATTAAATGAAATTTAATCAGAGTTATTGTCACGAGGGGCTTTTAAGCGTCAACTAGATCGCTTGAGATTGTTGTTATTACTTATTCGTTATGTTTTCTTGTGCCACGCTTCCTCGTGTTTTCCTTGTACCTGCTCTACAAGTTTAGGGGCAATGCGGGAGTTCTTCGGCCTCCTGAGGATTTGATTTGTTAAACTAGGGTTAGATGTGTGTTTCGTGGCGTTTTTATTCCCTTGATTAATCTAAGGGTATTTAAGGTTTTGGCAAAGCGTGGGTCTCATCTTGCTTGGTGAAGCGACAATACAACTAGGCAGAAATTAAAAGCTGGAATGGCACCGACTGTACATGCAAAATATGTAGGACGTTCGTGTCACAGCTTGGTTTTTTGTAATTCTATCGTTTTGAACAGCTTAGATTTTTATAGTACTACCTTCTAAATTCTGTTTTTAATGGATTATTATGTATATAAAATTTTATGTATTTAATTTCGTATGTATATATTTGATGAAGTAGTTTTAACAGTTGGCTTGAATTAGCTCATTTCACTGTAAATAGCTATATAGCGCCAACTGTAAATAAATTGATTATTAGCATTATTATCATTATTATCATTTATTATTATTATTATCATTAATTATTATTATTATTATCATTAATTATTATTATTATTATTATTATTGCTATTACCGTACTACCTATTACATTTTCTGCCGCAGAAATAAATCTTGGAATAATCCTGAACTTCTTCAATTCTAATGATCTCTACTACTGACGACTTCTAAAACAAGCAATGACGAACACACTTTTTCCTTTTTTTTGTTAATTTCTTTTGTTTGTGCTTGTAATAGTCTTTTTCTTTGTAAACCCAGGCTAGCCAATTGCAAATTACCTTTGTAACAGTAAAATTTGTAATTGTAGTTTTAATTGAATTGAAAATGGAAAGTTTCCATTATTATTATTAATCTTTCTATCAGTTCCCTAGGTATCTTTGGTCTCTCCTGCTCCTCTTTCATAGACATGTACAACGCTCCAGATATCAGCGAGAATCATCTCCGCTTCATGATCTCCAAACTATCCAACTTAACTATCCGTACTACCTATTACATTTTCTGCCGCAGAAATAAGTTTTGGGATAATTCTGAACTTCTTCAATTCTAATGATTTCTTCTACTGACAACTTTTAAACAAAGTCGAATACCTTTTTTTCCTTAATTTATTTTGTTTGTGCTTGTCATAGTCTTTTTCTTTGTAAACCCAGGCTAGCCAATTTCAAATTACCTTTGAAATAGTGGAATTTGTAATTATAGTTTTAATTAAATTAGAAATGAAAAGTTTCCTTTTTTATTATGGTAGGTTGAGCGATTTGCGCCGATGCACCAACGACCCAACTCGCTCTCGATGATGTGGGAACGTAGCCTCATGACTGATCTTTCTGATTTCAATGGCAGTTTTTCTGAGGGAACTTTATGCCCTTTTTATTGCATTGGTATTTCATTCCCGAGTTAGTAAATTAATGCCAATTAACATTTTTTTGAGTGATATACCCCTTTTGCCGCACATATGATCTTGGGGCCCCGAAAAGGACCCAGCTATCTTTTAAAATAGCTTTTTGTGAGTATTTGTCATATCTGCAACGCTATTGGAACGATGGGCGACACCACTCCAATCAATTTTGTAGGTTATTATTGTAATATTTGTGTCTCTATGTTAAGTGTAAGTCTTAGGGTTGTTATGCATTTCCATGCTCCCTAGGCTTTTGGATTGTAATTGATTGTCGTTGTAAATTTTATGAGAATATAAAAAAAGGACCCAGCAATTGAAAGTAGCTTTTTAGCCATTTCCATGTAAATTGTGGTGTTTCCCAAAGTACAGTGCTAGGTCACATCTAATTTATCATCCACTTAAAAGAACCTCCTATTGCAAGATGTCTCTGATATATATCTTTTTGCTGAAAAAAATCCATTGTTTTGCTAATTGAACTCGTGTATAACAGTGAAAATCGCAGCCACTTTCCAGCTGCTTCGGGGAAAGTTGTGAAGACGGACAATGAAAAAAACACTGCATATAGCGAAGTCGCAAATGGATTCAAAATCTGTTTTAACAATCTGCAAATGCATGAAATATCGCTCGTTTCTGAAATTTCTGCCAACGTGCTAGAATCTGTCAGTTAAAGGCAGCTGGTTAGGTACCCTGGGTACCAGACTTTCTATTATTTCTGTATATAGTGGGTCTGGTACCCAGGGTACTGGTTAGGTTACCCATTCTCCTTTTCTAAAACGCGTAGATGCAGCGAAATTAGCAGGTATCAAAGTAATGTGTTTTGCTGAAAATCTTAGCACCTTCAAAGATTTTTGTTTATCAATTTCGAAGGGTTTGATGAAAATAAAGATAACAACGGTTGTTGATGTTATTTATCCATTTGAATTCGATGTTTACATAGCTAGCAATATATGCAATAATCCCGCGCATTTTTAAAAAGTCATAATTCAAATCATTTGATGCAGATCCTGGCCAGGATTCCGTGGCAAAGGAAACATTCCCTATGTATTTGTGATTGTAATTGCAACTCATTCAATAGACCCATCAGGTGTATTTGTAAGTTTGATTTTACAATAGCTCGTTGGTATAACTGTTACTGTGATATTAACAAACATTTTTTGCTACCAACAATCTCGCTACACTTTTAATGGACAATGGTATCGTGGCGTCTGAAAGAAGTAAACATGCCCATGTTCAAAATACAAAGTTTACTTCAATCAACTGGGGCGTCAGATCGGAGCCACTGAAACAGATCAGGCATCCCACAACTCCCCCTCGTCCCAAGCTTTTAAGCCTCTCTCATCTCTAGTCTTACCCAGTCCATCTCCAGCAACTTTGTCTATATTTTCCCACACGTAGATTAGGACCCACCCCGTTTTCATCCCATTGAACCCTTCCCTTCCATATTCTGCCTAAACCATTCCCAACCACTTTATCCACAGCCCCTTTTACACAAATAAGGTTCCCTACACTCTCTTCTCCTTAACCAAGTGACTCTCCCCTTCAATATCAGCGTCCAGCCATGCCCACTCCTACATACTCTATCTAGTTTTCCCGTACACTATTAAGTACTCACAACCTCTTCCCCATGGCTATTCAACACTTCCCTTTCATATCCACGCACGGCCTTGTCCAGTTCCACCCACTTTATCCATACAAACCCATTTTCAGATAAGGTACCCTACACCCTCTTTTCCCGACCCATCTGACCCTCCCTTCTCATAGCCACAACCAACCCCACCCATTCTATCTTTGTGCCCCTAGGTACAGGTTATACACCTAACACTTTCCAATTCTTCCAACTCTTCGTTGAAAATGAAAATGCACGTTCTCTTGGAACGAAGATATGGCATACAATGCCAGCTTCCTTAAAAGAGTCTCAGACATCGAATAGCTTCAAAAGAGACATTAAAAACCATCAGTTTGATTGCAACTGTAGATTGTGCCAACGATTTGTTGAAAATTTTAGGATTTTTATGACTGTAATTGATATCCTCTTTGTTGATAGATTTATCCTTGTAAGTTCTTGTTCGTCTTTAGTTTTTAGAAAGACCTCTCGGCGCTGGCTGTTTTAGCAAATATGTTTGATAAGCTCTTTACAGTTTAGGGAATGCCTTAGTCCGGTTTCATTTATGTACTGCAGCCCCATCATTGGAGTTGTACATTGCTTCAGAACGAACTTTCCCTTTTTCCCCTTTCTCGTTGTTTTTGGAGTCTTTTCCACAAAATGCTTCCTATATACTAGACAGAGTTGAGGCATTTTGCGTTAAAATCTGGAGTGCTGTTGAAACAATTCCCCTAATGACTGAAGTATAAAAGTTAGAAATTTTTATGAAAATGACAAAATAGCAAGTGCCAGATCTTGCCGAATGTCAATTTTGCCGACTTTTGGACAACAGGGGGCAACTTCCCCCCTTGCCCCCCTTAATAACCGCCACTGCCTTTTTAAATATTTATCATGATCACCAAAGTGTATTTAAGTTTTGGTTGGCATAATTAGCAAATTTTTTAGGTAGACGAGAAGCCAACCTAAAATAAAGCAATTATTATATTATTTATATTATACTCTTTATCTCCTCGTCTTTTTTTCTATTTTGGATATAACATGTTTGTTGACACATTGACTTTTTAGTTTCTCATTCTTATGTCTATAAAAACCAATGGTAATTTCTATTGCCTCAATAATAATTTAATAATACAAAAATGATAATAATAAACTTAAATAAATTGATATTGTTTGCATATTTTAGACTGAAATAATACAAAAAGTGTAACTGACTACCTACTGAAAAGACCTACCTTACTGCCTTGAAAAAGCCCGTTAATGACGTCACAATAGGCAAGAATTGTGGTTTTATATTTGAGGTTCGTTAGATTTTTGATGAATTTTCCTGCACGTACTGTCAGCTTTGGATGTGATTTCTTTGAAGAGTTATCAGTTTGCAAATATCTCCGTCACTTTTCTCGCAGCAGCTTTTCAAGGATTTCAAGGATTCAAAAACTAGAGTTTAAGAGTCAGTGGCTAGGCCTATGTGAATATTCAAAATTTTTGTCGTGTAAGGACGTGCCTTTCTTTACAATAATCTCCCTTATCAAGGACCACAATTTAATTACGATTGCACTTGTTGGTATGTTGTTAAATAGGTTTCAGAAAAACATGACAATACTCCTGCATTCTATATAAGGAACTTTATAAGAAAGCATGTAGGTTCCTTATAAAATGGTCCCTTATAAAGAAATCATGTAATTTCATTTGTACCAGTAGCTGTGATGATGTCATGCTGCTTGGTCTTTGGGAGAAGTCGCCTTGTTATGTGGTTCATTGTTTATGTGATCGCTCGTCTAGCAGTCGTTGTTGAGCACTGGTGTTGAGGCGCGACCTTACTGGTGGGATCATGGAATATAATATGAAGGCAGTTCAAGTTTAATTGATAAGGCTAGGCTACCGAAATGCTTCACTGGAAGTGTGTTTGGTCTTTGTATGAGCCAGCTGTTAGGTCATGTAAAGACTTGAATGGCCGTGGATGGTGAACATTTCCAGATATTCCGAGTTAATTTCCATTGAACCTGTATTCCATTGAGGCCTTATGAAGCCTCTAACTCCATATGCAGAGAGGAAGAGCTGAAGTTGCAGTTGTTTGAGTTTCTGCTTGTGTAAAAGAAGAATATAAGATAGACAAAGCATTCGGGGGATCTCATATGGATAAAGCCATTGCTCAAAACCACTTAGGAGAAACAGCTTTGATTGGTAGTTACCGCTGCTGGAGTCTCTCAGCGTTTGGAAATGTTATTTAAAAAGAACTTGCTAAACTCACTTATATTGGCTGTGCTCTTCATTTCACTTCTTTGTTTCATGGCATCCTTTTCAAAAAGTAGGGGAAAAAGTGGAGAGCAAATCAAAAAGAAAGAAGAACGTCTCGATTTTGAAGTCGACTACATGTTTGAGTGAGTGAGGCCTTCACCTCTTCATGTTTTGAGCGGTATACAAGAAACCCTTATAAAAGTAAAGGAAGATGATTTATTAAACATGGAGCAAAAATATTTATGTGCGTACACACGGACGTGATTTGCCTTCTCGCGAAAGTCGTGTCGTTCTGTCCCAATCAGAATGAAATAAAAGAGTCCAATAAACAAGTTATCTACTTAGGGTACATTTATACCATTAAATTAAGGCTTAAAAACACTATTTCATCATGCATATGCCTATAGAGCAAGGAAGGAACAAATTTACAATTTCAGAAGTAAACTTCAAAGCGTTCACAAATTTTTCGGCACTGGCGGTGATATTTTCCAAAATAATTGAACTTTTTTTACAAACACACAAAAACTCAAGATGCAGCATGTTGGAAATTTCTCACGCTCGTTAATTAAAATATGGAACATAGCTTCGTATTTTTTCCTTACCCAATATGTTATTTTGATTAAATTTCCTTTTCATGTACAAAAAATGCCAAAGCGATTTAAAAACGGGGAAAGAAGCAACTAATTAAACTCGTAGCCAACTTAGCTACTTTAATTAAAAGCTCTCTTTGTCTCTACTGCATTTCCTAAAAGGTATTTTGGTTTTATCTTATCATTCTATTGCACCCATAATTAAGAAATACAAAAGTTAGGTCTCTTTACGGTAAAATTATGGAAGTTTAGGGATTATCCGGGTATGCCGACCAATTTCATCTTATTTTTTGAGTCGGAAAGATCAAACAATGAAAAAATCAGCGTCCCGTATAGTGCCACTTTTAAGATATGATGACTCTAAATGGAAAACTATATATTCGTAGAACTGACAATAGTTGAGGTTTACTTACACTGTAAATTTTTGTATAAAAAATCAGCGGGTAGCTTGTGGTGAACCCAAACTCCTGCACATTCCACCTCCAAGGAGGATTGGATCGCAGTCAAAATGTAACGCGGTCGATTAGGGGGGAAGGGGGTTATTGCGCGTCGTTTTGGCTGCAGCTTACAGGGACAAAGGCCCTTTCCATTGCGGCGGCAAACTCGGTTGATGATTTTTTGGGAGAATTCCTTCCCGCATGTATGCTTGTTATTAGTTTTATGCCGTATCAGCTTCATACAATGATCTATGGTATCACAAGTATAAACAAGATAGGGCCTAGAAAGCATCCTTGGAAAACCGCTATATATAACCGCAGGTTGTACCACACGATCTTAGTAAAAATTCCAATACCTGGAGTAGAATGAAGTCATAGTTCTTAACTTTTCCACACAATATCAAGCAATTAAATGTAGTAAATACGAATTCAGGAAATAAGTTGGGTCAGACTTGGACATCCCGTGAAAAATAGTTTTGCTTTTATTTCAGATTAGATAAGGACATCATCTTCACAGACAAAGCAGATTATAAACTTGCAGTTGGCTATCAGAATGCTATTTTCCAAAATGGGATAACAGTAATAGACCCTGAGGAAAAGCTGTCTAGAAGCTCACAAGCAAAAGTGATCTTGGATAGATCGAAATTCAAAGACACGGAACATACTGTCAATCAAACGGTACATCCTGTCAATCAAAGCAACACTGACGTCACGGGAAATAGTTCCTCTGACGATGAAGAAAACATCGATCAAAACCCTGTGGTGGAACAATACAAAGAAGAGATGAACGGAAAGGTCAGGTAAAATTTTGGCCGTTCTGCTGAAGCATAGTCGATAGAAAAAACTCGGGTCTGAAAGTCCTTTGTTGTATCCTTTTGTTTCGCGCGCCGACTTGAAGCCAGCCTATTCGTAGGTCACATTATCAAAATGAGTGCACAAGCAAATTTTGACAAGCCTTAAACTCAAACTCAAAGCTCAAAATATTTTTCACAGCATCAGCAGGTTAATCGAATTATACTGAAATATAAAAAGGAAAAATATTGGGTATTAATACAATGATAAGAAAACTTTGAAAGACGATATATCGTAAACTTGTTGGCTGAAGGATACAAAGAATAAACTCAAAAAGAGCTATCGAGTCAATCGAGATTTTATCTGGAGGCCATGTATCCTATTGGAGGGGTTTAGATTTAGAAGCTACTAAGATTTTGATTGAATACTTAACAAAATGTAATGACTAAAATTTGAAGTGAAAATCAGAACAAAAACAATAACAAGATGAAATAATACTAATACAGAAGTAGCGAAATAAAATAATAAAGTTATACCGCTATACCAACTGATTGTAAATCTACTGCTTTTGGAGCCACAACAGGCTCTAGCGTCCCAGCTTTTGACACGCAATCACCATTCACAGTATCAGCTGGCAGTCTACCCAGCGAATAGTTAAGATTTTATATTTTTGTCGGAAAAAACTAGACGAACTGTTAAACGACGAGATTTTTCCCGGCGTGGATGGCTTAGTATCAGAGAACTCAGTTGTGCAATTTGCAAAAAGCACTACGACAAGAAAAGTGTCTGTTTATTCAAAAAAAGCGAAGAAGAAGCAAGACATCGGTGTTGCCAGTGCAGCTGGCCTATCCGCCTATAGGATATGTCAGATATAATGAAATTAGTAAAATTTTCCCAAACTGAATTTGCAACAAAATAGCTGCTAATATTGGGTCTGCGCACAGACTACGGCCATCCAGAAGCCCAACCCGAAGCGATTTTTCATCACCAATTGCATTTTAACGGACTCTTTGAAACAATAATTAATGGAATGCTATGCAGTCTTATCGAACGGTATTGATGGCGAACAGGTTTCGTCTACCTTTTTACAGTACAGTTCTCTAGTTTGCAAACATTCTTATTCCAAGTTGTGCAGCCAGCTCTTTTAACTTCTTTTTGTTGAAAAATTTTGGAGACAAATTGTACAGCTTCGTCAGGAGACCACAGCAAGTGGCCTTAGAAAAGCCATTGCCGATGAGAGATAAAGATTTCAATTGCCTACACGTATCTATACGTATCTGGCTAGATTGAATACAGGTTTTTGAAAAAGCAAGAAAACACCCAAAATACGAATCTGACGTTAACCAGACATTAATTAGGTTGCTGGAGAGCTTCATTGAAGAACGGCCTATGTCCCAAGGACTGATAAAACCAAGAGGAGGTTTGATAAGGGCTAAAAATGAAATTGAGAAAATCTTCAAGAAAAATGAAATTGAGAAAAAATCAAGCAGAGACAGGATGTCTTTCGCAGATACACACTTTGCCATTCTTCAACCTTTCTCTGAAATTAGAATCAATTTCACGATATTTTAATAACACATCCAAGATATCTCTTCCTTTCACTCCACATTTATTAAACGCACAGCTAGCTCCAGGCATGTTAATAACATAGCATACTTGATAACCTGATGATAAGTTGAAAATACCATGTTAAAACGACACGCAAATTAGAAATTTGAACTCTACCGAGCGAAAGTTGTGCACTCCTTTTGGTCACGTGACATCGTTAGAATAAAACAAAAAGTTAGAACAACGGGCTTCCAGACCACTTCTGGCTCGAGAAGGATTTCTTGCTGCGTTAATTGCGTCCTGTTTGAAAGGAAATTTTTTTTCTCCTAACACTCATTAGCATAGCAACTAGATGTTTGAAACCCGCGGAAAGCAACACAGTTTTGAAAAAAACCTAAATTTGCAAATATGCTCTTAGGAAATCTCTTATCAGGAAATCGTTATGCGCTCACTATTTCCTAGTGTGTCTTTTTTCATAATTTTTTACGGCAACTTGTGAACTTTTATTGCGATGGTAGCTACGTTTCTGCAACGCAGCAATGATTTCTGCAACGCAGTAACGATTTCTGCAACGCAGCAATGTGATTTCTGCAACGCAGCAATGATTCTTCGCAGGATACCATAAACAAAAGAACTTGGTAGAAGTGGATTCGTCTAACTATGTCTGCTACGTATTGATTAATTCTTGCCAAAGAAATGATGCGTATGTTTTAATGGTAATAAGATGAAATTCCAGCTAACGCGAATAAGAGATTTGCAGTGATTGCATCATATACAAGGGTGACTAAGCCTTAGGTTACTCAAGATTTTTGTCGAATTTCTAAATGACCCTGCTGATTAGAAGAGAGTGTAACGTGAAGGGCTGCTTGAAACCTTCAGCTTATAAAAAAACATTCCCCATTACTTCACGACATTAAAAGCCTTTGAAGAATCCAATTCAAAGAGTGAAAGCTATGTTCACAACAGAATCTAAGGTTTTCAAGTAGGAGTGCACCTGCTCCTTAAGTGTTGTGCAACAGTGTAGCGGCAGCTGAAATAAGTTATCAACACTTAAAATAATCAGCATTTACAATAACAACGCATCTCTCAATATTTGGTAGACTTGGTCATGGTAAAGTTAAAAAATGCTAACAAGCAACAATTAAAAGTACTTTATAGTTCAAGCTACTTGTCCAGATTCTTTCTTTCGGTCTATGACAGAAATGGAACTGGAAATGGAGAAAGAGATGGAAATTATGATTTTTAAAAAAAGTATGAAGATTTGCTGATTCTATCAATGCTTTCAAGTTCAGGCTACGTAAATTGAGAAAAAGATTTTTGAGTCCTTTTTTATCTCTTAAACATCTTTTTACATCTATGCTTATACCAATTAACTAAAAGCAAGATTTACAAAACGACGATACTACAGTGAGCATGGAAATGCATAACAACCCAGAGGCAAATGTGTTAACTACCATTCACTTGACATCAGTCTAAGAATAGATGAGGGGTGGTGCAGTTTGAGGATTAAGACCTCTTAGTTATGTTATGTAATTTTGCTACAGATTTTAGTAACAAATAAAACATGAAGATATCGTAATTACAAAGCAATATAAAAATAATTCACAAAAGGGTAGGGACAAGAGTCATCAAATACGGTGCTCTGTATGGATGTATCTGGAACACCTTTTTGGTAGAATGTGACACCATTCATGCTGAAGATTTCTATGCTAGGTATAGAAAAGCTATCAAGACGTTTCACAAAAACTTATTAATCTTGCATTTTAACCGGTGGGAGGGGGCTGTGTGGCTCAGCCAACCCCCACCCCTTCTGAGACACATCTACTAAGACTTTACCTTTTCATCGTTTCCAGGTCTCCAATGTGTAACGCAAGCAAGCCTCTGGTGAATATTGTCTCGATCAAAACACACAGAACAGGAAGCTCCACTCTTGCTAACATTCTCTACAGATTTGGCGAGCAGAGAAATTTAACATTCATTCTGCCCAGTGCTTCAACATACCAGTACTTTTGGCCATTACGGTTTCACATATCTCATGCTGCAGTCAATTTGCTAAACAAGGAGCAACCAAACATGCTGGTGAATGCAGGCCGGTTTGCCAGGACGCATATCAAGCCCATGATGCATAATGATACGATGATAATTTCTATATTGAGGGATCCTGTTGACCACTTTGAATCAGTATATGAGTATGCAGATATCTCGAAGCTGATTGGTCTATCCAATTCAACGCTTGACCCATTCGAAACATTTTTAGAGGCCCCGAAAAACAACGTGATTAAGTTTGTTCAGAATTCGAGATCCTTTGCCATGGAGCTTAACTTGCTGAAAAACGGTATCGTGAACAATTAAGTTTTGCAATTTCACATAGATTAAGAACGTACTGACAGTATTTTTAGGGTGGAACCTATAATCTTTTTCTCAAAACGTTTTATTCTCTCCTACTTTAAAGAGCCCATTGACAACCGTCAGACATTCCTTCAAGATTACCCAGAGTCCTTTTAAAAAGAACCTCCATTTTTTGAAAAAATCCAGCTTTATTCTTTTAATAAATAAGAAGCTCTTCTTCTACATTTTTGCCTTTGTAATTAACATCGTCTTCGTCATCGTTTTCGTCTTCGTTTTCGTCTTCGTCATCGTTTTCGTCTTCGTTTTCGTCTTCGTCATCGTTTTCGTCTTCGTTTTCGTCTTCGTCTTCCGCAGACGTATACATCTTCAGCAGAATGGTGATCCGTAGAAATGGGTTGCTACAACCATTGCGGTAACATGTTACTATGCGGTTTACTATTGTAAGCGCACAAATGCTTGTGATTAACAATGAGTTTTAAAATGAGAAAGAAGGGTTATTGAATATTTTCAGTGGATGGTAATGACCCAGTCGTAGTTTTGGCATTATACTTCAAAGCAGTGCCTACTGTTACCTCACACGTTGGTTTTCATATGTAAACGTTTTTTGTGTGGCCTACTCAGTACGAATTGAAAAAATGGCGATTGATAATGATACAGAGTTGATACAGAGTTGTGAATCAAAAACTCAGAAGAAAATTGTTTGTGATTGGTAGCGTAATTAACTGTAATATTGTAATTCTGACTGGCTTGATGTGCTTAAGATTTTCTTTAGCAACTTCGTATCGCTTATTCCCAAAATGTTTTTTTCCAGGGATGGCCTTTGACTTGGGCCTTGATCACCAAAGTTTCTCTGATGAGGATGCGATTTCTGAATTCATAAAGAAACTCGAGAAACAAATTGACTTTGTTGCGATGGCTGAATATTTTGACGAGTCTCTGGTTTTGATTAAAAGAATGTTATGTTGGGAAACGGAAGATATCATCTACATTAAACACAGAGTTCGGAATCCTGCTTTCAAAAATAAAGTAACCGAGAAGCAAAAGGTTGGTATCCAGATATCTTGGATGACACTACAGGTGGCTAATGAGCTGCATCTCTCCCTTGTGCCCCCCCCCCACCCCTCGAAAAGTCAACATAAAACGCATTTTGATAAGCCTATTTGAGTCATCTTATCCTGCTATCTATATTGCAGTCGATCAGTATTTCCGTTAAGAATATTCAACTCCCCCCCAGTAGATTTTTTCAACCCCTTCGTCAGAAACTATCTTTTGCAACCCTTGCTAGGTACCACCTGCGGAGAACTTTCTTGGGTAAGCAGTGTTACCCTCTTTTTCATAGAGTTCAAAGGTGATGATGTCACAAGAAATCTATTTTAGAATTTTCGAATTTTCGAATTTGCAGTGACTTCCACCATGCCATTTCACTTCAAATATAAAGAGCCATATTTTAAGAGCTATTTTGTTTTGAATTTGATGTGTTGTGCCAGTAGAACTATCATTTTATGTTTTGATGCTCCTTTGAGAATGCTCATCCGTTTTACAGTAAATCACTCTATGTTTACAAAAAATAATTAGAAGGTTATTACACATAACAACCTATCATTATTTTCACTTGTATGAGTTCTATCCTCAGCTTTCCATGCAGTTGTCTTGCTTGAGTCCTCAATCATTGCTAAAACCTTACTATTTTCCTAAGACAATTGTGCAAAATATTTGCTGTTAAATTTTTGCTTTACTTCAAATGAAAGCTTTTCAAAACTCATTTTCCCTGATACACATGAATATTTCCTCATAAACTTTCTCTCTTTCATCACATTGACTGATCAAACCTGATTTTTCTTCTTTGATATAGTTTTGAAAAATAACCTCACCAGCTGCATACAGTTGACATGATTTTTAATGGTTCTATGTATATATTGATGATTTATTTTCCACACTTATAAGAACTATACCAGCAATATAAAATTTAATTTTTGTCAACAAAACTTCCTTAATTTTGGACCAAAACCTTCCTCCAAACTACGTTTGTAGGTGTGCAGTGTTTTTGCGTCTCTGACATTAAACTCCGGTTATAGTCACACCAAATGTTGCTTGAAAACTTGTAACTGTAAGCGGAGTGTGACTGTAAGCGTAGCTAAATTTAATAGTTTTGTATATTTGGGCTCAAGTTTTTTGTGACTGTAACCAGTAGCGTAAGTGAGTAACAGCGGGTCGACTGTAGTTCGTAAGCATTTGGTAATAGAGAAACCTGCAAATTTAATAGCACTGAAATTGAAAATGCTTCTCCTGAGCTTAGTTCCTTTTTTGGAAATGGGTGTATATGTTTGGAAAGTGTATGCTATATAACGGCAAAATATTCGCTTCAAGCTTTTTTAATCAGTGGCTAATAGAAAGCTGCCACTGCAACCCAAGAATCAGAAACACCTGTCAACAAAATAGTTCATCATGAATTGATTTTTCTGAGCAAAGAATCGCTTTAATGTGGCATGGCCATTAAAGAGGGGCAGAGCCAAATTATAAAAGGACTGCCTTTCTGCGATGTATAATTATGGGTTTTGCTGTTTTTCTGATTAATTTTTCATTCCTACTGACAGCTGCCACTTTGTCACAATGTAGCCCTTATCAAATAATGTTAATTTTTAGGAGAAGATACGAAAGTGGAATCTTGCTGATGTCATGTTGTATGATCATTTTAATCAAACATTTTGGGAAAAGATTAAGCAGCAGGGCGAAGACTTCCACGCAGAAGTGACCAGCTTCAAATTCAAAGTGGCTCAGATCACGGAAATCTGTTTTGAAAGGGTTCATAATGTTAAGGCGTTCGAGTTGCCTATAACACAGAAGAACAACATCCCAAAAGAGCTAAAAGATGTTTGCCAAAAGCTAAGACTTAGTGAAAAAGAATATATCCGATTGTTAAAAGATAAACAGAAAGAAAGAATTCGCCAGTCAAATCTTAAGGCTTTTAGTAAAATATTCTATAAGGAAAAGAATAATACTAGAGTTTTCTATGCCAAAGACAATGCTACTGCAGCAAACATGACCAATATTTATGATTAGAGATTGTAACATTGAAGCCTTTAGATAAAAGGGAGTGTTATTTATATAATGAGGATGATTAATCATTTTTTTATCTTAAGAAATTTGGGTTGTTTGTCTGTGTTCCTATTTACCGTCTTATCTGCACAAGCATTCAAGAAATCAAGTAACCACGTTTTTAGAGTTATCAACTTTATTTTGCGACTATTTCACCAAATATCATTAAACAATGTTGCTTGGAAGGAAGGGGGATGGAAGGGGGAGGAAAGAAGTTGTTTGTCGAAATCAATTCGATAGGTTTCCTTTTAGAAATATACGCCAGATACAAATTTTGGCATTAATGTGAGGTGGGATGGAAGAGCTATCTCACAATTTTTGTGGACGATTTTAGAGCATTTATAAAACGAATAAATTTGAAACTTGTTTGACACAGGCGTCAGGAGAGGTAGGCAGCTTGGGTGAAATGCTTATCGGCATTCTTGGGTAATGAAATAGAAAGTTTTGTCATCCTGTAGTTCAAGGTGGTTGATAGACCGGTATTTACAATGAGAGATAAACTTACTAGATAGATTGTGGAAGAAAACATGAATCGGTAACACTTTTTATATTTTTCATAATAGTATTTAGCAAGAAAAGCAAAAAACCCAAACGTTGATAGTGAGACGCAATTAGCTTGTGGAGAAAATCCCACGATAAAGTTTTGATAAAATTAAATTGTTCGAAAATTTGTTGTGCCATGTGTTTTATGGTGACAGCAAATTTGTTGAACAACGATTGCTATTTTTATGGATTTTAGGCATTTATGGAGACAGCAAGGCCTTTGCCGAAAGGGATTATAATCCTCAAAAGCTAAAGTACTTGTCAAACGGGATTGTATTTGCCAGAAGGCAGAATCTCCCCCATGTAGAATATTTTTCACATATATTTGACTTGACCATACAGGAAGTATTGTTCAGAGCGATATCGCAAGTAAAATATTCATCAGAGTCTCCAGTTATGAAAGAGGAATGATCAGATAAGAAAAACCATTTTTGTGTATCTTAATAGCATCAAAATACTTCATGTTAGTTACATGATGATGGAATATCGTCTTTAGCCTGAAAAAGATTAAACGTCTGTTAGTGTTGATGTTTTTGTAAAGCAAACAGCAATAATTCTGCCTATTAATCCGAAACCAAACTGCTTTTACCACTTTATCTAAAGAACAGGAGTATGAAGCAGAAAGGATCACCATTTTTAGTGAAGGTTAAGTGGAAAGCAGTGCTGAAACAAAACGATACCGCTTACATACTGTTTATCTTTAAAAAAATTAGAGGCAATTTTTTGTTCTTACATAAAAGGAGGGTATAGTAAACGATTCATATGTCTGTGTAAAAATCTTCTGGATCACATTATCGCATAGCAAGCTGAGCTGATTGGTCACAGCAAATGCTTTAGACCAATCAGCTAACGAAGAATTACTTTGCGTATACCATTTATCGGGAGACAAGGAACTGTCTGGAGACAAGTCTTGATGAGTCATATTCCTCGTGCATGGAGCCTAGCAGCTTGCTCAATGACTTTTAATCAATAGTGCGCATGCTCTGCTTGTATGGATGGAGTCGACTCACACTATGAAAGCCATTATTGCTTGCCAACACCCGTCTTCTGGTGTTTGTGTATCAAATTATTGTGCCTACGTGCTTTTTTAATTTTTCGTACAAGAAAGTAAAGAGGATTTTCTTAAATAATAACTCACTGCAGAAAGAGCAAGACTTTCGGCAAAACATTTCCATGTCTTTTCTGCGTCGAGAACAAAATCCTGCTGCTTTCCACTCGGCGCAGTACTGGGCTTCCGTTCCAGCAGCATCAGTGCATGGCTCTACAAAGGGATGACAAAGAAACATCAACGCCAGATGCTAAGCCCTCATCACCGACACAAGGTTGAAGTAAGGGTCCAAAGGCAAATTAAAGGCCCAAAGCAAACGGTTTGTAAAAAAGGCAGGGAGTCATGCTCCAAGTCGTTGGTAGCCCTTGATACTCTTGCAACTTCGGACTTGTTTTTCCTGATTGGGCCTAAGTGTTAAAAGCACTGTGATGTCAAGTTGAACCTAAAACATTGTAATGTAATTTCATGATATTCATAGTCATACTGAGTTACTATCGTACAGAAATCATCGAAGAAGCTTTGCCTTTCTAACATGACACTTGCCTTACAAAGGTTAACTTTCGGTTCGTGAGAGACCTTCTGGTGATTAGCTTCTGCACAAGTGGTACCACTCGTGCTAGCTCGAGTTGAATTGTGATAACTCATACAGTAATGAAAATACATCCATATAGTTGTTATTATCACGTTCCTGGCCTCCGAGATATTATAATAAAATTTGTAGGTAGCCTCGTTTAAACTTAGCCTCGTCTCTCTCAGTTCAGTTAAGTTCAGCTCAGTTTCCATTTCACTGATGTCAAGTATTTTCCATTGTTGGACACTTGAACATGCAAAAAAGCTTTTCGTGTTGGTCTTAGGTCATAGAATTCTTCATACCTGGCGGACTTGTTGGAATCGGAGGGACTACGGATTTGCATTCACCAGGCATGAAATAAACATCATCTAGTGCAATATCTCCTTGGTAACCACCTCCGCGTATAGCTTCGAATACGATCTACGAAATATAAAGAACTTGAGGATGCTTAATCAGATAAATCGACTTCATCGAAAATATTTGGCTGCAAAATACAAACATCCAAATTTTGAAAACATAAGCAACATTGAAGTAGTTAGCAAACTAACTGATGTCCTTCACATGAAGTCCATGAACTCCTTCAGAGTTCTATGAACTTTTTTCTAGTGTAGTGTGAGGTCTCCAGTATTAATGATTGACCGTCTCAGAGATGTGAAGAAAAGGAAGAAAGGTCTCTCCTCTTACCTTGTATTCCTTCTTTGGTCTCAGTGTTAGGCTTTGTCTGTTCCATTGACTTCCAACGGGACCAGTCTTGGAGAAGAGCAGCGTTTTTCTGGCATCCTCTTCTATGTAAACGTTAAATGTTCCCATATGGTAGCTCTTGTAGGCCATCATATGGTAGAAGAAAGTGAGACATGTTGTGCTCACTGATGAAATAGTCCTTGTCAAAAGACGAGCTACATCTCCTCTAACACGGGGGGAAGATGCCTCGATGTATGCATATGCCCCTGAAAATAATAGTAGTAATTTTCTTGTTATTCGATCGGAGCCCATCGCATTATAAATTTTAGAGGTAGCGCATGCTTAATAATTTAGCTTTCTGTATTTAATTATTATGCATGCTTTGGACGGAGAACGAGGAAGTTAACCAGAATTGTTATGGCACTTACAAATGAAGTCGTAGGTGACGTAAGTCGTTGATGACTCAAGTTGACAGCGAATAGAGAGTATGATACATAAAACTTATGGTCAACATACAGAGATTTGAATTCGAAAAGAAAGATTAAAAGTATCGGCAAATAGCTTTCTAGAAATTAATGTCTCCTGTAATACAACTATTTAATCAGATTTTTGGAAACAAAGTGAACATTTCATTTTCTCCTTGAAAAAAATTACTCAATGTCTATTTGAAAGTGATAATTTCGGAATCAATGTCACTACCCGAACAGGATGGGGCTTGTCAAAAGGTGGGACCCCAAAGCTAGTCTTAATTGGTGTAAATGTATAAAGTGTAAAGAACGCTTTTGGGTCTGGGACGTAGCCAAGGATGTTTAAGAGAGCAGCAACAACCAGAGAATCATAATACTTTTCTGCTTCTGAATAATTGATTGTTCTTGATTGCGTAATACTATAAAACCTCCCTATGAAAACCTCGCTATAAAAAATCTTTATAGTGCTCCCCTTCTTTGACCGTTCTAGCTACTTCCCACCCCTTTACTTTTTCTTACCCATTCTTCCTGTAGTATGGTCAACATCTGGTCCAGTGTACCAACTCGGTGTCGATCCGATCCTCAAAGAAAAGTCGAAATCGTCGGATTTGTCTTGCTCAAGAATGCAGTTTCTTAAACCATCGTCAAAACCACAGTTCATGTTTCCTAGGTGAAATAAGAATCAGAAATACCGTAAAAAGAATGATATTTTCATTGAAAATAAAAATGTCACGTATTATAATATAATATGACCGTATTATAAAAACTACAAGAACACGAGAACCTCATCTCTACTTTAGAACGATTCTTCATCACCCACTTAGATCTTGTTAACATTTCATTGTCAAGCAAAGGTCTTGTTTTGCTCAGCTTTTTAAACACTATGATGAGCACCAATTTCTTGATGAAATCTGTGTTCTTAATTATTGGTCTCTCGCTTCTTTAGGGGGCATGAAATCTTAAGTATTACATAGGCTGAAGCAATTGAGTAGCTAGCAGTTTTGGAATCGATTTACATACAAACGAAAATACTGCTATTGTGTAGACAGACCAGACGGAGTTTGTTTTTTTCTCTTGGACTCCAGTGGTACTAATTTTCCCATAGGCACGCGGTACTGATTGGACAAGTTTACCTGTAATTTGCTCGCGTTTTCTGATTGGCATATTTTGATCCGCGTCAGACTAAAAAGCGGTAAAATGCTTGCCTTTTCAAAGCCGTTTAAAAATTGGGTAGCTCTAAAATTCACTTGCAAAACTGATGTACAGTAGACGCAGGAATAAAAGTGACTAGCATGCCTCGTGTCCTTGAAGCTTCTAGAAATAATGGCCTCGTTTTCTTGCATCTAGGAGTGTTGCAGAGTAGCGGGGACATAAAGGTGAAAAGGGTGGTAATCAATTGCCTTAGAGATTTAATTTTCTAGCATTTAATAACCCAGACGAAGCCCAAGGGACCTTGATACCCAAGTGGCTAGATATTTTTGGGTCCAGGATACTGACGGCTACCCGAGGGAATTGCTACACAAAGGTTTGTTACCCAAGGGTGAATGAACAGGTAGCAATTTTAAGACCGATGAGTAAAAGAATTTAGTTTTTACATAAGCAGCTACAAAGCCATGAATCAAACACACTGTTGGATTATTCCAACGAAATGGTTGGATTCAGAATAACTGGAAAATGGTCTTGAAAAGTTATAAAATAAAGCACGGAATTGGCTAGTGATTTACGCTGTTTGAGAGAGGTTACGACTTACGAGACTTGCTTAAAGAAAATCGCAACCATGATTTTTGGAGGTGAGGTATGTGATTCCTTATTTTCTATGCTAATCCTACCTATGCGCTTAATAGGTTTATTAAAATGAATGCACATGCCACGAAATGCGTTTTGCGCAGTAAAACAGACGTACATCTTGCAACAGAAAAATGCAACAGACAACAGACAGGATCGGATTTCAAGACAGATTGAATTGTGTTGTTAGTGTCAGCTTTGAAACGACCAAAGTTTCAGTGTACTTGCTAAGACAAACAGCCCTAATTATTCAAACTCTAGACATAAACCACGAGAAAAAGAAAACCTCCTCACGAGAAAAAGTGTTTCTTCACTACATTCTTGAATATATTGTCTTCAGAAATTTCATGCGAATAAACATATGGCCAAAAGAAGGCTTTAGACATCAAGTCTACCATTCCCGTTCTGTAACAGCTTTTCTTGACCCGCCCATACAGCAAATTGCAAAACAACCATTGTGTGATTAGACGATTACCCACGAAGCAGGATTACCTACGAAGCAGGATTATCCACGATCCCCGTCAGAGGATGTTCTTCAGTGATAGTTCACTGATAGCTGGGCACAATCCATAATTAACTCTGTCTTTCTAGATAAAAAGATTCTCTAAATGCGAGAAAATTCGCTGTCGGTTGCTCATGAATGGTCAATCTATCGGAATAGACTTATAATCCTGTTGGAATAGACTTATTCGCTTCGCACAGTTAATAGGCCAGCAGAGGCCATAGCCCCTGCACCTTTCCGGAAGATAGATTACAATTTTGAAACTTCGTATGATCTCGTTATGCACGTTTTTCATCTTTTTCAATAAAGCCTGGTTTTCACTAGAGTCATAAGGGTCGTAAGGATCGTAAGAAACGTAATTTTTAGATTTTATGACGCTTATGATCAAGTGAAAAGACCAAAAATCATAATCGTAAAGTGATTGCCACTTTATATTATCTCTCAAGCCTGGTTTTCACTAGAGTCTTCAAGGTCGTAAGCAGGGGCGCCGGAAGCATTTTGAGGCGGCGGGGGCAGCTACTCAAAAAAGGCACATTTTCGATGACTACTTTTAGAATTATAATAAAAAATGATATAACATACTACTTCGATACCGATAAAACGTTTAATCTAAAAGGCCAGGCTAAAACTTCCCATTCTGTTGTTTAGGTTTTGCTGGGTGAGGAAGGGGTGGTACCTTAACATGTTTAAAGGTAGGGGGACGTGCAATGTTTTAGGGACACCTTTTTCTGAAAAATGCGGAATTATCGGTATCAGCTTTTGAAATATGTGCAGAACAATGGGTACCATTTTCGAAAAATGTTATAAAATTATTAGGAGGGAGATTGAGCATTAACAAAATGAATGTCCAGTTAGAAATGAAAGTATGAAATATGTGCAATATTGAGATTTTTGGCAAAGGACATGCAAAATTTGTTTGATGATTTCATTGTACTTTAAAAATGTTATATGCTTTGCAGAATTTTGGTTATGGTTTTGATCCTGATTGTGGAATTTTGGTTTACATTTTTCAGACATGTACGGAATTATGGGTCCAAACTTTTTAACCAAAGTGACACGTCCCCGTTCAAAATTAGGCTTAGTTAATCCCCCCTAACCCCGTGAGCTGTTGGCTGTCATGTCGTATCACACTGCATTGTGCTAAAAATACGTTCTGCAGTTGCAGATGACAGTGCAAATGAATTGTACAATTGCAATGACTTGTGGGCTCTGGCAGACATTCTTTATGGCATTGAATTGAAATGATCAAAGGGTTTCCATCTTCGTTACCTTTTTTATTGGTATGGCAAGCTTTTAGATTACTTCAATGGAAGCTTCTACTAGTTTTGGATTAGTGTTGCGTATTGCATTAGTGTTTGACATCCTCTACTACAGTCCGTTTGAAGGGGCCCCATCTCAGTTTTCCCTTAGGATCCCAGATGCCTCCGTTACGCCACTCACCTTATTCTACCGTAATTTCCTACATTTTAGAGTGTCGCCGAAAGAAATAGCATTATTGCACATAAGTTCATAACAAATGCACCCAATGTTTTATTTGCTTTCATTTTGTTCCTAACCGCACTAATGTTTTATCTCACTATTCCATTCGCATAAACACGGTGTCATTTTCACAAGGGCACGGTGCTGCCCACGCTGCCCCCATAGAGTCAAGGCAGGGGGGACACGGACTCAAAAATTATGTTTCTTATGATCGATACGATCCTTATGACTCTAGTGAAAACCAGGCTTAAAGGTTCAGTTTTGTCATTAAGATTCTGAAATGCTTGATAACCGCTATGATCATTATTTTTCTTTTAATTGTAACTGAAATTTTCTCTGAATCAACGTTTTCAGCATTATTAGGGGCGTGGTTTCAAAAGTTCTGGGGGCAAGCTCCCGAACCCCATCTCAGCTTTCTTCGTTTGCTGTTCGCCCCCTCAGTTTTAGACCGTTGTTTGAAACCTGCTATGTACGGCTCTTTTTCCAACTATTCAAATACCGTCTTTTTATGTACATCCCTACTTTAAAAAATGCTAGCGTCACTTGTGTTTTTGGATGTTTGGCTGAGCAGCTGCTACCAGATCAGATCAAACACTCTTTTTTGGAATATTTCATTGATTGTGAACAACTCAGATTAAATGCTTAGTTTCTTGAATGTTTGATTTTGATGGTTCTTCTGTTGTAGTCGTCGAAATTTGAAGGCTTTACTAACATTTTTTTTCTATTTCCATGGTACAGCTAGGATCAAAAAACTAATATGTCTAGTTAACATTATTTTGCAATGAAGAAACTAAAATAGTTTTCCTTGAGCAATTCGGAAATAGCAAAAAGTCACCTGGTAAGATGATCTTCTTTGGCAAAACTTTTGGACGAGTAGTTGTTCCTGTTGAAAGAAGGATGATAAGATTTTCATGATGATAATAATGATCATTGTATTCAACAAGAAGCGTGTAGCAAAGTTTTATTTTCATTTAATGAAAATTAAAAGGCAAAAAATGATTTCAATAATACTGTGTCTATAGGTGTGCGTGCGACAAACTTTTGTCAATGTATTATGTAAAATTTAAACGGTTATGTTGTTAATTGGAAGGTAAAAATAAGAATTGAATAAAATCTGTAGGTAAGAAACATGACAAGTAGGTGGGCAATGTTAGAAACCTTTGATAGGCATGCCATAAAATTTGGCAAATGTAAGTTCACTCAAAATTGTTCAAGATACAACAAACACAAATAGAAAATGTATAGAAAGAGTAAGTCAGTCAGCGGTAAGTAAGGGGTTACGCCATGAAGGGGACGTGGGTGGACTGGGTAGACATTGGTGCGCCTGGGTGGATTGGGGTGGACTGGGGATTGTTCAAGACCATCTTGGAGTTCGTGACGTCATGATTCAATTCCCCTGGTCTATAGCTAGTTAAAATCAACAAGGTGGGGGAAACCAGCAAAAAATTATGGTGGATAGAGGCTGCTCTTACATTAACTTGGTCGTAAAAGGTCTTGAGAAACGAGAAGAATACTTTTAGAGTGAAAATCCGAATTACGTTAGTTCACAAAAGGAATGTTTCTGATAAAAGACCAGAAAGGCTTAATCAAAGCAGTGATATGGTAGACATTACGGAGCTTGATAGTATCGTTGATAAATCATCTGAAAAACTTGCTTTCGAAAATGTCTAATATGAAGCAAATAAAGAACATGATTAGTATGCTATGTTGATTGAATTAGACGAAATAACTCTTTTGCCACTGTTATTTGCAACATTTTGAAAAGAGCCTTACGCACGAAAGACTGCGCGGCCTCAGTGGCGTCGCCAGCTCGAAAAAACTGAAGTGGCGAAAAACAAATTTTCTGACTCCTGGAAAATCCTTATTTTAGCTTTTTATTTATTCTGAAATATTTGGACAAGCAACTTTCTCAAGCAGCATATTTCGTAACGGTGGCTTTTTAGCCAGTGCGAAAATCGATCTGATCAGCCAAAGCCCCCCCCCCCCCTAAATGCTTTTCAACGGATTTCGAGAAATTAGAAAATCGACTTCTGGGAAAACTGGGGTGGACATGTTCACCACAGTCTTCCCTGTGGCAACGCTACTGTGTGGCCCCTTAAACATTTCTGGGCAAGCCCCCTGATTTCCTGTCCACCCATGTGGCGTAACGGAACTAAGGGCTCCCAGCCTGAAGGGGCTCCCAGCAAAAATTTGTATTTCATTTCATTTTTTCATTTTATAATATTTATACAGGTTGAAGGTTCATACATATGTTTTTCAACCTGACCTGTTTAAAAGAATAAAATAAGAGCTAATAACTATGTTAAAATACTAGTAACAAAAGAAATTTACCAATTAAACCTAATTTACAATATTTAATAATACTTAGGCTATAAAAAGTGAACGTAAAGATGAAATAAAAGTTGTCCCCGACTATAGTTGGGGTATCCAGGATGTGAATCACGAGTAGAAGGAGCTCAATCCTGTAGGATATATCAGTCGAGCTGAATGGAATGTCTGTTGATTAGCATTTCATACTTTGTTTTTTTTGTTTTACTAATGCTTATTATTTGACCGCCTCACACTGAAAGATTCTTAGGGGCCCGGGTTGCCTCCGTTACGCCACGGGTTCACCAAATATATTTCCGTCCGGCGCCAACACTGAAGGCAGTTAAACATAACTACTGTATATGAAGGCAGACAAACCGTTGCATCGGTAAAGCGTATTCGCTTGGTACGAATCAGTTTTTGTGAACCCAACTCTTTGTCCCAGCTGAAATACACCACTTTGTATAGGATCCATTGTAACTGACCCATTGATGCCAAAGGCTGTTTTTGAGTACTGCATTACAGACCTATAGTCATACGTCGTGTTGAGGCTGTCAACCTCCGAGTTATCGTGCTTCCTGAAATTGTGCTTTTTTCCTGAAAGGAGGACATACAGATATTATAAATAAGATCGTATTAAGAGTGCAGGAATTTATGTATCAAGTTGCCAGCTCTTCTCAAAAACGCCTGTAGAACTCACAGAAATAATGAGGCAAACATTGAGGACTTATTGCTTACCTTCAGTATATTGTAAGTCCCCGAATAAGGGGCTTATTTGAATGGGGGCTTATAAAAATTGTCAAGTTGTCATACAACAATTTCTCTTTGTAGCTTTTTACCAAATAACTTGGAATTCAGGAATCGATAATTTGATGAAATTTAAGAATAATTTGCGAATTATGTCAGGTGCAAGCTTTATCAAGACTTACATTTTCTATTTAACTTAGTTTTTTTACAAAGCAAAACAACTGTCATATTCACGTTCTATGTATGTTTGAAATACAAACATCAGCTATGTGAATAATCAATTCTATAGTTTGACACAGTGACTAGATTTTGTATTTTAATACTAAATTTACGGTTTTTTTTGTTATTATTTAAGTTTGTGATGAAGTTACACATCAAAAGCGATTTCAACTGGTTTTTTATCTCAAGATGAATTTACAACTTGTGTCGGGCAAGAATAATACAAAGGACAAGTGACACGCTTTTGGCGCCAAATTTTTTTTTAATTTTAACTTATAGTAAAATGCTGTATGAGAGTGTTGTTTAAATATTTTTCCTTTCTGATTTCATTTTCCTACTTAAAAACCCTTTTCAAATTATGGCGGGAAATGAATCACGTGACACCGTGACGTAGATTGTGATAATTTGTTATTGCTGCTACTGGTATACAGCTTCTAAACGAATTCAGTTCGTCTGGACCTGTCGCGTCGTGTTTCGTAAACTCTCTATCAATGACAGGAAAATTCCGAGTTATCACAATGTACGTCATAGGGTCACGTGATAAAAAACAAAATCGCGCCCCCTGCGCCCCATGATTAGAATCTTTTGTTCTAAACCAGGAAAAACTTACTTCTAAAAGATGATATATAAGTTAATGAAAAGAAAAGATAGGGTGAAAAGTGTGTCACTTGTCCTTTAAGAATAATCTTAGGCACAAAATCGCATTTTTTTAAAGAATAATGAAACTGGGCCAAAAAATTAGATTTTATTGGAAAAAATGTATAAAATGTATTTTCGGATCTAACAGAAATCAAACAGAATTATCAAATATCAAATCAAATTTAGCCTGACATAAAAGTTATCATGAATTTTCATTATATGGTTTAAGTAAAGCACAGTTGCTAATGACAGCGTTAAGCATTAAATGGAAGTAGGAGCCTATACTCGTCCTGGTAGTGTGGTCCGCCGAAAACGTGTACAGCTCTGCCTATACGACATTGAGCACTATATAATAGACCGGTAAACAGTAAACATGGAACAGTAAACATGGAATTTAACATATGAATTTTAACAAGGGAATTTTACATGTGCACGATGGAACATACATGTTTTTGTTTAAGCAAAAAGGAAATGTTTTTTGACACAAATAATAAATAACTATAGGGATTAGAAAATTGATTTAAGGTTTTTACTAATGTAAATGTAGAAAAGACTAACTTTCCGGAATGTTGGACCATACAACCCTGATGAAGTCATCCCTGTCCGGTCTCGACTGTTCATGCCAGAAACCCATAGCATGCGCTGGAAAAGATTTATGAATAAATAAGAACTTGGGCTAAAAAAATTCAAGAGAATTAATGGAAAGATGTGATGAATTCTGACTACCCCATCCCCTTATTCAGGGCTAGCCTTAGTTGCTGTGAAGAACGGAGTGATGGTTAGCCTTAATACCAGGGCCTAATTTTGACAATGTCTTGGGTGCGTAAAAATCAATCCGGCGCAAGAAACATAAAAAAATGCTAACTCTTCTAGGTTGAAATTGAAAAGATCTAGATTTTAGGTACGCCCTCGGCACTACCATGTCTTCTCTTGGGTATGCAATCGCCATGCTCTGCATATTGATGAAAGTAAGACAAATTCTAACACAAATTTTGTCAACATTCTTTACAATTTGCATGCAATGTTTTCGAACAAAAACACAGGAGAACAAATTGAGAATTCAAGACTGCGTCTCTAATGATCTCGCATTAAGTTGGGAAGTTTAAGCAACATTCAAGAGAGAATACGGTAACTAGATCGATACCCTTACCGTAAGTCCTTAAATAAGCACCCGGGGGATTTTTTGCCAAAAATATATTGGGATGGGGGCTTATTCTTAAGTGAGGGCTTATTTAGCAGGAGCCAAAAATAGTACCAGGGCGGATCTTCTTTCTGCGTTTGAGGCTGGTCAGTTTGCTTAAAAATGCAGGTATATGGGGATTAACCAATTGACGTCGAGGCAGTTCTTCAGCCCATGGAAATTATTTGAAGGGGTGGGAGCATTTTTCACAAAAGTTTATTCGGAGTGGGTGCTTATTCGAGGGAAGGACTTATTTGAAAGTGGGGGCTTATTCGAGGACTTACGGCATTGTATTTTTGTGAAATAAATGATATAAGTGATAAAATACAGCTGTTGTTTTGCTACAACAGCCTTGCTCAAACATACCGTAAAAGCTCTATTAAGCCCCCCTCTCTATTTAACCCCCTCTCTATTATGCCCCACTTACCAAGCCAAAATTTGAAATAAGCCACCTCTCTAATAAGCCCTCTCCTCTTTAGCCTCTGACGTCAAACATATAAAACATGCGCATAGAGTGGGTCTCTTGACGGGTGCAATAATGATAAGATCATGTGCGCCTTAGAAGTCAAGGAGATACTGATGTCAATTCTTTCGAAGAAATTTCAGAGCATTGTTGAATTTTTATAATATATCTTATTTTGAATAATTAATAAGCGATTTATCTTAATAGAGTTTTAAGGTATATCGCGAAGACAGCCCTCTTTCCCATAAATATTTTAAAACAACTTTATTCTCATTTGACAATCCTACAAAAGGTCATACAGACAAGTGTCTGATAGGGCGTGCTGCAATTTTGATTAAAATGGTACAATTTATTTGAAAGGCAGCATTATAATTGTCCCGCGATTGACTTTATAATGACAATAAGAATACTAGCACGTGCGTTTTAGATGGTTATTAATACACCACCTACACATGATTGATTAGCATTGACGAAATAAGGAGTTCTGCAATTTTTTTATATTATGTTTCCTGGCGAGTTGCATCGTTCTGCTAACGAATGGACCATGTATAAACGGAGCATGCACTTTTAAACAGGGCCTCCGACGAAGGGGACCGCAAACAATTAAGCCTTTTTCAAAATCTTTTTTCCTCTTGCTTCCCGGCGATGAATGAAATAAATCCCATAGCTCTTTCCATAACAAATGCCATAGTATTACCTATTTCGTGAATTACTGTTCCCTTTCCCCAACAACCATCGGAAAGGCATATATTCTGCTTGCCTCGCTGACGACCGACGTATGACCAGCACCTGAATGATTTAAAAAAAAACCGGCTTTATTTCAATAAATTTAGAATATTAAAGCGGTAAGCTATTGCCAGTATCAGGATGGGTTATGGAGGTAAAAAGTGAGGATGCTGCGAGGTCACACGGTCAAATCCCACATCTGATTCGTCTTTCTTATTAACATGGGTCAACAAAAGGTTGATCCATTAACAAAAGCACTTAAAATGTTGAATCAGCAATGGTCCTTAGTGTGCTTTTTCTCATTTAGTGAAAATAAATAAGAAAAACTTGTTAGTGGATCATATGTTCGAAAAATAAGTAACTTTGAATGTTGAAAGGAAAGAAAACGTTTGCCATTCAATGAAAGACAGATTTAATTCAAAAAAGAATAAATTGATAGCTTTGATTGGTATTAGTAGAGAGGTAAAGGAGAGAGATAAGGGGGGGGGGGGAAGAGCGAGGAAGATAGAGCAGCATAAGAATATGCATTCAAGCCCTCCTGGCTTGAGTGCATATTCTCATGCTGCTTTTTACCCTGTTTCTTTTACCCATGAATGTTTTTCCTATCAAACAAGACTGAAGGTTAGACCTTTAGCTAGGACCATTTTATGATGGGCTATGGAAATTATAAGACGAAATGTTCAAGTCGTTTACCCTGAGCAGTTCATGAAAAATTCGATGTAGTCTTTCTCGACAGTCCTCTCCACAAATCGAAGACATGTGTGGCTTTCCCATTCGTGGAATGCCAACATCATACCAAGAGTTGCTTCGGCATTGGCAGCTACAACAATATAAATTGTATTGATCAGTACTTGAAAATGCATCGAAAATTCACAGACTATGATAAGAAAAAAGCCTTCAAAAAGGAATGCTTCAAATTCACCTTGAGAAACAGTTTTCGCACATGTTTCTGTTTATCTGAGTTCTTTTCTTTTTGGATCGCAAATCATAACTTTGATATTCCAATTCGAGTAAGTATATAACAAATGAAATCTCATCAGAGTCTATTTTAGGAGGGCAGTTGTGAAATTTGACTTCACCAAGTAGGCATCGTATTTTACTTGAATCGTATTATATAAAATTGGGAGTGAAGGTACCTGCTTTCCTTCTTGTATTAAACCTTCATATGCTGCGTTTGATGCTTTTGGGAATAATGAGCGATAGGAGCTCTGTTGATCAGATTTTTGCACGAAAGTTTGTTCCTTGTCTCAGATAAGTGTATTAAAGTACTTCGGGTAGGGCTTCTCGAGCCTGTTTGGAAAGCTCTTATAATATTGTTTTTGTTGATGTTCTTCCGCTAGTAAAAGGTTTATTGTTTTAAATTCATTCTGTTGGGAAGGCCTCCTTCTGATGGCAAAACATTTCCAGAGAGGTTCATTCACTTCATTTTGTGTCTGTTTTGGGATACCCTTGACGGATGTAGCCTGAGGTTGGGAAAACAGGAGTCCAGTCATTGACGAAGCAGAAGCATCAAGGGCCCTTAGTAAAAAACTGGAACGAGACCCCTATCTACGGACTTGAGAAACTAGACTCCTAAAATCATGGATATAAAGGTATCTTGGGGGACCCCTTTTGATCGGGGCCATTAGCTTTTGAACTAAGGTGTCCCAAAATTTATTACGCTACTGAGTCAACTCAACTGCATTATTTTTCTATTATTCCTGTTCTCTCTAACTATTGAGTAGATTGGATGAAATGTTCAAGACAATCAAATTAACATCGTTATCCTGGATTGTCTTAGATTTTGCTTAGGTCTTGATAAACCTATCACTATATGATACGTTACATAAACAGTTAACATTACTGAGAGCTTACCTAACTCCTTCGAAATCGTATATGGAACAACCTTTTCTGGGAGCCACAGAATTCCATAATCCTTAGCACTTGCAAACGCATTTTCCTGGAGATATTTTGCTAGGCTCACATCACCACCGGATTCAGCCAGCATCCTTTGCATCGGAGTCAGGCGCATATCGCTTTGAAAAAGATCTGGGTCCGAGTGGTTTTCTAAAACAAAATTTTGCAGTGTGTAATGATCAACAGTAAGTTTGCAGTGATGCGTCATTAGCACCCATGCCCCCTAAAACAGTATCGATGGAGCAAAGAAACTATCAAAGGCTTTAATCTCTTGCGTCAAAACAAGGCATCATTGAATGAGATTCAACTGTTTGTCAGGGAGATAGGTTGACATCCCCTGTGACATTTAGGCAGATATTCTTGTACTCTTTAATGTATGCGGCGACCAAACCGCAGAGGTTCTATTCTGAGCGGTATAGTGTTTTGATAAATTTTAGTCTGAGAGATGCACTTTCAGCCATCCTAGAAGACATTATTTAAACATCTTCTTGTGCAGCGGACCCAACCATTGCTATGTCAATAAACCTGATTCTAAGCCCCCCCCCTCCCCCTCCACGTTCTATTTTGTGGTGCTGTCTCTGGTCACTGATGTACTACAGAGCTGCCATCGTACCCTTCCTTAAAAAATGATTCGATGTATGTTGGGCCCTAGTTATTTGGTACCAGAACACGCCCAGGATCTTTCAGCCAAAGCTAGCCATTCTTACAACTTAAAATGAGCGAAAAAGCTTAAAAATAGCGAATGAGAGCCATATAAACTTTTGTCCGACACTCTTGAGGAGTGATTATGCCTAAAGGTTGTCGCAACCCTGTTAGCAAGTCACCAACTGGAGTTGGTTTCCATTTAAAGTAAAGCTGGTTTTTGTGCTAGGATTGCAGAAGGAAGTTCATCTAACAAAATAATCACGATCCCGATGCAAGCAAAAGTAGAAGATGACATGTTCCAGCTGTATTCAAATTTAAATAAACCATACCTTCTTCAGGGTAGCAAAACCCCTCAGCAAGAAAAAACAGCAGGAGAGCAATTCGTAGCGCCATGACTTCGATGACGTTTCAAAATAACACTGGTCTGATGCCATTTCAAGGTTTTTTATATTCAATTTCAGTAGCAAATATCGACCCATACGCAAATAATGACCTGATTTTTCGTTAAGATTATGGATACATCTGCCCAGCCATTCTAAGCCGTATGTAAACAACTTGGCAACTGGAGTGGTCTTTCTCTTTAAATGGTAATAAACCTGAAGCTATTTGTTTGCTTGAATTCGTTCTTCGACCGAACGGAGCTCGTAAAACTCTCTTATAACAAACACAGCTTTTTAAACGCTTGACTAAAACGGAGTTCCTTTTGCTTTAATGTCTAATAACTAATTAGATGTTAAATATTTTCCCCCAAGAGAGCACGAATTGAGCTACAAGCACTTACTTAATTTTTTCTATGTTCTTATTTTTCATCAATCGTCCGGCCAATAAAGCAAGTTTTTAAAGTCAATTGAAAATAAAGAATGTGGAGCGTTTTCTTGTTGTAGCCTCTTGCTCCAAAAATTTATGTTGATGTTGATTACTTATAATCAATAATAATATGGCAGCGTCTGGATTTGATCTTGCCCTCTATTTGAGTTACAATCTTGTGTATACACCTTTAATTACAAAAGAAAATTAAATTTAGAATGCTTTTCTTTTTACTGAAACCAAAGTTCTTCACCTTTTGAGGCCTTTGGCTCAAACCAGTTTATTTGATGCCAAAATAATCTAAGTTGTAGAAAGAGAACCTAAATCGACATAATTTTTGACAAACTAAAAAACACCAGTTCGGTTGCAACATTTGGATTAGGGGATGGATTGTTGCTTTGCATTTCTTCGCGTGAAACTACCCGACATTAGCATTTTCTTTCTTGAATGTCACATATACCAATTTAAAACCTAGAAAGCATTGGCGTTCTTTACGAAAAACCACTCAAAATATAACCCACAAAATATTCAAATATTCGAACCATGCATCTCAGCTAAGGGACTAGATGATGTTTGTACTCTTCAACCATCTTGCACTAGAGCCAACACCATATGGTTTTTTCCTACTTTTGCAGCACTCCTCCCATTTTAGAAGTTTGTCAGATTCTCACAATTGCCACATTAAATTTTGCTTAGGATCCGTATTTGCAGAATTTTCAACTTGTTTTTTATCAAAGCACGGTAAAATTTAACAGGATTATAACAGTAGTGGGTTGGAATGTCAACATGCCTGATCTTTATGGGCTATTTTACAACTTATATTACAATTCTTATGGCAAAAATGAATGGCTTAAGCCATAGTACATATACATTTATCTTAATGTACCATACGCGTTGTTCAACAACTCTTCGTTGTTTTTCATTTCAGGCAATTGCCACCTGCATCCATGTTGCTAAAGATAACTCCGTTGATGCAAATTCAAATTTTTATCTCGAAAAACATGGCCCACTTAAAAGTAATCATGCACTTGTCATAATGTATCTTACAGGTGCGCAACAACGGTCCACTATCTTTAATTCAAGACTATTGTCACCTGATTTTCATTTTAGGTCTTTTCAGCTTCGTCCATGATGCAGAAGACTTAATACTTTGCTAATGCTTTTTAAGGAACACGGCTCTATTGTTAGTTTCATACAATTTTTATAGAAACATTATTTATAAGAATATTCAGGCCCAGAATCATCCAGGTTAAGAATCATCCAGGCCCATAATCATTTTTATGAATACTATAAGCATATTACTCAGTCTCAGCTTGCATATTTCTGTCTCATTTTTAGAGAAATGCATGACTGACATGTCTCGTTTTTTCACAATTTTTCTTTTCCGTCAAACTTGCTGGTTCTGCCCCTGCAATTTGATGCTCTCTTAGAATCATTTAGCATTCTTATTTGATTCTTATTTTTCTATTAGAATTTGGCCGTTTTCTCTCGATAACTTTCTCTTGAGAACTATCAACTATAAAGCACTTCAATTTTCACGGAGACCTGGACAGCTAAGTTGAAAATGAACCACTGAAGTTAAAGGTTAAAGGTTAGAATTGGTCCTAATATAACGTTTTGGAGAGAGGACCCTTTTGGCTCAGTGCGTAACCAAATCTGCCCCATAAACCCTTATCACGCAGCACCACTTGTTTCATATCAAGAAATCATCACATTTAGAAATATGACACCAATCAAATCAAATCTAGGTCTTGTTTGTCACAGAAATAATTGTACATTTTTATCGTAAATACATAGAGACTCGACTGAGTCCTCTTTCAAGGATTTCAAATTATTTGCTCGACTAAATAGAATTGTAGAACAGCTATCTTTTGTACTTATGAGTTATCATTCTTGTTCCAATTGTAGACGTAATCTCTTCAATAGTCTTGTTTTGTCCAAAATATTCAACGAATTTGCCTTCTGGGTCTACCAAGTAAGTAATAATTGTATGATCAACCTGAAATGAATTGTAAATACAATTATTAGCATCAGTTTAACACTCTGTTTTAATTTCGTTCCAATACCCTTTTCACGTACGTGAAACCTAAGACTTAATCTGGGGCTCACCGGGGTTTCATAGATATCGGATATCGGATTGAGGAGATGGGCAGCATTTTCTGTGGAATGCATATATTTGTCCTAAAATAGTAATAATTGCTAAAATGGCTGATTTGATGCTAATATGGAAGTATTTCAAAGATGGGGGCACATGCACGTGTAGGCAAAAAAGGGGCACCTCCGTGAGCTGCAAATATATGATAACCTCTGTTTCTGAAAAGAGGGGGTACGTGACCCCGTTCTCAAGTTTATGCATTACTATTTAAAACATTAAACAAATTGCAAAGGTCTAAAGGCAACAGCCACATCATCAATAGTAGCCATCAGGGTACCCTGGTGTGATGTCATGAAAAATCTTCTCTAAAATGTCTAAAAATTGTCAAATTTCTCAAAATTCAAAAATTTCAAAAATCGATTTTGTGACGTCATCACTTCGGAAATGCGAGATTGTTTCAACCCCCAGTCACCCTCTAAATCCGGCAGTATTTGCAATTGTTACACTTATAATTTTTCTACAAAATAAATTTGAAGCCAAAATAATAATAAAGAAAAATAAAGAAGAATAAAGCAAAAACGCTCCCCGGCGGGGAATTGAACCCCGGTCTCCCGCGTGACAGGCGGGGATACTCACCACTATACTACCGAGGACACATCCACGCGATGTCAAATTTGAGGACAAACTCCACAGAAGATCAACTCGCCATTAAAACATAGTCAATAGAAGGGAGGACTATATGATTAAAACAACTACAGGACAATCGGCAATCACGAAAATTGCGAATCTTAATTTTTGCCGAAGCTCGATGTTCTTAATATTTGGGCAATTTGAAGCATGGGTGTTCTTGATGTTGTTCTTATATTCACATTGATTTTTCTACAACTACATATTAATATTATATTATTATAAACTGTTTCTAAGACCACTTTATGACAGTTTCGCATGACATTTTTAGAAGCACAGTTTAAGTACCACTCTAAGAGGAGGAGCAAAATATAACACAAATAAACACATCTCTAAAAGGGGGAATCTCTCAAAGGGGGCTCTCTAAAACTTAAAAGGTGACTCTCTAAAAGGAGGAACCAAACAAAGCAGAGTTAAACAAATATCTTAAAGGAGGAATCTCTAAAAGGAGGAGCCATATAAAACATTTAATAAATAAATCTGTAAAAAGGAGAAATTTCTAAAAAAAGAGACCCAAGCTAACACAAAAACTCAAACCTTGTTAGAAAGTTCTTTGTGCAAATACTCTATTAGAAAATAGGATGGAAAAGCGGGTAAATGTCATACTAGAGCACTTTTCGTCCGACACTCGTCAGATGATAAATGTCCAAAGGTTAGCAGACAATTTATATCTAGATGTGAATCGAAAGTAACGCAAGAGAAAGAAAAGCACGTTTGATTGGTTCCTTGTTTTGACCAATCGCAGCCTCGAATCTCTCATCTAGCTGTAGAGTCCAAAAGAAAAAAAACGAGCTTTATCGGTCTACACAAGTCGGTTGCAGTGAATATGAACGTATTGAATGGGAAAAAAGTAAAGTGCTTGCTAGAGACAAAATAGTATTTTCTGAAGTTAAGATTTTATGCGATGGACGTTCATTATGCTGACGTAATGATAATGCACCCCTGAGCAACGGTGCTTAAATACCAAATTGCCAACTTTTGACAGAAATATTTATCTGTTAATTGGTACGAAACTTTCGAATCTTTCATCAAGGATTTGAAAAGATTCTAAAGTTTTTAACTATATTGAATTAACGAAATTAACGAAATGCCTTTTGAAATGGGAACATATAAAACGTAAGCCCAACGACATGCCTTGGTGGTCGAAGAAAATGCAGACCTCTACTTCAGCCAAAATCCTATTCCATGCGAAAAAGCCTTTTAGAGTTTGAAAATCAGTTGAGATTGCAGTTAATTCATTTGTCTTGGTAAATCCGCCACTGTAAAAGAGGGGTGCGTGAATGTTGGCACTCCCCTTGAAAATTAGATAATATAATCTAAGACTTAGGAAATAGAAGTGGCAACTAAAATGCTTGTAGTGGACTTACGATATAGTCTTTGTCTTCATCCATTGGTCCAGCGCTGTAGTAAACACGGTAGGCCTTTGTCACAGCCTTTACCTGAGCTTCCGATCCAGTTAGACCTATCAGCCTTGGATGGAAATCTAGAAAAACAAATATGTAAACAAGGAGGAATGCACGGGTTATCTGCTGTAGAATTATTCAAAAAGGAAGGCAGGTCTCACTGGATAATTTAGTGTTAATAGATAGGGGATTTATTAATAGATGGCCAATTTATAGAGATTAAACAGCTATATAAAAACAGAGATTGGTACCAACTGCTATTGGCACACTCCCAGTGATCAGGCTTCTTGAAAGAGGGTGCTTGAAATAAATGGGAATAATATAACACCATTCACTGTCTCCTAAAATCATTCCATTCTGTAACAGAGACAAAGTAAGATTCCTGTCATACCATGAAGGTGACACTAACCAGAACAGCACTAACCTTTCAGGTATTCCTTTACACTTTCAGGATCATCTCGATTTGGATCTACTGTTATGTACAATGGCTGTATCGTTGGCAGCCCTTTTGTCTTGTCTGGCAAGAAATGTACAGTCAAGAAAGTTTAAAGTAATCTCCAAGCTTGGCAAATTTTCTCTGCATAATATGTTTTAGTGAGAAAATAATCATCACAGTGTTAAGAAGTACTAGGTAAATAACAGAACCATTCAATATTAGCTCTGGAATAGCGAATTCAACCCAAAGTCTTGTTTCATAGCTACACATTAAATCCTACATCAAAAATTTTCTGTTGCTCGTTTTTTCTTTTCATCATATAACTTTAAATGTTTAAAATAGGAAAAAAAATATTAATCTAAAAAATGTGAATGTTGGTCTAATTAAAGCCACAAGCATACAATCATGAGGTAGTTGGTGGTGGAAGATTGAAACTTAGAACAAAGACTAATGAAAATGTTACATTTATTCTTGGCAAAACTTAAGCGTTCTTTTTCTATCATTGAAATGCTATAGATGTCTCAACCCTGGTGCAACAACACTAAATGTACAGTTGAATGTATAGATATTAGAACAGGAATAAATATTATAACATATTTTAAACTAATGAAAATCAAAACTCACTTACCCAGTGTTTCAATAACCGTAGTCATCTTATCCAGTTGGTCTGGACAAATGTCAGGACAATGGCAGAACCCAAAGTAAATCAAAAGCCATTGACCCAAAAAGTCTTTGTCTGTTTTAGGTTTTCCGTCCTGGTCAACTAATTCAAAGGGTCCCCCAAGTGATGCCATTCCAACAGATCTGGTCCTTTCTGCCTCTTTAGCTACAACATACAAGATTTGTCCAAGCTGTTAACCATTTCAAAAATTATACACAAGTTTTACATATAAAGAATTTTATATAGATTTTCTAATCATCAGATGGCCAGTAATTACTGTTCTAGAACCAAGTCTCACAGTAGCGTTTTACCTGCAACATAAAAAATTTGTAATTACTGTCCTAGGTCTCACTGGAACATTTTGCCTCCAACCAAAAAAAAGGAAGAAAATAATATTCACACATCTCCATTGACCCCTTAGTGCCAATATCTCATTCCACACAACAACAGATTCATCAACCCTAATTATCCCAACACAAATTTCAAATTCCCTTTGATTTGTATACTAATGTCTTTTACAGGCTTATATGTCTTTCAAGCAAAGAACTTATTTCATCAAAACAACTGTATGGGTCAGAATTAATTAAAGGGTTGGAGCTACAACTGAAGATGTATCATACAGAAAAAAACGAACTATGATATGAATTGAAAGATACAATAGAGCAATAACAAAACTTTAATACTAATGAGTATAGGTGCTGAGCTGGTAATGTAAATTAGAACACACTAACTGTTAATACTATAATTCACATATATAACAAAACAATAGCCTGATGATTTCAGTAAGTGTGAAGCTTGGAGTGATAACTTAGAACTGTTCTGTTTTATACACCAAAAAGCCTATACTGCAAAAGAGATAACAACAAATATATTTATCAGTTAATGAAAGAATACCTTTCTCTTTTTCATTCTTCAGGTACTTTACATAACCCACAACACCACCACCAGCAACCACGAAGGCAAGCAAACTTTTCCAACTGATTGGACCAGTTTTTGAAGTACGTTTATTGACTTCTTTTGATGAGATAAAAGCATTCTGTTGCCACCTTCCAAGAAGTAAGTTATGGCTCTTTGATTGTTGCAATCGTTGTTTTGGTGTCACCAACCTGCTGCAATTGCATAAGCTTCTTGAAAACTACAAAAGCCAAAGGTAAACAAATTCAGGCTTTTCTGCTGACAAATAACTGTTAATCTATTTTCCCTTTTTTTAAGAAATCCAATTAAAACTACTTTTCATTAAAAAATATTTGTTTACGATGATAAGTTTCAGATGTAAAATCCGTTTTTCAACTTATATTGTGTAAAAAATTTATCTTATGAAAAGAAACTTGAAAACTGTCTTTATGAATCGACAAAACAGCTATATATCTACCCAATTAATATCAAATATTTTACCAGGCTGTTGATGCACACAAGCAAGGTAAAATATCCTGCAACAGTTTTTTTGGAAAGAATACTGCATTCAACACACCAGAGAGTTATGCAGACCATAGTGGGCCGGAGCTGTACGGCTAAGTGTCGACCCCGAAACAGGTGGGTGATTAACCCACCCTCAAAACCCTAAAATCTTTAAATAAACTTGTTAAAAAGGTTGAATTGCACAGGATCCATTATTTATTTTCTAAAAAACGGTTCAACTTCACCGCGTTAGCGTGAATTTTCGGTTCTTGCATGAGCCGTACACGGAGCCAGCTCCGCCAGAAAACTAATGGTCGACCCCGACATGGTGGAGTGATTAATGCAACCCTCAGAACTCTAATAATTTTAAATAAACTTGTTAAAGGTTGAATTGCACGGGATCCAATAATAATTTATGTAAAAAACGGTTTTATTTTGGTTGAAATCTTTGCTGTTTTTGAGGTTACTTGTGTAATATAGGTACTTATTTCATTTTAGGTCAGTCTTGGCGTTTATGCTTATATTTGTTCATGCTTCTCTTTGTTTAGAATGATATTAGTTTGTCGCGTCGTTTAATTTTTCATGTTTTTCCGATATAGGAATATTTTAATGCCCTCTTTGCTCTACAAAGTTCCCCCGCGTATCCTAATATATCTAACAACCTCCTTACTAGTTCATTTAAGTATTGCACGATAGATACCGACAATAACGACCGGCAATTATTGATATTAGTTTGCTAATTGTAATGCTGTTATATAAGTAGAGTACGAGAAACAGAGTTAGTTAGTTAGTTAGTTAGAGAGAGAAGCGTGGTGCTTGCGAAAGGCCACTGCTATCAAACATGTAGACACTAATCTCACACACAACAGAACTGGTATATGAGATGGAAAGGCTAAGAGAGGGCTGATGGCATTCAACCCGAGTGGCTTGTGAAAGCACTCGAGGTTTCGTTTCATATATATATAATTTAACGGCGTAACAGTGCTTGTGAAAGGCTGTTTAGTACCTAAGTTTCGATATTGTGTAAAAGTACGTCTTAGCTTTGGATGGAACAAAAGAAATTGATTTTGTGTGTCAAAACGTGTCGTTTATTCGCTCGGTCAATCGCTCAAACAACGAATGGTGTCAGAAGTTTTACAAATATATATACCAGTAGCAAATTTTACACTTGCTCGTTGCTAGAACAGAGGGAATCCCCATATTCGAAGCCACCTTAGGTCGACACTTAGCCGTGGGTGCCATTATTTGTTTGCGAATCGCAAGATGTCGTGGTAGTATTCTTGAAAATTCTTAGGTAGTTGTGCGATTAAACTGTTCGAAAAACACTGGAAATTATTCTTGAAAGATAGGGGAACATTTTGATACATTAATATTGTGCATTGGCTACGGTTTTGTGTTTGCTTATCGATTTTGAAAATTCGACATGAGCCGTACATATTTGACATGAGCCGTACAATTTGCATGAGCCGTACAGCTCCGGACCAACATCGCTCGAGTTATGCAATCATCTCAAAGTCATATGAAGAGTTGTTTTTAAGACTAAGAATCTTTGAAAAGATTTAGTGTTATAATTCTTTGGCAGTATTATAATAGGGGTTAAAAATACTGCTCAAAATTGCATACGGACGTCAATCTTTAACTTAAATGCGAACCTTACAAGGAGAGAACAAACACCTAACGGACGAGACAGCTTCCTTCCCTAGGGTTGTGGTGTGATGGGCCTATAATATAAATTCTGAACTTAAATTCTCATATTTAGAATTCCTTTCACCTAATTTTGCGTGCAAATAACTTTTCAAACATTTCCAAAACCTGGCGCCTTCACAGTATTGCATTTACGTTCTTGTTATATGGTTTGGTTTCTTTCGTAATTGCATAACGTAACAACAACATACATAATCCGTAATGAAATTAAATCATGGTCCTACAACTCGGAAAAAATTGTCGTTAGCAAACGCAACATTCCAATGATCACCTGAATAGAGCAAGGTCAAAAACTCAGAAGCAAAAATTTTACCGTCATAAATTGCTTTGACTGTTTGTTGAGACAACAGTTTTGATTGATTGTCATGGATAAGGAAACTAAGCCTCTTCTGATCGCCGCCATTATTCAAATGGCTTCTAAGAAAAGTTTAATCGAGGTCGTATCGAAAGTGAGGCCTTATCCTCTGGGTTGGGAAAAAAACATTTTTGGGGTCGGTGTAGCAGTTGTGTAGTGCTATCAAAATAAGAAAGGAGGGTGTTACAAGCGGCGTAGCTAGCGGGGGTTGTAGGTGGTTAACAACCCTCAATGCTTCATGAATTCGTCGATGAATCTTCAGTTTGTCTACAAAATCCTTAGTTTGTCGGTAAAAATCATCTATAGCCTACGCCTTATCCCCCCCCCCCTTCAAAGGTGTGACGTAGGCTATAGATGAAACAGTACCTAAATTCTTCTCCATGTATGTCTTCGTCTGTAAATTTTTCTATTGATGACCCTCCGCCCCTAGTCTGGAAGGTCAAATGACGCCACTGGCTCATGCACATAATGTTGTTAAAAACAGTATCAAAAATAGGAGTTGGCTATATTTCGGCATAAACAAGGGGGGGGGGGCTCACCACCCTAGAAAACGTATCTATGTTTCTCGTATCGTAGATAGCAATATCTTAAAACCAGAAAAATTATAAGATTTTTCCAGGCACCATGCGCCAGCTTAAGAATATGCTAAACAGGGCTTGACTGCAAATTTTTTAAAGCTTGCCATTTTTTAAATATCGACTCCCCTAAAAAGGTCGTAATTCAAAAACAATGCCCTTTAGGAGTAGGTCTTGTTGTTAGTAGTTCCTGACAATGTTTAATCGATTTTGGTCGATTTCAGACCAAAATATTGACCTTATTACAAAAAGTTGACTCCCCTAAAAAGTCGTAATTTTGTTAAGAAAAACGCTACCGATTTCTTTATTCTGAGAACTTTTATTCGACTTTGGTTGATTATATACCAACAAGTTGACCATAAAAAATTTCACACCAGGTAAGCCTATTGGCTTCTAGACAGTCGTAAATTTCTTTAAAAGGTAGGGTCCCACCATAGCCAACATTCTTGAATCATAGCAGTTCCTGAACCTGTTGAATCATTTTCGGTCAATTAGGCCAAACAGTTGATGTTCAATGTCAATTTATAAAGAACAACATTATCTGGGCCTCCACTCTTTCACCAGTAACTAAGCTTTCACTAACAGCTGATTCAGGCACGAAGCTAAGAGGGGGGAGAACGTGAGGCATTGCCCGCCGATCTAGAACTTTTTGCCCCACTGTGCCTGTTCAAAAATTTTAGAATAAAAGCATATTTTTGTTTAAAAACTTACAGCGTCTTCCTACAAGACTGAAGAAAAAGTTCGGTCTGAACAAAGTCTATGGGTTATTTTAAATTTTTATTGGGAATTTTTTTTGGCCGGGAAAATTAAGTTCATAGGGGCACACCATTTTGACCAGGCTTGAAAAATTTGAAAAACGCTAGACTTCTTGCGCTCGCATCTCGCACCTCGCACCTCGCAACTCGCACCTCGCACCCAAAATATCAAGAAATTCACATATTTTACTTCAGTTGTGTATAGAAGTGCTCGCTGGTCGCAGCTTAGAATGTGCCGTTGGTCGCACTGACGCGTCCGCAAAATCATACCTGTTTTCCAACCTGGCATTTTGATGCTGTTTGTTTCTTGTTGTCATCTTTTTTTGAAATGAATGTCGCGGAAATGAAACTCTGATTTTACAAATGATAAAAGCTTAAAAGGAAGAAAAATCCGAGGGGCCTACAAATGAATTTCCCGAGTCAAAGTGGGTCATCACGGCCCTGCAGCCCACACAATATCACAATGCTTAATGGAGTCGATCCGACTGCTGATATGCCTCAACCTGCGTTGAATGCACGTTTTCAGCACTGACCAAGCTCCCAACGAAGACGCCAGGCTACAAAACGAGACTGAAAGCAATACTTTATCCTTCCGAAAAATCGTCGGTCTCAACAAAATCTGTGCATCTGTGCATTCATGGTGAAAACAATATCGACTGTTCACAAGTGGACAAGGAGGGGCAAATTACTCTTAAAAATGGAGTGCGAGATTAATAATCACGAGTGATTGATTTGTGATTTAATCAATTTTGTATGTCATTTTTTTTATTTTTAGTGATTAAAATAATTAATTTTTGATTAACTTGTGGTTAATTTGTGATTACTCAGAAATTGAATCATAGATTCAAAAGTGCTCTTAAATATAATGGAATGAAATTTAATGAACTATGCGCAATAAACGTCGTTTGAACACATTCTACGACGATTGACCAATTCACAAACTAAATTAAACAATAATATTTCACAATAACATTGACGACTCAAAACAGAGTTATCTTTTCTGAACAGCAGAATAAGCAAAATATTAAATCAATATGATGGGTTTTCTACATCATGGATGCAGGGTTGACAATAGACTGAAGTGAAAAACAGCGAACAGTTGTGAAACACCTTGTAAGATACATTAAGACAAATACATGTGCTCTGTTCTGTGGGCCGTCTACTTTCGTCGTAAGAATTTGCATATACATCAAAAAGCTATATTTCCTGAACAGTAGCACTAACAATATGGATGCAAAAAGCCTTGAATGAAAGACAGTGAACAGTTGTTGAACACCTTACAAAAGACATAAAGACAAATGCATCTGCTCTGTTCTGTGGGCCGTCTACTTTCGTCATTAGAATTTGAATTTGCATCAAAAGAGCTATTATCTTAAAGCTATGAAAAGCAGCATATAAAACTATTATCTTATGACTGTTGTGTTTGTGTGTTTCAGAGAAGTCAATAAAGTGCTCACTAAGATTTCTGAGACTAGATATTCTTAAAGGACAAGTGACACGCTTTTGGCGCCAAATTTTTTTCTTCTTTTAACTTAAAGTAAAATGCTGTATGAGGGTGCTGTTGAAATATTTTTCCTTTCTGATTTCATTTTCCTACTTAAAAACCCTTTTCAAATTATGGCGGGAAATGAATCACGTGACACCGTGACGTAGATTGTGATAATTTGTTATTGCTGCTACTGGTATACAGTGCAATATTAACGTTTACAACACGCTTCTAACCGAATTCAGTTCGTCTGGACATGTCGCGTCGTGTTTCGTAAACTCTCTATTAATGACAGAAAAATTCCGAGTTATCACAATGTACGTCATAGGGTCACGTGATAAAAAGGAAAATCGCGCCCCCTGCGCCCCCTGATTAGAATTTTTTGTTCTAAACCAGGAAAAACTTACTTCTAAATGATGATCTATTAGTAAATGAAAAGAAAAGATAGGGTGAAAAGTGTGTCACTTGTCCTTTAAGCTCAACTGAGCCCACTTTCATACACAGGTTGTTTACGAATAACTCTATTCCTACATGTGCGTGTAAGTGAGTACAACCTTTATAATGCTTATTATATTAACACAACAATGACCACACCCAAAAAGAGTGACACACACCCTTTTTGTCGACAAAAAGCAATACAGTACTCCTCCGACTTTTTGGCTTTGCTCCTGTTGCCCGCCTACTTTTTCAGTCCTTGCTTCGTGCCTGTCAGAAAGCATTATTGAGAAGTGGAGACTTTCAATTTTTTGAAGATTTTCAGGAAACACGGAAATGGAGACCCCCTTCCCCGTGTGCCTCATAATAAATCAAACCCACAAACCACATAAATCAAACAAAAGATAATTATAGAATGAAATAAAGAGGCTGCCTTTTGAACTTGAGGCAGTTGCAATGTGGCCGATAATGTAACCCTGGCGGGAATATCTTTTTAGCAGCGAAACTGTGACCAAATCAACAAAATCATGACGACAGGAGCTTCCAATCCAAATAATCCAGTTGTTTTTTTTGACATCGCTGTCGGTGGACAGGTGAGAGTCTTTTTTAATTGATTTTGTCATGAGCACGATCGCCATGTGGTGAATGAGCGACTTGTTGCGTTAGGCCTTGTAATCTGGAGCGAGACTGGAGAGAGACAAGAAAAACAATGTTGTAGATGTATGTATGTTTTAACTGCTTTAGTGAAGCATATAATGCCAAATGAAAATACTGTCTTCATTTCTAGGAGACATGTTTATGCTTCAAACGTCAGCATCTATAAGTGTATTTGTGTTCCATATCTTATTGTTATAGTTATTGTTTGATATTTGATGTTGCTGTATTGTTATTAGTATTTTGTGGAAATGTATGTTGTGGAATTTAAAATAAAATGAACCTGAACCTGTATTTACACAGTTTGCCTTTATCCAGGTTGGAAACTTGTATGATTTTTCCGACGCGTCACCCAATATGGAAAGTTGGTTTCCAACATTTTCTGTAAAATGCAAAGAGCCGATAGAAAGTATTTCTAACTTGAACATGGCATAAAATGTGATTTTCTAACTTGAACAAAGGCAGTACGGTGTGCTGTTTATTGGTTTAACGCAACAAAGAATACAATTTCTATTTTAGCAAATCTCCATTTTATAAGAATGGACGTCTCTTTGCTATTATTGATCAGTTCTAATAGTTTGTCAAGCTTCTAATATCAATGACCCTCAAAATTCAACAAACATATGTACTACACACCGCCTTTAAAGGAAGAGCACCACACACTGCCTTTAAATACATCCTACACCCTTCAACTTATTGTCTGGTCATCCAGTTTTCAATTATTCTCAGTTTTCCTCACAGCTTCTTGGGTCCAAGCAATATGGCTTCAATCAAGGTTTAAAGTGCTTCTAATGTCAAAAAATCACAACATCTCTTTTTGTTTGAAACCAATATGAATTTTTTTACCGATTTTGATGAATTAAACTATTTCCAAAGATAGAATGTGAATATGCTGTTAAAAGGCTTAGAAAGTGCCAAAACACAGAATAGAGGCAAAACAAAGCATGCATCCAGTGGCATCAGGAGGTGTTGCTGATGTTGCTCAGAGAGCATAAAAATAAAATAGGCCTTATGTAATCATCACAATAACAGCCCCCCCCCTCCCCCCTCCTCTCTAGCTAGTGATGGAATGGAGCAGAAGCAAGTTTGTTTTTGGTTAAAGCAAAGTTCATGCCGAGGAATGTTTAGACCTAATACAACCAGAACATACTAGCATTTATTTCAACATGTTTTGAACCAGATTTAGAAAGCTGCCGCCATAACAAACTGTCTGCTCCGGTGATTTGATTTGGCTTTGCCATACAGAAACGATTATGATCATGCTTAGAGCTCACAGAGGGTGAAAAATGAACTGGACTTTATGAATTAACTTTCTCTATATATATTCAATCTAGCTTTGTTATTTACTTGATGTTGTTACCAAACAAGAACTCAATTTGTTGAAATTGTTGTCAACTCCACCTCTACGGCCGTTTGTGTGGATTGAGCCATGTGACTCTAGGCCCCCAATTATGTCTCAGATTCTTTGCTTCGTTCACAGCTTAGGCAAAACTTTGAACGGCAATAGCAATAAAATGAGATGCGATATAGCAATTCTGAAAAAGAATTGAATCCAGTTGTGGTGATATTGATATGCTATGTGGGTTGTTCTTTTGGGAAAATTTTAATTTTCTAGCCATTTTAACATTTAAGATAACACCTATTAAGGCTATTTACTATGTTTTTTGTAGGACATAGGTAGAATGAAGATGGAGTTATTTGCTGATGTTGTTCCAAAAACTGCTGAGAATTTTAGGTAAGAATGTATTATTTAAGAAGGTATATTTTCCTTAATATTCAGAAATTTGAAGTATGTTAATGTTAAAAAACATTGTTTTGAAAATTACCTGAACACCAATCAAAGTGTCTTTTTATAAATGTATTGTTTTTTTTGTGAAAACAAGTTTGTTAGGGATTCGCAAGTGATTAGCAACTAAGGGTAAACAGTTTCACCTGGAACAAGTCCCTTGTAAATTTTCAAGTTTTATATCATCCAAAAATCTAAAACTACCTTGCCGTGGAAATCATCCAGTCCTTGAAACTGAAGCCTGCATGGCTGTCTCTAATACTATTTAGCATTATACAACCAGGGGTGGATCCAGTGGGGTGCGAAGGGGGCTCGAGCACCCCTCAGATTTGAGAAAAAACTTTTTGGGGATTAAAGCTTATTCTACCGCAATTTTGTTTATTATTATTTAAACCATTTAAATAATACCGGGAAGTATGCACATCTCCTGAAATTGTTATTTCCGCTTCAATGCCCCGTCTCACAACTGTTCAACATTGTTATTTCAGTCCATGCATTGAAGTGTTATGAAACTCCCCCTGGTTGTCCTGTATAGCATTCTACAGACTCGGAAAGCATTGTCTCCTCTTATATCCAGCCACTTAAGGAACCCAAGGCCTGTAAATTATACGAGTTTCTGCACCTGTGGAAGTGAATCTAGCCAATCACGGTGCCAGGTCGAGGGGTTCTAAACTTTGGCGCGAGAACCCATGGATTTCAAAAATCCAAAACATCAAAGAATACCGACAAACCAGGGGGAGTTTCTTCGCTTCAATCTACAGTCAAATGTATAAGTGGTTTTATGACCAGGGGGAGTTGAGCTTGAACAGGGGGAGTTGAGGTTGACCAGGGGGAGTTGAATTATGATACAGCACGCGACGAATGCTTAGGTGAAGTGCAAATTTGCAATATGTTTTCGTGGATCTTTTGACGATCTTTACCTGATGCTCGATGCTGTAACGGCAGAACTTGTAAACGCTTTGGTTTATATAACAGAACGGTTTCAAGTTTCAACTCCGTATTTCACGTCTTATTCATAGACCATGAGGTATGATTTATATTCAGAGGATAAAGCTTGCCCGAGCCCTTGTTATTCTTGTTTTAATCATTCAAGAACTACATAAAAAACATATCAAAAACTTGCCCTTACTATTATTGACCAAAAGGGGTTTCCTTTTTATACCTACTTATATTCCTGCGAATACTTTTTTCTCTAAGAATTTCAAATACATAAAAATACTCAAAACGGCAGGCCAATAGCGAAACGTTCAGGGCCTTCTTTGTTTGGTTTGGCGTCATATGTCGATGCATGCTGTGTTTGAATCCCTGTGTTCAACTTTTGCACTGCACTTCAAGGGCTTCATTCCACCAGCCACGTTATTTTTTTGGTCAAGCTGATCAAGTTCTAATAAATGGCTGCAAAGAGTCAAAAATTAAATTCTGCTTTGAAAATTTGTGGGCTCTGGCCTTTTGCCACTGCGGGCCATCATATCATATTTGACTACAGTTTCTATACTTTTGTACCCTAAGTGAATATAAGAGGGGCGAGCTGCAAATTGCGTTCAATTGGCATAAAAGCTGAAACCAAAAATTACTATATAAATCAAGGCATCTAGGCTTTTTAGTTTATGGAAGACTTTCATTTCATTATGGCTTATTAGCAGGGGTACGGAGTTTGTGCATAGCAACACCCTGGGTTACCAAGCCTTACGTTTTAGAACCCCTCAGAATAATTTCTAGATCCGCCCCTGACAACTGACATGTATGAAGTGAGTTGAATATCTACATGAATTGAGGCAAATCATTGTTTTGATGGAAACTCATAACTCTCTTTTTGTCTTGCAGACAATTTTGTACTGGAGAATACAGGTGAAGAATTTTTAATTTTTTCTTACTCGTTGTATTGTCTAATTCTTGACAACTTCATGTCCGAAGTTGCTATGACAACTTCAAGATAAAGCAAGCCATAATGATTATACTGTATGTTATTTGTTTTTTGCATTTTTCTTTCTCTTATATCTTTTTTTGCATTTTATTTTCTCAGCCAATGTCAATTATCATTTGACATCAATTGATAAAAGAGTAGCTAAGATTTTGTTGACCTGAAAATATTTAAATATTTCCATGAATATGAAACTATTTAAAAGACACTCTAAACCATCAGTCAACCATTCAGGGTTAACAATAGGGTCTGCTGCATGTTAATATGTCAATGCCTTAGAATACTATCGAAAAATTAGAATTAGTCCTTCCTTGCTGATTTGAAAATGTATAGCAATAGATTGTTGTGTTGTTCAACAAATAGGAATTTAAATGTTTATCAAATTTTGTTGGCAACCACCAACATCAAACATCATACCAACCAATTTTAAATTGATAGTCAATTTTCAAATAAATGCATCCAAATAAAATATTCAAATGTATAAATTGGGAAATGTAAATACACCATGAACTCAGAAATTATTTTTATTTTTGAAATTTGTTGAAATTTTTGAAGTTTTTTTCTTGGTATCAGTGCTACCTTTTTGAATTACTTTAAAGTCCTGTGTTAACTTGAAGTTGCTAAAAATTTCAGAAAGGATGGACTTCCTGTTGGTTATAAGGGAGCCAATTTCCATAGGTAAGTGGTTAATTAGATTATTCTGTCCAGGTGAGGGATACCTTTTCTTCTGGGATACACATACCACTTTCAGTAAAAGATCAAACTTTCTTTAATAACATGTATTGTGTGTGAATTTTGTTATCCTATGTGTGGATTTTTCTAGAATTTATACAGCACAATTACAATGGGAATTTCTGGCATGCTGAACAACGGGAATTTCCCAAGTTTTCTGACAAATGCATCACTTTAGGGTTATAGCCCTCAGCCCCCTCCATTGGACATGCTTTCCAACCAATGTAACCTTACTAAGCAAAATTGAAAAATAACAATGGTTTAAAAAAGGTAATTAAAATGAAAATGTGAATTTTTTATTTCTGAATTTACATTAAATATATTATAAAAAATTATTTTTCCACAAAACAGAGTCATAAAGGACTTCATGATTCAAGGAGGTGATTTTGTAAGCGTAAGTGCATGTAACATACTTGGTTATTTATTTATCATATGGGTCATACCATAGCAAATGAGCCTAATTTTGAAAGGGGTACCACATGCAAAATCTCAGATTTTCATGGAAATTCTTGTTTCATGTTCATGTGCATATGATAGGAATCCCAATCTGGTAGCATCCCAAAGATAAATCCAATCGAATATGCACATTGCGTGTGGTACTTCATCCATGTTTTGAGCATGCACTTGATAACAAGTACATGCTCGAAACGTCGTGTTTTTAACAATCAAACTATTATATTTTCATGCTGGTACTCAATTCATTTACTAACTATATTATCCCAAGGATATAGTTCTTCAAAGTTTCCAGCTTTTGCTCTTATGCAGAATTCCGGGAGGTGGAAACACAATTTTGCAAAATTTGATCTCCTATACTTCTTGATCTGATTTAGGTAGCCTCTGCAAAACTGATACTCTAGAATTTTGTGGGGAACAGTATCAGAAAAAATTGCAAAACATTCATACCTCATACTTAATATTTGGCCCATAACGGCAGCCTAGAATTGCTAAATATTTACTTCCAGAAGTAAAAAATTGAAATTTTAAGGGCCTGGGTTTAAATTCAGAATATCTAGATGTAGCAAAGCTTATTTTTTGTGTATCTTTGTAAAGGTAACTGCTATTTTTGAGTAAATCAGAAGTTAGAAATCATTATTTCAGAAACTATGACACTTTAAAAATGGCTCTGGGCCATAATTTAAAAAAATGTAGTCCCTGTTTGATCCCCTAGAAAAGTAGGATGGAATACACTTTGATGGTTAAAATTTTGTTCACACATAATGCTGGTTATTATATATTATGGTATCAGCAAAAGTATCCTGGGGACTCTTTGGGAAGTTGGAATTTTAGGGAATTGAAAAGTACTGGAAACAGCAAAACCTTACAATTTGAAAAAGTCATTATTTTTTGTGGAGAACAACATTAAAACTCAAAAGTGTATGTATTATAAGATAAAAATATAATAAGGAAGTTGATTTTAGAAATAAACCTCTCAAAAATTGATTTTATGTTTGTTTTGTACAAGGAGGGCAACATTCACAGATTTTCCAACAAAGTGGCACAACCTTATTGTTTTTTGTTAAGGTTTCTAATCATTGATTGAGCTGACCATCTCAAATGGTACTAGAATGTTTCAATCAACATCAAATAGGCAAAGACATAGAAAATTGATCAACTCTAATAATTTACTTTGCTAAGACATAAATTCACAATAAAAATGGCATGTCACTGCATCTATCAGATACTTATTAACTCAACTTGGTAAAACTGTCAAACAGATTCAGAATTTCTCTGTGCAGCATTGCATGCGTGTACATTCCAAAATTAACAGTTGAGGTATATGCATGTAAGTAGCAGAGATATATATATAACGCTGGCCAGAAGTAAAATTTCAACACCCTCTGTATATGACAGTAGCTTGTGTTGGTAAGTCAATGTGATCGTAGAATATGATAAGAAATTTAATTAATAAACAATATTAATAGCTTTCAAACTCAGACCCACCTCTCTCCTCAGCAGGTATCCTTTGTTTTTGTTTGTATTTGTAATTGCTATCAATAGTTATGCCTTATAAATGCCCTTTTTTTTAGACATTGAAGATTGTTTTTGACTCTTTTTCCTGTTTCCTTTAGGGAGATGGCAAAGGTGTTTGCAGTATTTATGGAGGAAAAGGTGTTCCATTCCAAGATGAGAACTTTAAGCTTAAACATGAGTCTCCAGGGCTACTTTCCATGGTAATTTTTTCATTTTACATGACTACGCCAGACTGTAATCTGTAAACTGTTTTTCCTATGCAGAGAATACCAGAACGGTAATATGCAAATTTGTTGATAATGAATGTTTTGGGAGACATTTGTGCACAAAATTTGTAGCAACAGGCTTTCAAAGAGATATATCAGATAACAGAGATTCTCTGTTTTTTCTTGTCAGCAGAAGTTAGAGGTTTAAATTATGGAATATTCGAAAGGGACATGACCAGATAAAGTTAGAATATGCACAGACTTTTTACAGCAGATTATTAACAATGCGTGCATGGAATAAAAGATGAAAATTATTGCATCTCCGTGAAGACCAAATTTTGCAGTCTGGATGCTATATCCATCCATTATATATTTGTAATTGGTAACTAGATAAATATTATCACTTTTTGTTACAGGCAAATAGTGGTCCAAATACAAATGGTTGTCAGGTCAGTATTAAAAGCTTTTAATTTATCATTCATTTGATTTCATTTACCTGCTGATCAGGAGACTTTCTCAGTTTCTGAAAAGAGAAGGTCTGTGTGCGAAATGTAATACTCTCTTAACTTTGCTCTGATTGGTCATAGAAAGCTACAGCAGAATGTGATTGTGATTGTGAGCAAATGACTAATTCAAAAGCTGACTGACTGACTGAAACAACATTACTAATAAATTGATTTATTAAACAGTGGCAGCAGTGTCATGGAGGGGAGCTCTAAAATGAAGAGAGATTTGGGGGGGACGCAGTCCCCACTTGCCAAGCCAGTAAAGGTTTGGTTGGGCACATTCCTTACTTGGCAATTACCACATACCCTTTATCATTGCATAGATTTTCCATGAAGAGAAGTTTATATTAGCCTTTTAGAGGCAGTGAACAGTTTGAATAATTACATATGCGCAACAGAAAATCTCTAAATCAAATGTAAGAATACAGGATGTGACCGTGAGTGTGTTATTTGGTGTGGCTTCTACAGCACAGCCCCCTTCCTTACTTTTATGGATGACACCCCTGAATAGTGGTTAGAATAGAAAAGCAAAGAAGGTGTTGTACAATCCCACTATAACTTTTTGGATAGTTACTTGTTAGAAGATAATTGGCTGTCCTGTGAAATTATCTGAAGGCATTGGTAGGTAAAGTTGACAACATATCTTTGTTAGTGGGAATTTTCCTTCATCAGCCAACGTGTTTCATTTGACTTTTAAAATACCTGTTAGATAAATTATGATGTAACCACAGAAATCTTTATTTCAGTTCTTTATCACCTGTGAAAAGTGTGACTTTCTAGACTCAAAGCATGTTGTTTTTGGTAAGTGGGTCTTTTGTAAGGATTTTTCCATGGCTATCCACTTTTGAAAATACTTTTTTTAGTTTTAGTTTCCATGTTGCAAATTTTTAAACTGTTTACTCTAATGTTTATCATAATCAGTCAGAATGATAGTTCTCAATGATCTGTTTTAAATGCCTATTTTGTTTAATAACCAAGAAATTCTTGAAATGCTCAATTAAAATGTTTCTCAGAAATTTATGTTTATAAAATATTATTTTGGTAGACAGCTGATATTTAGATATTGATTTAGCTTTCAAGCTACCTTAAATGTCAGCTTTTCATTAAAGCTGTCAAGTCTTGAATTGTCAGACATGAGAATAGAATCTTGCAATTTTCCTTTGCAAAGGTCCCACTGTGGTCATATCAAGATAACCTGACTATGGAAATATTTTGTCCTTTGTTCAAATGAAGTGTGAAGGGTATACAAAAGGATTATGACTTTCATCTTACATTATAATAAGAAGAGTTCTTCTCCCTAGGAAAAGTTATTGATGGCCTTCTTGTCATGAGAAAAATCGAGGTAGAGCTACTTATATATTTTGATCAAATATTGATGATATAAAGTATGTAACACTGGTCTTACTGTGAAAATATTTCCAAGTGTAGAGTAAATCACTCATCCCAAGCATTTTAGGCATATGACAAATGCAGTCCTTTTCGTTTAGCGCGTGCGATCGCACCCGCACACGCCTGCACACGCGCAAGTTAAATTGCGCGTGCTTTTGACCACACGCGCAAACAGGTGTTTTTGCAGTTTTCTGTTAAAGGGCCTCTCCAGCCAAATTTTGCACTTGCATTTTATTGGCAATTTTTATAAAGAAGTTGAGCCTGCTGATCACGAATTCGTTATTTGTTTTTCGATATTTTTTTACAGTTTGTGAGATATAAGCTCTTGCATTTCGATAATTTAATTGAATTAACCGACAAAAATTTTTGGTTTGGTGACACTGTGACGCAATTTTGACGTCACAGTGTATTTCGGATAGTCTCGCCTCAAACCGAATCGAACGACGGCGATTCGCAAATTGAACACTGCAAGTGATGGTACTTTCAGTTCTGTTCCGCCAGCTTTTAGTTTGAGCATTTCAGACACAAATTCTGAAGCCTTTAGTTGTTCATCGTTTCTGGAGAACAACTGAAGTGACAATTTCGATTAATTATACGCGAGGGAAGAGCTGGAACAGGAACTGGAGCTGGATGCAGTTATCAACGCGTGACCATGACTCCTTCACGCTTCGGTGGAAGATATACGAAATTCATGGCGAACGAGAGCCGCACATTGTGACGTCAGAATGTCACCAAACTGATTCGGCTTTTGTCGTTTTTTTTCTCGGAAAGGTGCAACTTTAAAGCCTTGCAACTTCTAAACTAATTGGAATTTTTCAAAAAAAATGACTTTGTCATAATACACGCACCAGATGCTAACTTTTAAGTCATTAAAAAAAATTTTTTTTTGCTGGAGAGGCCCTTTAACATCAATTTCCCATGGTCTCATGATTGTTTATCCTTTCCCTTGTTACTTGATTCGCACTTTTGACCACAATATGATTTTTCCAATTTTCGGAAGTGATGTTTGGCTTTTGACTGAGTGCTCCATTCAACTTAGCGTCTCGTCTTTCAGCTAAGTCGCCATTAGCATGTTAAGTGTAATAACTGATTTCCTGTCAAAACGTAATTAGGCCCTGAAAGCAAGTAGCTATTGGAAACAATTTTTACTTGCTCTTGTAACTTTGGAGAGTTACGACGACTCTTAAAAGATGGCTGCTAAGGGCAACAAAATCTGTTACGTATTGATTAATTGAGTTTTGCTCTTGCACGTATTCGAGTGGCTTTTTCCTTTTACCAATTTTATCAGGTTTGTACTTCAAATTTTCTTACAAGTGCGATCGCACGCGCAAATTTGTTTACATGTGCGATTTGCCACACACGCGTAATTTTGCTCACGAAAAGGACTGCAAATGCATCTAGTAATAAGGCATAAATAGTAATAAGGTATGACATATGCATAAATAGTAATAAGGTCTATTTTGGGTATGTTTGACTTCAATTTAGTTTAGATCTACTTCAAAACTGATATGGATCACCCTTGTGTTTGCACAAATACCTTACAGATCCAACTCAAGGCATATTTCTATAATTTCTCAACTGTTTTGAAATTTTGTTTTGAATTTTGTATTCTGAATATGGCTATACGCCCAACTGTTTTGAAATTTTGTTTTGAATTTTGTATTCTGAATATGGCTTTACAGTCATGTTTTGCATAGAAGTTAATAGCCTTTGGTTACAATGAATTTGATGATAATGCTGGTGTTGATAAAAATAATGATAAAAATGAGAAATAATGAAAACAATGTTTGAGATCAAATTTTTTCTTGTTTTAGAATGTACCAGTTGGAGCAAACAATAGACCGAAACTTGCAGTAGTAATCAGTCAATGTGGAGAAATGTGAATCGCATTGAATGATATAGCTCTGAAGGTTCTTATCCACTTCAAAAGACGGCATGCATTTTGCAAAGTCTGGATACCATCAAGAGATCGGGGAAGGTATAAACATACAGGATTTCCAAAGATTTGGAATGTAAACCAAGAATATCAGTCTAGAAACATTTTTATTACATAAAAAGTAGAAATAATAACGAAATGTGCTTTTAGTTATTATTGTGGCTTTAGTTGCATTAAACAAGTTGGTTGCCTTTTTCAAACTGAAAGAAAAGTATCAGAAAGAAACACATGTGGAAATTAAATTATCCAAAACAAAAAACATCAGAACTGTTTTTGCTACGTTGACCCTAAAATAACAGTCCTCATTACAGACAACATTTAACAAATTACATATTATTTGTTTCATTTTTGAGCTATCACAACAAACAGATTTTCACTTAAAAGCATGGCATGAAAATATGCATAGCGCTCAAATGATATATAAAAAATTTGAAATGTTATGCAAAAAGGCCCAAAAAATCTTAAAAAACTTAGTTTTTCAAAATTTCCCATTTGCCTTCAAAACAAAGTTGATGCTGCAAGCTGCAAAACTAAAAAGGGTTATCATGGTAGTAAAAATGTTTGCTTGGCTTTAGAGAGGAGGAAGCAATGTCACTTATCTTTTGTAAGAAGCTTTCTATATAGGTAACCAAATATAAACAAGGATGATTTTGGTACTTAAGATGTATAAATGTAATAGCTATTTGAAAAATTAAGAATGCATCTCTAATTTGAGAGTTTGTAGACAGATGCAAACAAAATTTTCTGACAACCTGTGATTTGGAATCTGCATCTGTGTGGAAGAAGCCTTTATTTATAAGAGGCTCTTCACATGAGAAATTTTAGGCCAGTCGAGACTCGTGCCGGCCTGAGTTCAGTTTGGTGTTTGGTCAGATCCCTTTGAGTGTTCACATGAGAAGGGCGAATTGAAACTCATACCGCCCTGAGATTCAATTCCAAACCAGTTTGAATTTTCAAGCTGGCTTGAAGAAAATTAGCACACCTGAACTGAACTCAGGCCGGCATGAGTTCCAAACCGGCCTGAAATTTTTATGTGAAGAGCCTCTAAGAAGAAGGCTGAGTTTTCCAAATGTTTTGGCTAATATTTGTAAGTGACCTTAATTAGCAGCATAGTTTCATTTTACAAGTTAGTAGATTTTACTATCTAATTGTCCATAGAAGCTCTTGGACAATTTTAATTTGGCCATCATTACCTTCTAGGGCCCACGTCACAAGGTGGAGGGGCCAGGTTCTACAAATTGAACTTGAATTTAGTGCTTCAAAACAGAGGCTCTTTGTAAATAATTTTGTCTGCCAAAAAAGTTAGGGGGCCGTGTCCCCTCCAGCCCCCCCTCGGTGGTGTGGACCCTGCCTTCATGTATAAGAGATTAATTTTTTGTGACATAAATTATAATGATCTAGAGCTATTCTAGTTGGTAGGTAAAATACACTAAAGCATTTTTACCTTCTACATTTATTCTTTCTCTTCCCATTTCTCGAACAGAGACACAATGACTATGATAAACAGTTAACACCTTACATGGATTCAATACCTTATAATTAAATCGTGTTTTAAAGATCCATATTAGTACATTTTCAATACCCGCCATGTTTGGAGTGACATCCACTTCAACAAGCTGATGACCTGGAAATTTTGTGTGTACATGGAAGACAAAAGTGTCATGGCTCCCCATGTAAGGGTAGTCTTCACCACAATGTGCAGCTGTAGTTGTTGCACTGCATTTAAGAGGAGATGGGTGCCTCGTCAATGCATACATTAGCTTTTTCTTCTGCAACACCTTGTGGTTGACCTTCTCCCACCCTTCTCCGATGTAGTTATCTTGATGACTGACAATTACTGTCTTTCCTTTCAAATATTTTGCAGCATACAAAACCTCTTGTTTTAAAGTTGGTGACTCCTCATTCTTGTGTATAATAAGTTTATGACTATTCTTGATATCCAACATTTGCAGAAATGTTAGTGTTTCTTCACGAAAAACTAATACATGAACATATGCAATTAGACTGTGATCAAGATTTCGTTGAAGGCAGTTGGTGACTTCTGCCATTCTTGCCTCAACTTCCTGGTCAGTTGGTGGCAAGTCATCATTTATTAGAAGTCCTTTTCTAACATCAGGATGGTCAAAAGGGACAAATGTTGTTACTAAATGAAATAAGCGGTTATTATCCTTTTGAAGTAAATCTCGTGTCACTGGATCCACTGCAGCCGATAACCTTGCCATGTTGTTGTGATTAAGCAAGCCAAGGACTTCATAATTATATTCAAATTTGTTCTCTCCACCATACAAAACAATGCTCTTTAGCCCTGCTGTCAAAACCCTTCTGCTACCCATGAAGTGCCAGAACATAACTAAAACTATCACGAGTGCAAAAATAACAGCACATTTCCAGTTTGCCCTGCTATCTATCACGCTTAGTTTTATCTGCATGACTTATTGTATTAACACAATTTTTATGAGAACTTCACCAGACCTTTCTTTGCCATTTTTAACTGTTTTGCATACTATCAAAACTGGATGCAGCGAAACTCTGTACTCTAACGTGCCTGGTATCAATAATCTATAAAACAACTTAGAAATATTGTGCACTTTTCCATATATACCTACGATCTTTTTATTTTCTTGTATTTTCACTACTGCACGAGTCCATTTAATCTCATATTGGTGACGAGGCCATTGCGTCGTAGCGAGAAAGAAGTTTGAGTATAATAAAGCATAACAAGAAGGTGGAATTTATCGTAGTTAAATAATTTTATTTAAGTATTTTAGGAAAACAAGTCATGGTTTACATATCAGAAAGTGGTAAGCATACTTTCATTCCATATTATTTTATTCGCAGTCTTTTAATTGGTCATTATTGCGCCAAACCGTTGTTGGGCATATCCGCAAAACTTTAGTGCTTTGGCCTAGTAGGCCTAGCCTTCCTTTCAAATTTGGTAAAAAGTTGCTTTTTGCGTGCGAGCTTTTTCAATTAATGTTGCATTTTCAGTATCTGTATTTTCTAAACTTTTTTATCATAGGACATCTTTCAGAGTCAAAGTCCCCATGGCGAATATCAATAATTCAAGATACTTTTTGGGGAATTATAAACTTCATCGTATTATTGTGAGTGTCTTGCTTGCGAATTTTTCTTGAACTTTGTTTACCTTTTTAAAGGTTTTATGACTAAAACAGCAATGCAGCTCTGAGGAAATATGTATTCTTGGTTGGGTTAGAAAAGGGTCAATGGTTTCCAATTAAGCACAACCTGTCTCCTCGCATTTAAAGATTTTTGTTGTTATTATATAAACTTGACTTTAGTTAGGGAAGTCACTTTGGGTCGCTTAGCGAACGTCAGACCTTTCTGTAATACGACTTTGTAAATTGAATAAGGAGGGAAAATCTAATTTGAATTGAAAGTCAGTCTGGCTTGATGAAAGTTATGAGTTAAATCCACAGAATGATTTAATTAAATTAAAGGGCAGTTTAGATGATATGAACACAGCAAAAATGGAAAAGCTTATTTGAGGTAGATTGCAGCATTAGCACCAAGTTATCCTATCAAATATTGAAGCCTTTTCATATTGACATATACATATTGTTAAAAGCCATTTGTGTAAATCATTTATAATTTTATTCAGTTATGAAGATGTCTTCTCATATTTATGTTTTTCTTTTCCTCAGCTTTCAGACCATGTTCTCGGTAAGTACATTTTTCTCTATTATGACTTCACTGTCATTTTTCAAAATACTTCAATGCCAGGCCCAGTTTACAGTGTTATTGTAGTCTAATAACAAAATTTTCCATAGCTATAGGCTGTAGTGGCCGTCATTGTTTATTTTCATACACCCTAATTGGATTCATGCTCAAGGCTCCACATGTCAATAGACTTTTATTGGAATTTTTTCGCTTTCAATCTCCCTTTGAAAAATGTCAACAATAACCCTTGCTAACATCTCCGTTTATCAGGATTGGCCATTACCTTTGTTCTACCTTGTGAATGTGACATATTCTCCTTAGAAAACAGGGATTAAAGCCATTGTATTTTACTCATACGTTATTAGCCTCCTCAGTCTAATAACATATTCCAGGATATCAGCCGCTGTTTTTGTGAAACAAAACTGCAAACAAAGTACTATTGTTCAGAGGGGGTAACACTTGACACTGAAAATCTAACTGCACTTTTATTATCCTGTTGGTCTATTGGTAAATTTGTTATTTGATTGTATGGTAAATTCTATCTATGCAGCCTGATTTGACAAAGAAAGGTAAAGGATATGAGTCATCAAACTATAAACCTGGAGGAGGGTAAGTTTTTTCTATAATTCCCTATGATTAAGCTATTATCTCTTTAGATATAAAAAAAGAAAGATAATGTACTAACAAGATATATGTAGTGTGGAGAAAAAGCACAGAATAGAGAATAAACAGAAGGGAAACTAAGTGCAGGCTTTGGGCCTCCTTGCTATTCTGCTTTCTTGTCAACGCTGTTATGCAAAAAGACAATAAATAAGCAATTTCATTAGTGTCATAATTTGCTGACTAATTTCAGGAATTTTTATACCTGGACTGAAATGAACACTCTCTCTTTATCTTATTGACTTCAATAAACAGCTAAAACTATTTGCAAATTATGAGATCAGCTTTTAAAACAGTCTGGTCTGTTTTTCAGAAGTTCACAGACCATGCTGTTATTCAAAAGCTTCTGTTGAAAAAGCTTGGCTCTCTGTGTTTCTCCTTTACCTCAGTTTTTGGGGTGTAAAACATACCATTTTCCCAAGCATAAAGTGTAGCCAAAAGAATATTTCCCCAATGATTCTAATTATACCACCTTATACATGTTTTTTGAAGTGAGGCCTAAGACACAATGTATTGAAATAAGATTAATTCATTGATAAATATTATAGAAGTACACTTAGTGAGCAAAAGTATTGCACAGGCTGAAACAGAAATGGCCGCACTGAAGCAAAATTTTTTAATGAACCAAAATTGAAATGGCCAAAGCAACTTTCATAAAAGTTGTAAGATGACTTTTTAACTGGAATATGTTGGAAAATTTATCAAGGTTTGATGCTGAAAATAGTGAATGCAAGAATATTATTGATTTTTGCCTATTTCTAAACAATATCAACATTTGCAAGAATACAAAAATTGAGCCATGATGATTGAAGTACCTGTGAAACATGTGCTATCAAAAAGCTTTTATTGGCACCAATTTGTAATATTGAAATGAACTTACTTTATGCTTGGGTGTCTAGAACTGCTCATTTTCCTCACTTTTGTTGGCAAATATGCTAAACGTTTTGCTTGGAAATTTTTGGAGCTTCACTGGGCCTAATCGCAGCTGCTGTTTTGTGATATGTTGCAGCAGAATTCAATCAACAAAAATTGTCAAGTCCATTTTTTTTCCAATTGATTGTGATGTTGTAATGGGAACAAATAATGCTGCAAATTCCGTAAAACAACACATTGTCCTCTCATTAAATGAAAATACCAAAATTCCAGCGATAAACAGGCTCACTCAAGTGCCTCAATGGCTAGAAAAGAGTATGTAGGCATAATCAAATGGCTTAAAATATGCCATTTTCTCCCAAATACAAGGCCATTAATGATCAACTTGGTACTCCAACACCTAAATGTGAACTTGCAAATGTTTTTCTGAACTTGCCATGTTGCGATTAACAGAACCTGTTACAAAACATTTTGACAAACTTCTAGCAAGCCTCACAAAGGTTTCAAAGCTGCGAGACTGTCTGATAACAAGTTATACTATTTTACTTTTGAAAAAGTAATTTTTTACAATCATTAACTCAAAGGTTTTGCCAACAGTTTGAAAATTGGTTTGATTGGTAATTGACTATAAAAAGATGCCTAATGTCTTCACAAAAGTGAATTTATTTTTGTCAAATTTGTGCAATACTTTTGCTCACTAAGTGTATATATAACATCTAGCTATTGATTGCCAAGTCTATAAAGACTAATTCTTATTTGAAATGTTTATTGTCCTTTTGCAGCCCACCTAGGCCACCAGGAAGAAGAATTGGAAGAATAGGAGGAGGAGGTATAACATTTGTTTAAACTTCAATAAGTTAAATGGGTTTAGATGGAATCCATTAAGTATGTACACAAGACTTTCTGTTTTTGACTGCTGCCTGTCCTTTTCTTTCATAGGCTTGCATCCTGAATACCTATGCTCTACCTTGTCTCTGTGTACAAATGTTTTTACAATGAGATTTTGTCGGCTTTCTAAATGCGATAATTGTATTTAAAAGAGTTTCATACTTTTTAATGAGCATCAACCCCCTTGTATATGGTCATATGTTTTCTAACCACTCCCCCTCTCTTTGCACATAATGTGTGGAACCAATATTGTCCACTCAAACATATTGTTGTGAGAGAAACGCTCCTGGTTCTTATCTAAGAATATAAGGCTATTTTGTTTGCATTGTCGACTATTCACCATTTTTTTAAAGGGTGAATCATTCTTGATACTTTTTAGGTGGAGGAGCTGGACCTGGGTTTGCCCCACCACCTGGTGGAGGATGAGGAAGGTACAGATTTACTGTGCATGTATATGATGTCGCATTGTGATCTTTCAACATGATTTCTGTCTCTACATCTTAATCATAATGCAGGTCCAACTTTAAAACTCTAAGTTTACATAGGCTGTGGCCCAGGCAGATAAAAACAACAATTGGCAAATGGCTAAACTGATTTTGTGTTTACCTCTTTTCAAAGTTCCCAGGCTGAAATGTATTGTTATGGCTATCAAATTGAAATCTGGTTCTTTGTTAACTAAAATCACTTGATAACGGGCTATGCTCGAAACATCATCAATTAATTATCTATTACTTATTCCTAGTACAATTAACTTAAATTCGTAGTTTTTTCTATTATGTTGTACAACATGCGATCTAGTATATTTATTAAATCAAGTACACAGGTAAAAGCAGGCCTTTCTATGCTGATTGCACAGGTAGGAACAGGGCATTTTTTTAGAAGCACTGCCTGTGGTAAATATGCCTAAATATGATGCCTAAATATGGCTGAAAACAAATACTTGATGCATGAAAAGAGCATTTGCATCCTCTCGAGATACAGGATTATTTTGATTATGATGACCATTTTGATCATTGTTTTTTATACATTTCCTTCCTTTTTGTCAATTAGGTAAGATGTTTGTTGGTGTATGAATATGATACAAACAACAGACATCGCATGTATCCCCCATTGACTGCTTTACTCAAAAGATTAGCTGTATAGCTGTTATGACGTCATCTGGTCAAATTTCAAGAAAAGCCAGTAATGACTGATGAATTCTTTTGGTATGTAAATATTATCTGTATTAGGAAATTCAAGATATGTCAGAAATAATTGTATAATTGTAATAACCACTATCTGCCTTTCTAGTGTTTATCTGCATATATCAATAATTAATGAATAACAATATTTTATCTGTATTACCATTATATTATTTAATTGTTTTTTGTGCAAAATTGCTGTCTTTATTCTATTTGCAAAAGGCCAATTCAATTGAATAAGAAATAAAGAACATTAGCTGATGTTTCACAGACTATGATCTTAAAATCATAATCTTGAAGTCATCACACATAATCATAATCACAGATCTTAAGATCAGTTTAATCAAAGGTATGCGCCAATCCAGGAGACCCTCTGTTACTTATGGGCAGATAATGACAAAACATTGCTGAACAATAATTTATTCTATGGAAAATTCTTCTTGATCTTTTGCAATTCACCTTCATTTGAATTATTTCTGATAGGCTGATGCATCAGTTTTTATTTCTCTCTAATATCCTTAGGTGATTTTAGAAATTAAGCCAACTCACTGATGAAAAGTCAGATTTAAAAAGAAAGAAACATATCAAGCATTTGACACTGTGTGTTTTAAAAAAGCCTGAAAAGTTTTGAATTAAAGATGATTAGCTTCTTAAGCATGCTTGTCCATGCAAACCAACAAATTATAACTATTCACTTATAACTAAGCTTTTTAAGAATTAAGTTAAGATAAAGTGGGACAATGCATCATTTTTTCAAAAGAATTAATTTACAAATCCTACAAGACCATGAATATGCTTTCAAAGAATGGGGCTCTGTATGATGCAGAACACTTAAATACAGACATTTTGAGGTGATATAATATTCGCTTTGTGGCAAAGAAAAAAATTATTTATATCATTTTATATATTTAAGGCAATGTTTCATGAATAGTTTCAACAAGTAGTGACTCAATTTTTAGTGAAACAAAATATATGTTTTTATGCCAAAGTATAGTTGCCTGCAGGTATCAAATGAACTAGCTATAACCAGGTCTTACTCTTCATAAAGGTTTGGTGTCAGCTTATTTGTGTGAATATATGTTCCTCAGTTTGCAAGGCAGTAAAATGCATTAAAACAATTTCTGCACAACTATATACAATACTCAATGGCTAAACCTTTTATTGTGACAGTCATATAGACAGGACATATAGCCTGACAATCTGACATTCAAGCTAATGTTTGCTTTCTCAACGGATTCTGGTAGTAGGGAGGTCAGGCTTTCATAATCTGCCAGGTGACTTTTTTGAAAATGCTTGGATGTCACGTGACTGATGACGTCATTTAACGGTAAAAAGTCAGACAAAATCATCGCTAGCTCCTCACTAAAGGGTTATTTTTTAACACAACTTACATATTTTGACTCGTCTCATTGCAAGCTTTCAAATGATATATATTTAAGCAAGATTTGCCGACATAAGTATTTTCATTATGACGTCATAACAAATTTTGCATGACGTCATCAAATATTTTATTGTCATAAAATGATACGTTAGCATAATTTTGTTTTAATATGAAGCTGGCTGTCAGCAAAAGCTTTTCTTCCATATGTTTTTCAATCAAAATAATTAGTATTTAGTTCATTTAAATTGAATTTGTGCCAACCGCAATAGCCAAAGTTTAAAAAAAGAAGTCGTTACTATCTGACGAGTGAGTCACTTCTTCCTCCGAAGTTGCAAAGTCTTGCTCCATATTTGAACCGGACAATGATTTCTCTGCATCCGCATTTGAATGTTACACTAAATCGGAAGAATGTCTTGGCAACATAGGCTATCCAAGATGTCCTACCGATGTGCTGAAGGTGCATGACTTTTTTCAATAAGGCTATCTTCTGCTGCGAAATAAGGCCATCTCATGAATAAAATACTCCATCTGTCATTTTTCTGATGGTGGATTTATATATGGATCTGGCTCCTTACACATGAAATTAAGAAGAACAACTTTATCTCCTAGTCACAGTACACCTTCAGGAGTTTCAAGACTAGAGTTATGGTTTTGATGGGATATGAAAATGCCTTGCCAATCACGAAAGCTTGGTGGTCTTCGTTCATTATTGAGACTGCTTTCGCTGTTTTCTTGGATCTTTGTGCCCCAGAATGCAGCTTAAGTTTCTGACTATACTTTCGTTTCTAGCAACAACCTACCATTCGAGCAAAATAGCTCATTTCTTTGAAATATTTCTTCCATGTTAGCGCTAGTGTCATCAGTCCGTGAGAACATTTTGTAAAAACGCCACCAGAAAACGCCAGATGGAGATTTGATGAGACGGCCTGAGTTCGTAGCATCAAACCCAAGGAAACATTCAGTGTTTGGTTCAAGAACATTCATGGATGTGCTAATCCTCCTTATGAGGCTAAAGCAATGAAAGTGGAAACAAAGTCAATGCTAAATATTTAGAAACAGCACACGAGCAAGCTAACGGCAAAAGAGAGTCAGCAAGGCAAGTGCATATAAAAAGTGGAGAGCAAAAGATACTCCAAAGTAAGAAGAGTATTTTTACATTGATGAAAAAAAGAGAATCTTATGAGACTTGCTCCCGAATTCTTTCGAAGCGCTGAGGGTCACAGGCCCCTGACAATTCAATTTATCGTAGCTTAAGGAGGAGAAGCATCGGAGACTTCAAAAAGCAAGTAGAAGTCCCTCCAAGATGTAACCACAAAAAGGCGGAAACCAGAATATTTTGCATGGTAACTCGAAAGATGCAAAAGTAGTTGCTGTTGCAAAAGATACTGATTTATGTGTGCTGCTTGTTCATGCAACACAGAAGTGCAAACCCACAAATTAGTGGTTTATGTGCATAAATAACAAACAAATCGTCAAGATTTGAGGCATCGCTGAAACTTTTGGTTCCAAAATTTGCTGTATTTTATCACAGATTAATGGAATTGTGGGCTGAGACAACTGCATATAAGCACAACATTAATAAGGATACTGTGAAAAAAGCTAACGAGGAACCAGAAACAAATCATCATTAAAAGTCTCTCCAAAGGAGTTATCGCAAAAGCAAAGACATTCGCGAAACAGCAGAATATAGTGGAACAACATATAAAAGCTATTTAGGGACAAAGATATTTATCAAATCTGAAAAAAATCATCTGCCCCAATTCCAGCAGATCCATAATCACTCAATCAGAAAAGAATTAAATTGTATCAACTTAACAAGGTTATTTTGGCTACACTGTTTAGGTGCAACTACTGCAAGACATGTCCCAAAAGCCTGCTGTTGAAATTTGGACGACATACTCGACAGTTTAAAGTCTAAATGGTTTACAGAAAAGCAGCTTCCTCATCTCCGAGAGCTTCCTTTACATCACAAGAATATGAAGGTGACGCAGGAGATGAATTTACCCATGAAGAAAATCATACACTTTCATACCCAGCGCTAAAGACCTATAGTACGAAGACATCTTGGACAGCCTATAATAGTGCGAAGATATTTTCCGACTTAGCAACAGTCAAATGCAGATGCAGAGAAATAATTGTCCGGTTCAGAGTGGGAGCAAGACTTTGCGACTTCGGAGTAAGAAGTGACTCACTCGTCAGATAGTGACTACTACCTGTTTCGAACTTTGGCTATTGCGGTGGGCACAAATTCAATTTAAATGAACTAAATACTAATATTTTAATTGAAAAACATTTGGAAGAAAAGCTTTTGCTGACAGCCAGCGTCATATTAAAACAAAATTATGCTAACGTATCATTTTATGACAATTAATACTTCACCAGGGAGGGACATAGATCAACATCAGGAAGTGGGCGAACAATGCATCAGCCCTTAAACTGCCTGAACAATTATACCTTTTATGGGCGGTGATTGTAACAGGGAAAATATTTCCGGCTAATGCACCTGTCCCACGGCAAAAGAACCGCGGGAAAAGAGAGAGAGGAAAAAAAAAATTAGGAAACATATGAAGGAAAGAAAGAAAATAGGGAAGGGGAGGAGGGCGGGTAATAAAAATCCAAGAAACAACGCTTGAAAACTTTAATCTTGACTCTCTAGAGGTTAGATCACCATGTGACTGGAAGATCGTGCCACTCAGCACGACATGTCAAGTGACCCAAACCCATGCTCCTCCCTGGTGGCATTAACTGCTGTTAAACCTCTGCGCGTCTAACAGATATTAAAATATTTGATGACGTCATGCAAAATTTGTTATGACGTCATAATGAAAATACTTATGTCGGCAAATCTTGCTTAAATATATTTCATTTGAAAACTTGCAATGAGACGAGTCAAAATATGTAGGTTACGTTAAAAAATAACCCTTTAGTGAGGAGCTAACGATGATTTTGTCTGACTTTTTATCGTTAAATGACGTCATCAGTCACGTGACATCCAGGCATTTTAAAAAAAGTCACCTGGCAGATTATGAAAGCCTGACCTCCCTACTACCAGAATCCGTTGAGAAAGCAAACATTAGCTTGAATGTCAGATTGTCAGGCTATATGTCCTGTCTAATAAGAAAATGTTAATATGGACTGTTTGGGTTTAACCAAATCCCGACCTGACAAGGACCCAAAAAATGATGTCAGTTTTTAATAACATCATCAAGGGTCCTATATTTATGCCGTAGGAAATCTCTTGCTGGGCCTATGTGCTACACAGGCACGCTGGAGTGGAGGGGGGGGGGGTGGGGTTGAGCAGCTGTAGATCACTCACTTTTTTTGCTGAAGTATGATATTAGGGTTGTGACATCAAATATACTGGTGGGAAGACTCCAAACTGTGCTCTTGCATCCCTGTCACGTGTTGCTTACTTAGCTGGTCAAACATTGACAAACTAAATAAATCAAGAATATGTACAATGGTGTTTAAATCTTTTAATGACCTTCACCTGAAAAACTAGGTAAAACATTTCGATGACTAATATTCCTACCAGGGTGTTACACGCAATGCAAAATTTAGTCAGGCTTTGCCAACAATAAGAACATCTTATGGCTAAAATCATTGGTGTTTCATGGAGCCAACGCATGGAATAGACTTGACGCGGAAATGAATTTATTCTCTACGATTCGGTCATTCAAAACGAAATTATAAGCTTTAAACTGAAAGCATTCAAGGAAAGCTGATCGGCATATTTATCTTTATTTTCTTATCACTTCTTATTATTATTATTATTTGGAATATAAAGACTAGAAATAAAAAATTTTTGAAACCGTTTGAGCTCATATTTGTCTGAATACAGATCTGTTTATCGTTATTTAGAAAACCCTAACCACTCGGCTGTACAAAACACTCAAAAGTTCCTGGAATACTGCCCTAGATTTTTGGAAATTGTCAATAGCATCTTAGCAACACCCCTTAGGAATTTTATAATGCGGAAAAAGAGAGCGTATTATTTCTCAGAAATACAAACCGATTGTTTGAAGAACAGTTGAGCAACCACAAGGTTATTCTCCGTGCCAACTGAACCGTCTAGAGAGGCCCTTCTCGTCCGTACGGATAGCATTGGTGAGTTTCAGTTGCTTTTACTCATTCTTCCATTGTTGATGTATTTGATTTGAATATGTGTGGTAACCTTTTCTGATTTTGAAGTTTATGATACCTTGCTACAATTGCTTGACATAATAAAAAAAACAACAAAGGATGTTTACTATTTCAAATGCAGACCATGGCGAGGGCAGAAAGCTCGAGCACAATGGGAAAAATATTTTAGTCTTTGCGAAAAACTTCTTTTCTAAACATCGCACTACAAATTCGCTGTTGCGTGCCTTCCTCGTAAAACTGAAACAAATATGATAGGATGACTAAGCTATAGCGCCATTAAAGTATACTGTTAAGAAGTTTGAATATTTGCAACATGACCACTTTAAAATGCTCCTGAATTTGCAAAACTACTCAGGGTACAAGCCGAGCTGCACTAAAATTATCCTCACTCAAATTTCAAACTATATTTCTGAGTAAACTATCACTTTTGCTCTGATGAAGCCCCGTATGCCGGGGCGAAATATTGGCCATAACTGATTTACGTGTGTTTGTTGTTGTTCATTCTCGTCGCGTTGCGCTGTTTCTTAATCGCTACATTTTGTCGATTTTTCGCCGCAAGAATTCCATCGTAGTCCGTTAAACAGCCTGTTATCGTGGCCTTTTCTTTATTCGCACATTTATTTCTGAGACTAAAACATGGATACTCCGGCACCCAGGGTAATGCAAAATCATTTGAATCTGCTGTAAGTTGGCCTAGTTACGATCATACGAGCATTTGCAAGGCTCATTTCACTTGCCCTATCTCAGTCAATTTGAAACAGTTTTTCAGTTTATATGGTCCAAATTGAAAATTTCTAGAAATGATTTTTTGACGCCATCACACACAATTCACGGAGTTGTCATTAATAAATTTTATGTCATGACATGCGAATGAAAATATAAAAGTTCGTTTTTGAGATGCTAATAAGAACAAAGAGTTTTACGTGGAAAAGTTTTCAAAAATTGCATTTCATTCAAACGAAAAGGCAATTTGCCCTAGGGTCTCGCACTGTATATTTTCTTTGCTATATTTTGCTGTATTTTTAACCAACTTTTTCTGAAATTGAAAATGAGCCAAGTTGGCTTGGCTCAGTTTGTGAAATATGTTATTGGAAAAGCAATTTGTAGAAATCTTAAATAAAAAACGATGTCCCTGAGCGGCAAAGGATTAAACACACACCCCTCGTGCAGAAGGTTTTGAATTTATAACGTAGTAATTTGACTGTTTTTAGAATGAAATGTTGCCTTTTGCCAATAGGTAACACTTGCCGTTATATTGGCGGGCGAGGAAAGAATCTCTCTCCGAAATGGCTTCTGCTGGATATGACGATTCAACCGATAACCTGGAGACTGATGACATTGTAAGCACTATAAAAAAGATGTTGATTCATGCAATATGCCTAAACAATGCTAATGGCTTTGATATGGCTGTCGACGGTCTGCAGCAGCTTGGCGTTGGCCTAAATTGGAGAGCAAATGAACAATCGTTTGCTTTTATAGGAGACGACTGGCGCACGCCCTTAAGTCTGGCAGCATGTTTAGGCAGTACAGACATGGTGGAGAAGCTGCTTATGAAAAACACTGATCCTAATATGCGTAGCAAAGATAAGAAAGGGCGGGAAACTGGTCGGAATGCACTTCATGAGGTAAAGGATTTAACATTCACATTGCACTATAAGCCGTTTGACTCTGCTATGTGTTTCAGATATACAGTTTAGTAGAATTTATAGCTTTGTTTAGGACCTAGAACCAGAATTTCAGTCAAATCAGAAGTTTTAAACAAATTGTAATGTCGATTTAAAGACAATCTGAAGTTTCAAGACGGCGTACGATAGTCTACCGGTAAATATCTAAACTTGTCAAACTTTTCTTCGCCGTAACAGCAACGTCATGAGCATTTGAAATATGAAAATTCCCTGGGCAGTTGCTGCATCAGAATCTTTGCTTTGTGTCAAGAACTTTGAATATTTGCCAGACACATTTGGTGAATCGAATGGTAGAGTCCAGAAAATGGTTCATCCTTCCTTCAGGCCTCTGAACATAGCTTTCAAAACCTTTCTCAAGAAAACGATAAGATTTTTACACTTCATTGCTGTGACGTTTTATTTTATTTTAGGCCGTAAGGTATGGTCATACTAAAACAGTGGAATACTTGTTGAAGAATGGGTTTCAAGTCGATGATCGCGATGCAAAGGGATGGACTCCTTTACATATCGCTCTTATATACGATCGGCATGAAGTAGCTACACAGCTCATTGACTGTGGGGCGAATCCACATATCGTTGCTTCCATCAATATCAATGACCTGTCAATAGCTGACCGATTCTCCATCAAAACGTTATTCAAGACACACAATCTAGGTTGCACCACGTCTCCAATTTTCGATTGGAACTGTGCATTTCTCGCATCCCATTGTCATCAACCTAGAATTTTGTCAACATTGATCCGTGATCATTTTCAAGACCAGTTGAATTCTCAAACTCCCTCAGGCTCCACTCTCCTACATGAATCGGTATGTTTGCCAAAAAATTATAATTTTGAAGATTCAATGACTTTCCAGAATCACCAGGAAACCATCAGCGTTATACTAGAATATGGAGCTGATCCTAATATGGTTGACTCTAGTGGAAAAACACCGCTTCATCTATTCTTCGATGATGTCAATTTGACCAGTAATAGGATAAAATGTTTACCAAGAATGGTTCTAGATACTGTTCATCTATTTCTGCAGTACAAACAAGACTTGGGCATTGCAGATTCAAGCCGAAGGACCGTTTGTCATCAAGCTGCTGCATTTGGTAACCCTGAAGTAATGAAAGAACTCCTTGATTATGGTGTTGACTGTACCGCAGTGGATAGTGATGGTAATACGCCAGCACATGTTGCCGCCTATCATGGGAACTTCGATTGTTTGCAGCTTCTTATAAATCAAAAGGGAATGCGAGAAATAGCCAATGATCACGGTGAAACGGTGTTTCATGCAATAATGAAAGCCAAACGAGATGAGGTCGCCATTCTTAAGGTTCTAGATTTCATTAAAGCCCAGTTTGATCCATCGAAGAAGAATCTGTTTCAAGAGACAGTTTATGATTTGGCCGTAAAGCGAAATCTGGACAGAGTATTCAAGGCTCTGTCTAACTCAATGTGTTCACCAAATGTATGTGACGTTGAAAAAGAAGGTTTGTCTGTTTGCCCTACTGACAAAAAAGAGGGAAACTGCAATGCTGCGAGTTCAAGAGAACAATTGGTCCTAAATTTTGACAAGGAAATCTGTATCAAAGACCATCTGCTGCATCATTGCAATCAAAACCAACTTGGCAAAATTCATCTGGATGAGGACGGCTCATTCTGCCATGAGAGGTGCGAGGTCGCCAAACAAATTATGCGGCTGATTAGGACTCTGTTGGACGCTGTAGCCAACGAGGACAAAAGGTTTTCTTTCACTGTTTTAGCAACTGGCAGTGCGTTTGAAGGATTCAGAATCAGAAAACCAGATGAGTTTGACTTCATGATTGAGATGAAGCTGTTATCAACGAATGAATATGAAATTATTGAGAGCGGCAGGCCGGGATTCACGCGTGTCCGCATCAAAGAGCCATATGTGGAGAAATGGCAGGACATGACGTCAAGCGAAGGTTACCTTAATTCACAAAAGCTTAAACAGACTTTATATCGCATGCTAGCTGCAAAATCTAGCATAGTTCCAATAACCCCTGATACAGTCTTGTTGTTCAATAAAACCAATTATGATAATTGTCAGTTTTGCGAACCGTTGTTTCAGCAGAGCAAGGCTGGTATTAAAATGACATTGCTTTGGAGAGGAAATGAGTATCCATTTATGCCAGTCGATATAGACGTAACTCCGGCTATACGCATAGAAAGTTGGCCCTCGGCGGCAATTGTTCCTCCAAATCATGTTCTAGATAACTGTGAACGAATTGGTTATCACGTGATTCCAAAATCAGAGGCCAATGATCCATTGCTGTGGAGAATTTCTTTCTCAGTGGCAGAGCTCTCCATTCTGCAAAACGTCTCTGCAATCCAAGGAGCTTGCTACACTATTCTGAAGCTTATAAAGGAACAAACAGTTCTTTTCAAAGGAAAACAGTTCTCGCACTTTGGTTACCTTCATACGTATATTTTGAAAACAAAGTTTTTTGAAGAACTAGAAAAATCTAAAGATACAGAGCTTTGGAGTGAGGATAAATTGGAAGACCGAGTGTGTAGCGTATTGAGAGCAGTTGCTGAGCACTTGAATCAAACGAGCAGTTCATGCGTGGAGTCGTACTTTCTTCCAGGTTATAATGTCCTTGGCAAAGAAGACGTTCAAATTGCCAAATTGGCTTCAGCATCAATAAGAAAGAGTCTGCTTGAAATTGCTTCGTATTTGCTCGGTGAGGCAGTTGAAAGCTCGCAGATCAAAGAAAGTGAGAAAGCAATGCATTTCGGACTAGATTCGAATGTAGACAAGGCTGGTAAAGAAGAAGTTCGCATTGCACAATTGGCTTCAGCATCAATAGGAAAGTGTGCGAATGAAATAGCTTCATATTTGCTCGGCGAGGCAGTTGAAAGCTCGCAGATCAAAGAGAGTGAGAAAGCAATGCATTTCGGACTAGATTCGAATGTAGACAAGGGTGGTAAAGAAGACGCTCGCATTGCACAATTGGCTTCAGCATCAATAGGAAAGAGTGCGAATGAAATAGCTTCATATTTGCTCGGCGAGGCAGTTGACATCTCCCAGATCAAAGAGAGCGAGATAGTAATGCATTTTGAACCAGATTCAGATGTAGACAAGGGTGGCAAAGGAAGAACTTTGTTAGAATAACTCATATACTTGTCTTCATGAGCAGGGACTTAGGCCTACCAGTACAGCAGCAGCAGGGCGGACCAAAGAGGAATGTGCTTTTGCGTAGCATGTAGATATGCGAGCCTTGAAACTTGATGTTCCAGTAACACCTGCCTGATTACCAATATTATAATTTTACTAGCTACATACTTTCTGCAATCTATATTACAGCCTCAGTGACGGTCATTTTAATTCATGCAATTTGCTTGAGTAACGCCGTCCATTCAGCTGAAGCTACAATCCTTGCCAAAATTCTTGGTACACTGACGTCAGTTTCCAAGGGCAAATTAAGCCATTCCCTTTCTCCCCTTTGAACAATGTTGTTTTACTACAAAACGACGTAGGGGATTAGGAAGAACGCTTTTTTGCGACTCCTACATTAACTACAAAAAATTTCGTCGTGACAACGAAACCGTTTCCACTTGCCTGTCGACCGCTCTCGATCGACGGTACCAAATCTACTTGTCAGGTCCAGGGATTTCGATAAAGAAGACCACGATCTCTTTCACTCGAAAAGAAATCGTCTTGGTTTGGTACTAGTTTTGTTCCTAAGTGGAGCCAGTTTTGGCTCGACAAGGGATTTTGCCAGTGCTAGATACAGTTTCTTTCTCGTTTAGTTTAGACACATCTTCTTGGTGCAAATATTTTTTTCCGGTCCCAAATGTTTATTTTTTGCGACAGCGCAAGGTTTTCGGTGCCAAATTTAGCTAATACTTTGATTCGAGTCAGAATCATTTTGGCTTGCTTCAAAACCGTCCAAAAGATTTCTAGCCTTGTTCCTAATGGGTCTCGTGAAAACACTTCATAGCTGGCTCAAACTGGGACCAGGATTTGCAACAAATAGACTGAGTTTCTTTCGTGTAAACAGGGCCAGTACTGGCACATTACTATAACAGTGTTGCAATAGTATTGATTCGCGAGATTGTTTTGCTTCTACATCATATCAGACCGTGAATCAACAGAATAGAAAACATTTGTAGCAATGCGGCTGTAATACACAAACTTTCATGAACATAGGTAATAATCTAAATACCCAAAACATCGTTTGCATGGAATGTGATCTATGATTAAATCCCAGGATCTCTATGTAACCTGATTATCTTTTACAACCAGGGGGTAACTCCAGGCTTTCACACGAGGAGTACCCATCCGATACTCTTGGCACCAGAGCCTTGAAAAGTTTAACATTTTATGCATTTTACTACTCTTGGGCAACAATCGGTCACTGACCCAAACAAAGTAAGTATGCCTACAGCTTCAAAGGCCTAAAGTAATTCTTTTATCTGTTTAAAGTTAGAGCCACTAAGGTATCATCGAGAATGATTGTTTGGGTGAAAAATAATGTGCCCTCGTTCATATTTTGTCCAATAACCCTTGGCTCCCATTGGTTCTTTACATAAATCATATCTGCTACCTCTCAGTTACACAAGTCAAGACTGCAGATAGAATTCCTAATTCTATTGGAATAGCCTACATACCGAAGATGAGCAGGCAACCTCTCTGATTTGATTCGAAAACCTGCTCTAAATTTTTTTGTTTCAATACCATACTTTAGATATGTTGTATAAACATTTGAGACAAAATTGGACATATTAAGGGAAACAGAAAAGAAATTATGTGGGTAGGGTAGGTAAAGTATTGTTTTTTAGATTTATTGTTTTTAGATTTATTTTTACTTTTTTATTTTAATTTATTTTATTTTATGCTTGTTTTTCTATCATTTTAGATGCAGAGCCCCTGGAAAACCAGCATTGCTGAACGGGCTACCATGTTTTAATAAATGAAAAAATAAATCAATAACATACAATTGCAATATTCATTTGTTGATTTGCAAAATACAGATGTTTTGCTAATACTCATAGATCGTGGATGGATGTATAAATAAAGGTTTGCCCCGATTGATTAAATATTTATATTTGAGACAAAAATCTATCTGCATGCATTGACTACTTAAAACTGAAATTGACATTGATGCCAGAGTTGATACGTGCTGTGGTGCATGATACGGCAAGCAAATGTGACCATAGCGCAAGAAAGCGCCAGTCTTTACGGCAGGATGGCACGCTGTAACACATGGCCATAGCGCAAGATGGGCGGTTACGGTGCCTGACAATGATGCAGCTATTTGGTCTTTTTGGTATATATTAAATCTGTTTGTAATACAGCTTCCTTTGTATATAGAAAATGACAAAACACTTCAAACTAAAGCTAACGTCACAGAATTTAAGATAACAAAATAAAATGTCAAAAGCGCATATTGCAGCTTTCTTCATTAACTTGAGTGTCTCAATACTATCAAAATATGTCCCACATCTGCCGCCACTAGTCTCCATTTTATCCAAAATGGGCCTGACGATAATCCAATGTTTTCTTGTTATTTTTGCCACAACTGCATGAACAATAGCAATTTCAAAATCCATTTGTTTCTTATTTTTAAAGACGGTAATGGTGGTCGTCACATCTGCTATCCGGACACTCACTGCTCTTCGTCCGAGCTCTTTCTCGTCCTCCTGACACGACCTGGTGCCACATAAGGCGTAGACTTTTCCTGAAATCTTCGCTTCTCAATCCATAAATTATAGGATCGGCAACCGTATTTAAGAGCGATACGAACACGACGAAAACAATGACACGCATGCGCGAGTAGTCCCCTTCGGGGCCATCCGGGAAGGTTGTAGTCGCTGTCCGCGATAGAATCCAGTATACGAAAAATGGACTCCAGCAGACGAAGAACGCAAGCACCAGGGCTCCCAGCAACATGGATGCAGTTTTTCGCCTCCTTATTGAGGATGACGACCTTACAAGTTCGTTTGTCGTTGTGAGCCATAAGTACTGCCTGGTCCCAATAAACGTGAACATCAAAACAAGAATTGGGATAATGTAGCCTAACAAGGCTGTTATCGCGCTGTAAACTTGCCCATTGACTCCTTGTGGCCAGACTCTTTCACAGACGGCATACTGGTAATTGTAATGAAAAGAAAAAAAAGTAGGCATGCACATCGCAATTGCACTAGGCCATATGACCAGAATGACGACGTATGAGGCGTGTTTCTTGTGGAAAGATTGCGACTTTAACGGATAACGTATAAAGATATAGCGACTAACCGATATCACAGTTAATGTGAACAGAGCTGCTACTGTTACTATCCAATACGTCATTTGCCCCATGACAACTGTGCATAGTGCATTCGCAGTGGTTTGAGAGAAGCTTCGAATCGACTTTAAACTGATGAAAACGTAAGGCAAAATTGATATATCAGCTAGCATGTCAGACAGCGATAAGTTCAAAAGCAAAATGTTGAATGGGGTGAGTTTGACACGTTTTGAAGCAAATAAATACAAGATAAGTCCATTTCCCAGAATTCCAAGAACAGCAACAAGAACATAAAGTGTTTTCATAGTATGGTCGACTGCAATTGGAAACAGCTCTTCATTCAAGAACACAATCGAAGTTGCATTAGGGAAGGCAGTTGTTGCCATTGTGCTGTAATGTACTGTGTCGTTGTTTACATCTCCCATAGTTTAGAGAAATAATCTGTAAAAAAAGAAAAGGATTTTGTTAAACTGGGGCAACTACCGTGAAATCAGTACTTTAGCAGTAAATAAACAAATATTAAAGTCTAGGGATGATTTGCAGAGGGCACACGAGGGCAGTTGCCCCCTTGCCCTAAAAAAAATTAGTAACATTATTTGTTTGCTATAGTTGTGCCCCTTTTTCTATGCGCTTTGGCTACAGCCCTTCCGACATCTTTGTTAAGGCTTCTGTGCAAAGTAGAGAAAACAAAATTGGGTGTAGCAAATACAGGCAGAGGTCAAGCCAAAACTGCAAACATGGGAACTGCAGGGTCTACAATTGATCAGAGCCAGAGGTCACGGTCCCACAAATATTCTTCTACTGGAGACTGAGGATTTACTTCCCGTATTGATAGAAACCCCTCCCTCAAAATCTAAAAGTTTTACCTGTTGGCGAGGTACTAAAATACTGTCAATATTTTCAAATGTTTCAGTGGCAATACGTTAAAATTTGCATTGCTACTTGTGCATATTCTGAAAGACACAAAACAAGCAAAGATGGCAATCGTTAGAGTGGCTATCCGAATTCGTTTGCTTTTGTTTTACCCAAACTATGCCTTATAAAATGAAAGTGAAACCAGAAAGTGAATGCTTGTCACAAAATAAAAGCCCCTTTCGTGAGATTCAGAAATCGTTCTGGTGCAAGCAGATGACCAGGCCTGTCGTTTGCTTCTGTGCTCAAGGGGGGTTTCCAAGTCCCATTTGCGTACAGGTACGTGAGCCATCCCGTATTTGCTGACAAATTTGGAAATTTGCCGACTAAGCATCCTGAAATGGCAAAAAACGTCATCGTTTTTGCAATTAAATTACTTTTCAAGGTAGGGGTAACGTCCCACGCCCCCACCCCCCTTATAGCGAAGGGCCTGTATATGACAGTAGCTACAAATCGAATCAATGCTAGCGCGAAAAGCTAAGAATAACTTGCAAGGGAGTCTTTCAAAAAACTTTCGATTTGTGGAGTTTGAAGGAATCTTAAAGGAGGAAGTTAGAAACTGCAAAGGAGGGGCAAAGGTTTCACCAAAGCGTAAAAACAACAAATAAAAGGGGGGATCATTTGCACCCAACAACCCCTATATCATACTTGCCTTGGTTCTTGAAAACCTATTAAGAAGAATGAGGTAAACAGAGCTTATCACTTTCAATGCGAAGCCATCCCCGAGAAAATTCACAGTTGGCAACGCAAGGGTAGATGCAAGAGAGAATACAACATACTGGAATAAACTCTCACTTGAAAGTTTTCACAGTAGTCTCGCGTCTCGCAGTACTGTGCTGTCTCCTGGGTCGAGATCCGTTGCCTTTCGACATGTCTCAAATAAAGGCCGTTTGAAGCTAGTCTGAAGGAGGGGGCTGGAACCCCCCAAATAATGTTGAACTTGTACTTTTCAGCCCCCCCCCCCCATACATATGAATTTCGTTCTGGTGACATTGCAGATAGAAATGCCAGGTTTATTCAGTTTATACGGCACATGTGGCCTGTTGGCACACCCAGGGCAAAATCTGATAAAAATCAGCCGGGCCTAAATGCTAGCTTGCGTGCAACTTTTTCGAATAGAGGAAATTTCCTCTGTTTGTAAAGTCTGCATACAGGCTACTTAAATGCAAGATTTGTTTGTTTTAAACTCTAATCACAGAGCATAAAAAACTTGCTGGTTATGAAAATAATTCGCCTATATAAAACCATTTCGGTCAACCAAAAGAGCAGCACAAGTAAAATTTTACTATTGCACGGCGATCGATGACAGAACACGTAAACAAAAGCAAATCAATGCAGTTTAATGGTATTTCATAACTATAAATACCTGCACATCATTAGATTCTTCTCCGGTGATAATCTAAAAATTTAATGAATAACATTCTTCTCGATAGCAAGTATTTTCCGCTCAACATAAGACGTCTGTCTCAAAATCCTTCTGATTGTCTGTCTTCTGTTCTCACAGTTGGCAAAGATTACTTGTTTTGCGAACAATGCTGTTGATCGATTAAATTGCGAAAGCGACAAGATGATGACGTAATCAGTCGATCACATGGTGCAAATAAGAAGGAGAGCGGGACGCTGACTGGAAGAAATTAGTTTCTTTTTCGTCTCTCTACAAGTTCATCTTCAACTCAAAGTAGGTAACAGAGAAGCCAAAATAGTTTGAAAAGGAGACAAAAAGCCTAACGATTTAACAAAACACCCACCCTTTCCACTTTGAAAAGAATCTTCCATTGTTTAGCATAGGACAGTTCTAAGAATTCCTGTATCTCCATCATAGAACTATGATCTCCATACATGCACAGAATAAAGCTCTATGTATTCTGTGATACATAACATAGCCATGCATGGCCTCCGATGGAAGCTTGCAAATGTGGAGGGGAGAGGTAATTACGAAATACAAACCAGTTCGAAAAAAATGTTTTTGGCTTCTTGATTTAAAGAAAAATTTTCCAATGCAAAACCATAGCTCTATATGTGCATAACGCGTTTTCTTTAGGGGCAATACAGTGCACACCTCAAATTTATTCCCGCACATTGGAAATTCGGGCTCCTCTCCTCAGGAGAAAGGCCGAAACGTGCTCTCAAAATTGACCCATGTTCCCGTATCCTCTTTGTAAGCAATCGTTCGTGCATGACCTCTCGTACAGGAAGTAAAAATCACAGGCCCAAAAAGGGGTCACGTGACCAGAAGTTATCCGCCTTTCCGGGCAAGCTTACATAGAGTATTTCCTGAGGGGTTAAATTTTGCTCTAAAGAAACGAAGGGAGATTTTGGAGGGTGTTTGGCAAGTCGACAGTTCTCTAATGATGAATTCTTTAATTTTCTTCGCAGCTGTTGCTTTTTGCCTTTTAACGGCAAGACAGGGAGAAGGCAAGGAAGACATCAAAGGTTAGTTTGTCTTAAATACGAGTCAAGATCAAACTGTTTTTCTTGTTCAGCCTTTGTCTAGGCCCTGTGCCCAAAGGGTTCTTTAGAACGTCGTCAAAATAGCTCTTGTCACCAAATTAATGATTTTTACACACAAATATCTTAGTTATTTGTTTGTAAATAGAATTAAATCGACATTTTGAAGGATTTGACTCCGCTTCTATTCCTAGTGCAGCAAATGAGTACTTTTTGGCAATTTTTATTTTGAGATTTTACTGTCAAATTTTTGCTTTTTCCCCAAACGTACCGGTTAAAGAAATATGAATTCCCGAGATATTAGGTAGCTTAATATATTTGTTCTTTGCATGTTCATGTACATAGAGGTATTGCTTCGTAAGAAGTTATGTTGGGTGTTTACACGTTGTGCTCGATATTTTTGTTATGGCTTCTGTTTATTGAAAACTCCCTTCTTTCCTATTTTAGGCTTAAAACTGGTTGTCGTGACTGTTGCAACAAAGGAAACTGATGGATATAAAAGGTTCATGCGATCGTGCAACCTGTATGGGATTAACGTAAAGGTGGGGACAACATTTACCTTAATATTTAGCCAAATAGCTTATCTAAAATGTGAGACAGACATTACAATATTACAGTGAAATCAAATGAAATGGCTTAAGACATCCTCAGGGGTGACTTCATCACTAGTGGTGCTCCTACACTTGCCATGGCTGCACCCCCACTCCCCTCTAAAACCTGCCATGCTTTTAATTTGGTCATTTATGGTTTAAATGACTTTTCAGAGATCATAAAAGGTGAATAAGAAAGGAATAAAGTAAGGCAATCTTCCTTTAAAAAATGTAATTTGTAACTAATTGAGAAATTATAATGTAATGACACTCTCATTATAAACCTCTATAACCTATAATTTCTACCCACACAAATTTTTTAGCCATTTTACAGTCCCTTTGAAACCCAATAAATGACCTTAAATTGTCCTGGTATCTCCTCTTTGATCATACCTTGGGATTTCTTTGCCTGAAATTAAAAGGGCTGGTAGCTTATCTTACTTAAAAGACTCAAACCACAAGCCATGCTTGGAAAGTTGATAACCCCTGTAGCTGAGCCTTCAGTGCACACTTGTTACTCTAAACTTCATTTGTTCATGAGTTTGTCGTTAAAATTTCCAGAAGCCCGGTAAAGATAGGAGCAGCATTGTCTGTATCCTTATCTTCAGTGATAAATTTTTCTTATCCTGACTCTCCCTGCATGAACAACAAACAGATTTGGTAATCTAAGGAGCCCAACTTATACTAAAAAGTTCACCTATGTTTAACCCAGGTTTACATTACACCAAATCAAAAAAGCAGTCTAAGCAAGCCAGTGGATGGAACATGGGACACTTTTTAATGGGCTGGATGGGTAAAGTTAATTAAAAGAAGAATTGATGGATTGTAAGCTTGTGTGACAGAAAGCAAACTCAGCTCATCCTAACTCTCAGGGTGGGCTTTCTTGATCCTTATCAACTTGGATTGAACTGCCCAGGCTAGTTCTGTTTAAGCACCAAAAAATTGTCCTGGGTTCAACGGTTCAACCTTGGACAGAGTTAAGTGAATATTTTGTCCAGCATTGTGTAGACAGGATTGTGGAATGTTATTAAATGCAGTTCTTGTGAGAATTTCTAGTATTGATTTAAACCAGTATGCAATTTTTACATTGATCAATTTTGTAATAAAGACTGGTGAAGTGGATGGATTTTTCAATTTTCTTGTTTTTCCATATTGGAATGGTTAAAAAATGTAATTTTTGTTATTACTCTACCATAGGTCTTTGGCATGAATGAGCAATGGAGAGGTGGTGATATCGCCAATGGCCCAGGTGGAGGCCACAAGATCAATATACTAAAAAATGCTCTGAAAGAATATAAAGATGACAACAGCACCATTGTCATGTTTACTGACAGGTAAACTGGCACTCATGTGCCATACTTAGCCACAATTTATGTTGATATCAAGCTAATGATGATCATAAATAATTTTTGTAATCTGTCATAATTTCTGTCCTTCCCTTCATCCCCTACAAAAACAGTATGGTTCATTGCCCAACCATGGTTTACAATGGCCCTACCACCAGGCATGTAAATACAGGGAGTGTCACCCTCCTCCCAAAACTTTGAAATTCTTTAAATTAGTCAGGAATTAGTAAGAGCTATCATAGTTATAATCCCAATGCTTATATATGTTAGAATACATATCATAAAAATTTCTCGCCCTTCAACCTCCCAAAAATATCCATCTACTTATAACCCTCCCTCCCATGGTTGAACTGTGCTCCTGAAAGAGTTCTTGCCAAATGTAAATGAAAATGCCAGACTTTTGAATCTGGAGTCATTTGCCTTCAGCATGATCGCTGTAGCTATTGAAGGAAGTTGGTTTGTAAAGCAGTTCATGTGGTCAGTGTCAAGCCCACAAATGGCAATGTAACAGGAAAGTCACAACTCAACCTCTTAGTTTCTTTATTCTAAAATCATTGTCATCATCACAATCACCATTATTATCACTTTTATCAATCACAAGCATTTGTGGTATCTCTTATCTGATTGTGATAGAATAGAAATATAGTACAAATTCGAAGGTGAATCTTAATGATTTTTTTCATTCTTTTTCTTTTTCCTAGCTATGATGTTGTTTTCACTGCTGGAGCAGATGTCATCTTGAAGAAGTTTCTCAAATTTGATGCTAATATTGTTTTCTCTGCAGAAGATTTTTGCTGGCCAGATAAATCTTTAGCAGTAAGTTCTTATGCATTTGCAAATTAATAATCCCCTTCTTCTGCTCGATGCTTGAAAATATGGAAAATGTAATAAGATATCATTTTAATACAGTGGCTGAATGATGATATCATGGAATTATAATTTTGAGTTTTATATTTGGATTGCATAGCCCGAAAGAACACATGATATTCCAGAAGTTGTTGTCAATCATTTAAACCTGTTAGCAATTTGCTATGTTGTAGCCAGTGGAAGCCCTGTATTTTGTAAATGGATTGCTGCTGTTCTGGACTGGTTCATAAATTTTAGAACATATATATACTGAACTGCATTGGTTTGATAGGAAAAGGGATTTTGCTCATTAGGCCATTTCTCACTGGCATGTCATTTTTCATAGTTATTATTTGTACATTTTTAGATTTTTTCAAAAACAGTCTTTTCTTTTTTCCTCATAGTCTAGCTATCCAGCTGTTCCTGAAGGCTACAAATACCTATGCTCAGGAGGTATAAAGTTTACCATTGAAAGTTTCATTAATATATCAATTTTGGAATGAAATGTTATTAAAATGTTGAGGTGGTTTTTCTAGCCTGTAACACTTACACACCACCATCAGTCGTATTTCACTTTGCATGTGTCTGTAACTTTGAAGACCTCAAAGATCTACAATCTTTGACAGACCTTGTTGAGATTTTTCGATGTATTTAATACAACTCTTTGTGTTTTAGGCATAATTGGTTATGCAAATAATTTCAATCAACTTATCAACTTTGAGAAGGTTGGCAATACTGATGACGATCAGTTGTATTACACAAGGATATACCTAAAACACAGGGTAGGTCGTTTTGGCTTTTAACTTTGAGATTTAGCTTTTTACGATGTTTCATGTATACAAATCGATCTATGCAGGTAGTTCAAGACATTGTATTGGGACTATTTATCTTAACTCTAAACTGTATTATAAGTGGTGAAAAGAAGAACGAGACTCAAAGCTTCAGAACGCTGATATCCTGCTTTTGCTATGAATGCATTGACAGGGCAAACAATAAAGATTGCTACACATGCTTCCTAATAAACTATTTATAAAATTGCTGCATCAGTAGAGAAGCATTCCTTTGTCATAGCTTAACTGATGAATTTGCACAATGTCTCATTTGTTCTCTAACATTCCTTTGGAAATGATATAAAGATGCATTTGTAGGATTCTAGCTAGTGAAATAGTTAGTTCGTTAGTTAGACTTTTTGATGATAGATGATTTTTAATGCTGGCTTGTCCGCCTGCCCTATGAAAATTATGAAAATCCAATGAACAATCACTCCTGTTCCTATTCTTCTCCATTTATGGTGCCACCAATATTTCTACCCACCCTTCCTGTGTCTCTGCTGCAGAACTTTTTGATACATCTATAAATTTAAATCAAGGGCATACTTTTACAATTCCAGTCAATAAAGTATCAAAATTTGTAAATATTGTCTTCAAAGAATAATTTGCTTTGTTAATGATATTCCAAGAGCTTCGTGCTTTCACAATCTTTATGGAAATACCATGGTTTACATCATTCATTATTTTTGAAGGATTACTGATGAACCAGAAAGAATTTTTCTTTAAGCAACTCATCAAAAGCTTGTACTATCATTGTACCTTATATATCTTTTATGTTTTTTCCTTTCAGGATGAATTTAAGATCAAGCTTGATCATAAAGGAGACATCATTCAAAATTTAAATGGCAACTCAGGTAATCTGTATACTTTCTGAAATTATGCTGAAATAATTTCTAGCTTTTTTGCTGCTTTTGAAATAAAGTGGTAATTGACAACTATGTGAATTAAATGGGCAAAGAATGTGGATTGTATGGTATTGGCTGCACTATGTGAAAAGGAAATCAATTTACTCTTGCATATAAACAATCTTAGACTGGTATAAAATTAACGCATATCCAGTGCATGATTAAATCCACTAGAAGCCAGCCAGCTGTGATTCTCATCTTCTTTCATACTTGCTCCTAATTAAGTCTTTTCTCAGCACATTTGGGTTAGTATAATGCAATTAAACTTTGTGTAGTTGCTGTTTACTAGTCTGTTAAATAGTGCTTAATGGTCAAGTCTTATACTAAAGGTAAAGAACTTTCAGATGGCTCCGTTAAATTGCCTAGATTTGTTCTCCACTGGGCTATGTGCTTTGGCTACATCCAATTCTTTTTTAAGATAAATGCCATCTCTTTTTGTATTCTCTGGTCAAAAAATAATAACCATTACCATAACCGTTTTAACTCTGGATTCTAGAAGATGTTGAATTGACTTTCGATTCTAAGGATGTGAAGTTAACAAATACAAGATTTCAAACTGTGCCGGCTGTTGTCCATGGCAATGGGCCTAGCAAGGTAGCTTGTTTGTTTACTTATTTTATTTCTTGCTAAATATATACCGTAAATCCTCGAGTTGCCCCTCCCCTCCTCAAAAAAAATCTCCTCAAATAAACCCCCACCCACGAACTTCAAATTGTCAATAAGCCCCCTGGTATAAGCCCCTCCCCCTCCTCGAATAGGCCCCCATAAAAAATATCAAAATAAATAAGCCCCCAGGGGCTAATTAAAGGATTTGCGGTACATCAAAGCTCAATTTGTATCCATACTTAAAGGTATAATTGCAAAACAATTCTGTAAGTTAATTTTCAGACGCAAATTGTCAGTATTTTATGAACTGAAAGATTCAAAGAAAGCTGTGTTGAATGGCTTTCCATTATGTGCTAGTCTCGATGGCTGTATCATCTCATGATTTTAGCAACATATCACGGTACTGCTTTTTATGCAAGGCTTGTTGTTCAGAATCATATTAAATGAAAAGTTATAGGGTAAACTCGTAAATTTATATTTAATTATGTTATGGTACTAGGTGCTTTTTCTTTGGTTTAGGTTTTTTTGATTTGTTATTTGACAATTCGTTTTTTAGTCTATATTGAACCATTTTGGAAATTACCTTGCCAAGAGCTGGACATTTGATGCTGGCTGTATGAAATGCAATGAAAATACGTTCAATCTGAAAGACCTTAAGGTAAATATATCTTCTTATCAAAATTTGAAAAAACATTATTTTCAGAGTTAATTGGTTTGCAGATCGCCCAAAGGTTTGCAGATCGTCAAAACTTAAGTGAAATCATCATGTGAATAAAAGTAACTCTAATTTATTTTACCATTATTCCAAACTCCACCTTTGCCTTTACGAAAAAGCTATCTGGTGCCTCTTTTTGTCTATAGGAGTGAATTATCATTGTCATATTTATTTCCCATTCGTGCTCGTATCATGTACATGCGGGACTCCTTGTTGTCCGAATAGCCCAATGGAAGTCGATGTAAGAAATGAAATTTAGGGTCCATTGGCTTTTCAAAGGATTATGTTTAATGAAGTTCGACTTCCAGTGGCGAAGTCTGACCTTCCAGACTAGAGGGGTAGAGGTCGTCGAGTACAATTTACAAGAGTAAAATTCACCGACAAAGACAAAGATGTAGAAAATTTAGGTTCTATATCACCAACCGATGGGCGATTTTACCGACAAACTGAGGATTTCGAGGACGAACTTAAGATTTACCGACCAACTCTGGCTGAAGAACTGGAGGGGGTGTCACACCTACTTACAACCAATGAATACCTCATTAGACTTTTGGACATATCTTATATATTGTGCCACCTTGAATGCGATTTCTCCACTCTTACCCTGTAATTATTTTACTTCAAGTTATTTTTCTGTCTTCTTGCGTTATTTTTATGGCGGGAAATAGAACTTGCCAAGACCGCCGTCTTTCTTTCCGAGAAGAGATTTCTTTTATTTTCTTGCGGCGCACTAATGACCTATTCTGATTGTCTCTTTTAAAGGAACAAGAGTACCCCAAAGTTCTTATGAGCATGTTCATAGAGCGTCCAACACCATTCCTGCCTGCTTACTTAGAAAGACTGGCTCAACTGGACTATCCAAAGAAGAAAATCGACCTGTTTATTCATAACATCGTAAGTAATCAAGGCAAACCCTATTTGTTCTTGGTGCCTTTTAATTAAAAAACAATGGTAGGAATCATTCAATTTACTGGCGTATTTTCTAAAAAGTAAACACCTTATCTTATCGTCTTTCCCTTTCTCGTCGGCCATCAACCCTAATGGCCTAGGAGAGACAATCTGCCTTTCTTTCTTTGATCTAGATCCAGTATTTTCGTTGTGATATGCTGCTCACAGGTAGCCGTTTCTCACAATTAAAATCAGATCGTCTAGTTTATCTTTCCTGTACGCCTTGAATTTTGCCACACTTCCTGCAATCTACATATCTATTCGGTTCTGTGTTGTGTTAGCAATTAACTAAATATCAATCAAAGCCATTTGTTGTTGGGTGTTAATAATTTTAATTTTGCACTCATTTTATGACTGGGAAATATTAACGTCATTTAAGGTTTCAGAATATGGAAAGAATTACATAATAGTTCTTGGATAGAACTACAATAATATTTCTAAGAGACCGGTCATTATTTATGGCCAGGGTTGGGACCAAAGAGAAATGTTTTCTCCAGATATTTAGTTTATCCAACATAAAACCCATTATAAATTTTTTCTCCCAAACGATATCCCAGGCATATTTCTTCCTGCCTAATATAAAGCTAAAAATTGGAAATATAACAATTAAATGTAGCCTTTTCAGCACCTACCTGTGTGCCTCAATTATTGGTTTTACATCTATATATACCTTTTAAACTAAAAGATTACACTTTTAATGTAATTGGAATAAATTCCAGTTTCCTTCCAAAACGGGTACACACAATCAGAGAAAGACTATCATTGTCATCCTGGCCTTCTAATGGGAAGTTTCAGCTCCAAATTCTTCAACAAAAAGGTCTTTCTCAAATCACTATGAGACTTGCATCTTACTGTGTACATTTGCAAATTTTACAGCCATCCTGTCTGCTTTCTTCCCTTGTTTGCTGAGACCGTGCTTATTGAGGTATTTATTCAATTCCTCAACAGTCAGTGCTTTTAGTGCTTTCACTTCATTACTTAATCCAGCTAGTCATAGTCTTTGTTGTCCTCACATCTCTCTCTGCTGCTCTCTTATTTCATGCAGATTCTTTGTTGAAGGGGTTGGACTTTTAAAGTCATTTAGGGATTACCCACTATGCAATTTTATGTCAAAGTATATATTTATATAATTTGTTGATAAATGTTTTATTAACTGATAAACGCAGCTGTTGCTAGTTCTTAATCAGAATGTATTTATAGCACAAAACCAATATTCTATATACACTATTTTATGTCTGATGAAAGTATATTGAAAGATAGAAAGAAATTTTCGCGAAATTTGTAAAGCATCGTGAAAACTATTTGCACCTGATGGAATTTTCAATACCTTGTTGGTAATAAAGATTTTGTTGCATTAAACTACTCGAGGTCAGGTAGATAGCTCATTTTTTATCAAATGTTCATTTTAAATCAATAATTGTACCCAACCCTTTTTAGGCAATATTTTTCAACTACCAAACCAAAATCTGGTCAAATATTTTTGCCCAACTATTTTCTCTTCGGCCCCAACCCGGCCATAAATAATGACCGGTCTTTTTTTTAAAGAAGAAGTTAAAGAAGATATAAAGAAGTTATTTCTAAGAATCAGCTAGACAACAACATCAACGAAATTTTTGTAACGCAACTCAATGGTTTGTTGTGGTTCGAATTCATTGTTTTGATTGACCAATAAACATTGCGACGGTGTGCCCTTAAATCTCATAAACCAAGGACGTACTAGCATTTAAAGAATCATGTAATTGCTCTGCCGATTCAGAACACAAATCACAAGTTAGCCAATTTTTTTCAGGACACTTACCACAACGATGACGTCACTGCGTGGCTTAAAACCCACAATGATGAATACTCTTCCGTGAAATATCTAGGACCACATAGCTTTCTCAAGGAATATGAAGCTAGAAACAAGGCCATGTAAGTTTGTCAATTCTTGGTCTCATAGATGACCCTTTGCTTTGCTATCATAATACGAATGTTAATGACAACTGGTCCAACTTTTTTTCTTTCGTAATGTAAGAGAAAATGTCTGTAATTAGTCGTTTTTGAGTCAGCACTCGGGTTCTTCAGTGTCCTGTAAATGCTTTTTTGTCAGGTTACGAATACAGCAGCTTTCCCCGTTGCTCCCTCTAGTATCAAGCAAACTACTTCGTTTGTTGAACTTATTTTTAAAAAAGCTAAGCTTGACGTCACAATTGAGTGTTTTGCGAATGTAGCTTTTCAGGCCACTGTAGCAATCATATATTATTCAATAGTGATGTTTCGGGCTAAAAAACATGCCTAAAGTCAAATTAACTCTTTCCTTTGGCATATCGTCCACTCTATAGTGTCAAAACTAACCGATCCTTTCACAGACGGTCACCGAGGGGTAAGAAATATGTTGAAGAATAGATAAACGAAGGCACAAATATTTAACTATTTGCTTGTTACCCTCTCTCTTTATTCATTTGTGTAGCCCCCCTTCTTATTCATTTGAGTAACCCTCGTCTTATTCATTTGAACGTGCCCATGATGTTCTGTGGTTATTGGATTCTGCAATTGATCTGCATTTTGATGAACCATGGCCAATGATAAAGTTTTAATCAAAAATTTCGCATCCAGGTTCCATTGCAAATCCGTCAAGTGCGATTACGTTTTCGTGGTTGACGCTGACGTCACTTTGACCAACAAAGACACACTCAGAGTACTAATTGAACAGAACAGGTAATAATGTCACATTTTTACTCTCTATTTTTTCAGATCCCTATTTCGGTAAACAGCTGAAGGCTCATTTCGGTTTCCTTCTTAGTACACAGGAGGTTTATGAGATCGCCCTTGTTTTGAAAATGGAACCGACTCTTTGCTCTGTTTTAGGACAGTTCTTGCTCCTCTGGTGACAATTCATGAAAGACTATGGTCCAATTTCTGGGGTGCAATCGGCGAAGATGGCTATTATGCACGCTCTGATGATTACATAGACATTGTCAAGTATGACAGAATGTAAGCATGCCTTGCTTTGTGACATAAAACTTGTAACTGTCAAATGCACAAATAGTAAGAAACACATCTCAAATGTATCCTTCCGTGGTATTTCATATCATAATTTGATCAAAGTCATAATCGAAGTATTTAAAAAGTTTTTGCATCGCAAGGTAAGAGTACAGATTTAGCCCTCTTTCTTTCTGTTCAGTATAGTATGTAAGTAATAATATTTTTCAGATTTTGCTTTATCAAAATCGTTTTAAGGGTGATGTGTTTTTTCACTTTTTAGTGGTGTGTGGAATGTTCCATTTATCTCCAAAGCATACCTGATAAAATCGTCAGTCATTTCAGATATCAAATCAAATCCATTCCACAGTGAATTTGTTGATTCTGATATGAAATTTTGCGAAAATTTGCGCTCTGATGTAAGTTCAGTTCCATTCGTACAGTTTTATTTGTAATCATGATTAGTGATTTGACAGTGATTCGATTCCAGTGATTTTAATATGATTCCGTAAAAGTTTGTGTATATGTGTAATGATTATGAAAATAAAAGTTTGTCAGCCTGTCATATATTAAGCATGTATTAATGCATCGGTTTGCTTTTTGCCTTGTTCTAAGTGCCCCTATTATATCCTCACCTGCTCCTTTCTTGATTAACACCTTCTGATACCCCGGATTGATATTTATGAACCAAATAAAGTGTACTCTGATTATAGAAATAGTACCTGCTTCCTTATTGATGTAAAGTTTGCTGAAAAAGCTTTTTACCACCAAGTATCAAAAATCTCTTGGATGCAATGCTGAACACCATCATAATTCCACTGAAACCCCTGATTACGTCATCAAAGCAACTTAATTTGACCTGCAATTCACTCGCGATTCGCGTAGCCAATAAGCGACCACTAGCTGAATATCGATGTCCTTCGTGTATTTATTGCTGCTATCATAGATTACGCTATAGTAGATACATGAAAGTCTGTTGCTTGAATCTCCTTTAAAACCAGTTTATCTTAGTTATTTAGCCTATCCATAGTTGATGGCCTATCCATGTAATTGGTATGGTTTATTCCTAAATATTGATGCAATAAGACTGTCTCACTCTTAATTTGCAGGGAATTTTCATGTACATTACCAATATGGTTTATTTTGGACACATCAAAAATGTAGGGAATTACAGAACAGACATGAAACATAACGATATGTTTGAGCTCTTCGATAACCGACTTGTAAGTTTTCATTTTATTTCAAAATTCTGTCGAAAGCAAACCTTCTGAAGCCATATTTATCTGATAAACAGGGGGTATCTGCTTATCATTCTAGGACAAAGTACAAATACTTCTAATTTTTGTGAAGCAAAAATATTGAGCGAGAGGATAGACCAGTGTCAAATGAGCGTTAGAAAATGTTTTGTTAATGTTATATTTTGTTTGAAGCCACTTTTGCTTTAATTTACATTTTTCCTTCCATGAATTTTTCCATCACTGTTGCTCGTTTCCTTTTATCACGTTCACGTGTGTTGTTATTTTTAAATATTACGTTTGGAATTAGCTTGAGATTTTGACAGAGACAGTGTCACCCTGTGGTTCTGGGTCTCGAGCTCAATTTTGCCGTCAGAAACTTCAAACTCCACAGGAACTTTAAAAACAGATTTACAAGGACAAAGAAATTCGAGAGAGCATTACTCTTGTCGTTTTTATGCTTATTTCCTTATCCTGTTTTCTTTAAATTGATATTTTGAATTTTTTCTCCTTTTTTAGGACTGGGAAAACAGATATTTGCATGAGAATTACTCAAAATACCTTGATGTAAACCAGCCCGTTCCTGAGGTATCATTTGAATTAAATTCCTTTTTTTGCATTCGAATTTCGCCAAATTTAAGTTTTCACAATTTTTCACATCGAGATATCACAATTTCCGATGACCACAAGCTTTGTAGTACAGTGGAACGTCCATTAACTAAAGTCTTTATACTAAACCTTTGCGAAAAGCAGACAGATACTTGTCTCCCAAATGGTCAAAACCCTCTTAACGGACCCAGTTTTCGCTTAGTTTGCCATTGTTCTTGGCTGCATTATCTATCAGATTTGTATGAAATGTCCTCTCTAGCTTGATATTACTGTCAAGATTTCCATACCTCTGTTAGTAACTTGTGTAACCGTGAGTTACGTCTTGTTTAATTTGTTGTTCCCGCCGCTGTTCTTTACTCTGCATTGATTAAACAATTTGTTTCACATTAGACGCACACCATTGTTGAGCTACCTTTGAATTATATGACAATACTTAGGAGAATGAATATATAGCGATTTAAGCGTATAGAAATAGCTAGCCTTAAAACCAGTTTTTAACATTTTAAAATTCTCTTTTGTTTTTTTTATGTTTATTTTTATTGAACCTCCTTTTTTGTAGCCATGCCCAGACGTGTATTGGTTTCCCTTTATGAGTGTCAATTTCACCCAAGATCTCATTGAGGTAAGAACAGCAGTAAGTTTTTTTGTCGTATTGAACTAGCTTTAAATTATCTTTAATATTAATATCATATATAGATAATGTGCATATCAATTGTCTATGGTCAATTATATTTGATAAGTTCTTTTACCTCAGATGATTCTCCTGTTGATGAGCGTAATCCAGGAGCTATGGAAGAATTTCTGCCCACTGACCTTCTTCCATATTGATTAAAAGCCTGTGTTTTCTTTTAAGGAAATGGAGCATTTTGGGAAATGGTCAGGTGGTGGCAACAATGTAAGTTGATATGTGTGTAATTGCACCTTTAGTTTTCCACTCAATATGAATAAACATTGTATGTATTAATATTAATATTATTATTTCACCTTAGAATAAACAGGTAAAATTTTCTGTCATGTAAATACACTTGGTTAGCAAAAGTATTGCACCACCCGCCAAAAATGACAGCACCGCCGCCAACTCTTTATAGCAAACCGAAATTCAAATAGCTATAGCAAGGTAAATAGGAGATTTAAGATGACAGTTAGAATGGAAATTATTAGAAAATTTACCAGCAATGAAAAATGCAAAATGCAAAATCATTCTTTGTTTCTTCTTATTTTTAAGCCATATTGACCACTGTGAAACACCGTGAATAAGCTTTCCGTCAGAGAGACTTCTAAATTAGTATTGTATCACAAAAATATTCAAAAAAATTTATTGTAGATCTTTCACGACAATGTTGACTTCATTTGTTCATTTATTTGCGTCATATTAAATTATTTCTTTGTAAAGACGTGTTGATTGTCTTTAATATTGTCCATTTCAGCCCACAAAAGATGAACGCCTCAATGGAGGATACGAAAATGTCCCAACAGTGGACATTCACATGAATCAGGTAAGAGATTTGCAATATCACGTGATCGTTGAACCGATTGTTTATAATGGAACAAAACCATTGATAATAACGAAATACTTGGAGTAGTGATAGAATGGCAGTTTCAACAAGATTTTGAATAACGAAGATCTTTGTTTTCTAACATTATTCGTTTTAAGATTGTATTTTTAAGAGCCTCGAAAAAAGAAATATTTCTTTCAACACAACAAGGGAGCCATTTTCACTTAGGCCCATCAATTTTGCTTTGTCGTCTTAATTTGTGTGACGATTTAAAGAAAAAAATTTGTATATTTCATCGTTTTAATCTTCAATAAGGCTTTCAAATTTTATAATGCTAGCCAGAGACATAGGAATTTGCTTGATTTCTGTACGCAGTCAAACTCTCATAATTCGTTCTCCACATTATTCGAAATCCACATCAAAGAAAATGGTAGTTTCTTGAGACCAGCATTAGTGGCAGAGATAACAAAAAGGAAAAAATCTTAGTTTGAATCAGGAAAGGTTATAATTATCTAAAATCGACTGTCTTTTCGGTTTTAAAATGCCAATCTACGTGTTACACTTGGAAACTTGTAAATACTGACTCGATTTTTGATGTACCCCCATAGATTGGTTTTGAAAAACACTGGCTCCGAATCCTAAAAGATTACATCGCCCCAATGACGACAAGACTGTATGCTGGATACTTTCCTGACGTAAGTACACACTTCATAGGACGTTTTGCCATTGAGTGAACTTTTTACAGCATATTTTTAACTGTCATTTATTTCTTAGCATCGCGTTTGTTAAAATCAGGATAGTTGAACAGCGGGAGCTAAATTTGTTTAGTGGAGGGGGCTGAAGATAAATTTTCTGATCGACTCTGATATTGTTCCAAAAGAGTTCTGAGAAGTTCAGCGCTGTAGGAGTGGCCCTTTGCCCACCAGCCACTGCACTCTTTAACGAATAGTATAGCGAATCGAGATTATTGGAGGGCGTAGTCTCTTTATTGATGACAAAAAAAGACCGCTTTTTACCCTGCAGTATTGTCTCTTACAGTGTTTTTGCAAGGGTCCTTTACACCCTTTTAAAACCCTTTATGCCTTTCCAGAAAATTCCGGTCTTATTTTTGAATACTGTTTTGGAAAAACAGTGATCTGACAGCACGCCTTTGTTATAATAACCAAACAGGTCAAAGTAGGGTAAAGTAAACCAGAAATGGAATAGGAAAATCTCCACATTTGGGTGCGTTATGTTATGTTTGGATTGTAGGAATTTGTGTCTAATGACATGTTTTATTTTATTTTATTAATCATGATATGTTTTTGCTATAACATAATAAAACCCTTCAAGGGACACTCAGTCTTTCGATAGATGATGGCCTGCCACTTTCAGGGTAGATTTTATTAAGAATTTCCGGCAACATCTTGTGCAGGTCTCTCTAATTTCCACAAAGGCTGTGTAGACCCTAGATACTCTGTGACTGAATCGCAAACAGACGGAGCATGCTTGGAATGGGGTTATTATCCAGTGTTTGCTATTCCTTTATAGGGTTTGATAAGAATTTTTGTGGGGCACATTTCCTGATATGAAGAAAGTTGAGAGTGTTAAACTCTCTTAGTCCCAACTAGTTGTCTTTAGATCTAATTCCCGATACTAGCTCAGTGACAGGGTTTTGAGTTTTCATCAGTCACGTTTAGATAAGAAGTCCTTATTCTGTTTTGTAATTTTACTCAAGTTCTCATGTAACCAGCCAAATAGTCCTTCGCAGAGATGCCTTTCATTATCCACGGTACCCCCTTACTGCTGTTAGCATCCAGCGTCGTATCTCATTGACATTCGCCATTTTTTGTTCCAGTCTCGTGCCATCATGAACTTCGTCGTAAAATACACTCCAAATGGACAATATTTCCTCAGGCCACACCATGATTCTTCAACATTTACGATCAACGTTGCCTTGAATCGCCCAGGAATTGATTACGAGGTAACTGTTTGCAATATTTAGGGTTTACAGTATTTTAATATTGGGTTTCTCGAGTTGACTTTGCCATTTGTAATAAACATATTTATAGCTATCCTTAATTCCTTATTGTTTTAACTGAATTGCCTTAACTAAGTTTTTTATTGTATTTTCTTGCCTATTGTTACGCTATTTTGTCGCCTTTTTTTGTTGCAGTTTCCCTTCCAACTGAAGCTCTATACTAATATATATTCATGAAATTATGGGGCAACTTTGATTGCTTTTTTTACTTTAGGGTGGTGGAAGTCATTTCCTTCGATACAACTGCACTGCTCCACCCAGTGTTCGAGGCTGGACGCTAATGCACCCTGGACGACTCACTCATTATCACGAGGGACTGCCAACTACGAGTGGGACCCGCTACATTTTGGTCTCTTTCATTGATCCTTAGGCATACTATATCATCATAAAGGATGGGTTTATTTTTGTAATTCAAAGCGACCTAGGGCAAGTAAACCAAGGAAACTGCAGTCTCGAATGTACCGAAAACATGGCCTTAATTGAAAAAACCTGGTCAAAATGCCCTTAAGACAGAATATTTTTTATAGGTATTTCATTTTTATTACATTAACCATTTATTTAAAGAGAAGTTAGAAATAAAGCTTTATATTCTTTAGGTTTTGTAAAGAAAAATTATATCAAACTCAATTTATCGTTGACTTTTTGTATATTTTCGTTTCTATTTAGTTTTTACTTTAAAATAGATTCGTTTTTAGAATTTTCGCTAAATTCTAGTTGTTTTCCACTTTTGATAGTGTTTTGATTTTTGTATTTTTGATATTGTGCAAATGTTGTCGTTTCTTGCTTTTGTTTCTACATGGGGTAGTAGTATGATAAATGTTAGCTAATGAACTAGATGAAGATGAACAGTTTCGTGTAGGCCAAAGTTTTCGGGTTCTATCAAGTCTTTATATGTGACTTCCTTTTCAAAAACATTCATTTCATTGGGGATTTAAGTTCTCAAAAGAGAAATCATGCACAACATCCCCACGAGGACAGATTTCTAGATTCTGCAATCGAATCCCGTGATGATATGCTACCCCAAGTGAGTTAAATTCCTCTGTTGCCACTTAAGATGCCTCCTGGGAGTTTCTAGGGCAGGTTCTCTTGGCACTATTCGTTTTACTTAGCAAAAGGATGCCTAGTTTCTGGCCTAAGGGTGCGTTGCAATGTTTATTAGTAATTACAAGCTTGAAGTTTTCAAGTCTTGATAGAGCAGTTTCTGAGAATGCTTAAGTGGAGATTCCAGTGATCCATAGACTGCAATTCAAAAGGTATGTCCATTTTTAAAATTAGGCCCGTTCTAACATATTCCCTTTTTAACTGTGACTTCCTTTCGTGTCAGTTTGAAGACGAAGCTCTCAGCAGTTTTTAATTTAAAACAAGTATTTTAACGACTAAGTTTTGAATTCGCTTGTTTCTTTATGATGTTTCTATTAGTATAATTGTCATAATGTACGTAAAGGGTTAAGGGCCTTCGATACAGCTTTTTGGGACGAGAGTTTCAGCAAATCGACGAATGTTTCACTGAAGTACATCAAGAATAGCCTAATAATCAATTCGATGTAATACATTCTAAACGTTTCATCATAAATCGCAATTCAGATGTACAGTTGCTTGATGATCACATTAGGCATCAAACATAGCGGCAACTTAAAGCTGTAGCTTAAAGCGACTCTCAGACTACGTAAACACGATTAAGAAGCTGTAACTTAAAGCCGTAGCACGTGCAGTTCTACTGCCTTCACGGCATCGAGCACTATACGACAGACCAATAACAGAAATTTTCATTAGATAAAAAATTCTAAATTTAAGAGACACTCAGAAGACCATTCAAAACGGTTTTTGCTGTAACCATGTACCCTGTCGCACCCCAGTACCCCCAATGTGTCGCAAGCTTGGGAAGACACTGTTAATGTTTGTAAAAGAAACTAAGGTTTAATATGTGCCAGCGAAGTTAAGAAAGAAAGTAAGGTTTAATAAAAATAATTCAAGTAGTTCATTTGAAAGGGTATTCAAAATTAAACGGGGACTGCTCCATCCACGAAGGCAAGGAACCTCCTCTGCAACAATACATGATAAAACCGATAAATATATCCGTTGCCTGTACATGCAGCCATTACTCTTTGGATAGAAATGAAACGAACGAAAAGTGTCCTCTTCGTCCATAAAAACAACTTTGTTACAAAGTCCAGTAAATTGGTCAACCTTCCTCCAGGCAAAAAAATCTTACTATAAACCTTCCTCATTCTTAATGAGCTTAAAATGAACGTGGTCAGGAAATAAGTGGTACTCAATGAGTGTTCTTGTTCTCAACCATAGATATTTTTGACACAGATCAATTAATAACAAAAGGGTATTTATAAAGGTTAATAAATTTTATTTCGATCTTTTTAAATTTCTATCTGACTGCATTTTGAGAACAAAAAGCAATACGATTTTTTCAACCGCCCCAGGTTTCTAAATTTTTGGTCAGCTTCCTCAATTTCTTCAAGAATAACCTTCCTCCGGCTAGTGGCCGTTGGGCCGTGATGTTTCCTTGACTTAACACTTTTGCAGGTTGCTTTACATTGAAATACCAATTACAAGCGACAACGGATGGTTGAAGGCATATTAGGCATTATACGGTTCGGCAGCAATGACGTATACAGTTAACTGAATTCAGTTAACAGTGTGGTAGAGACTTTTTCAAAAGCCTTGAACAATAAACCTCTCCTCCAAGTCAAAGATAGGAATCCCTTCCTATGATATACCGATTCAACTACCATTTAATGCCTACTTTTACTGTGAGTGAAGAATTACACCCTTTGCCAGAAATATCAAGATCTTGTTACAACCCCGCCCCCCCCCCTTTTTTTCTGGGAAAGAAGACCTATGTTTATTCGCGTGGAATTGCATAGCACCAATGAAGGATAGCTCACCCACATTGGTGGCAAATGGAACCTAAGCCAGACCCTCCTCCCCCCTCTGATCACAAAAAACTAGCGACAATTGAAACTTAGCAGATGCAAGCAACTTAATTTTACCAATCAATTCTGAATCAAATTGATTTTAATATTCGAATCATTAAAACTTACTAGCACTACGCATTAAGAAGTCACTCTGACGTCAAAGTTTGGAATCATTTACTGAATGGAACTGGTTGTGAATGATCCCTTTCGTTCGTCGATCGACCATGTAGGCATTATAAAAATCGGCAGCTGACACTACCTTTTTGTATTGCATCTGCAGCCGAGATACCTTTAGCCAGCCATCCTGAAAAACGAATTAAAATCAGAAGAAAAAAATTTAGTAAACATCGAGAATTATTCGCAGTTTACAGCTTTTAAGAAGGACTCATCACATCGTGAGCGGACGTGAGGCCTCTTAATGGCTGCTATGTTATGCGATGCTGGGGGACCAGACCTTCACTACCCCTGCAGCCTAGTCTCACCCACAAACTCCATCAGAACCGCTAGTCTTTTGTTTTGTTAACAGATCACAGGTTGCTCTATCAAATGTCAAGCAAAACAAGAATTACAACAAACTAACGTTTTACAAAAAAGTATTTGTTATTAGCTTTTTCAAAATCAAAAAGAAGACAAAATAAAAGAGGATGAGAATCGAAAAGACAATATTTTTTCTCAAATGGACGGTTATTACGATTTCTACACAGTTGAAGGCACATGCTCACAGTTTACTATATCCATACCCTCCAAAGGGTTACTCACAGAAAAGGGTGTTTCCAGTCAGCAGGTATTTACCAACAGAAGCAAGAGACAAAAAATTTACGAAGAACTGGGTATATCTGACTTACTGTGCATTTGATAAACAACTCCTTTGTTTTTCTGTCGAACCAAGCTTCGCCGGCATTGCAAGATATTTCCACTCTCCGCTCTATCGGTTCAAAACATTGTCAGTATAAAGTTCGACTGTTTTTTCTCTAGACATATTGCTTTTCATTACTTTCCTCTATAGGTTAGTCAGCTAAATGAAAGCTAATTCAATAAAACTTATCAAGCTACAGGATAAGATGATACATTGCTTAGAATTACGATCGATGTATCTAATTTAACCGATATAGGGCGTGTGTTGGTATTATGATGGTGGGTTTAGCTATCGTTGTTGTCCTAATTGCCTTATTAAAAGATTTTAAGGAAAGAACATCTAAAACATTTTTGCCACTATTCCAAATTTTGTACACCTATTTTACACAGTATCAAATCGATATAATTTGAACTTTGGTCCCATGTTTGCAAATGCTGCTATGAATTCAATTTGAATGAATATTTTCGGCATGAAAGTTGGATTTCAAGCGCATAAAGTGCACTCTCTTTTTATAAGAACCAGATAATTTCGGCTTAGGCTCGATTTTATTTTTATTTTGGCAATTTGAGACAAAAGTGTTCTTAATGTTGTTTCTTTTTCAAAAAGGAATTTTTCTACTACTACATAATTTCTTAAGGCCACTAAACAAAAGTTTTGTATGACATTGATTTGCAATTTGCAAAATCTGCAATTTTTGCCAACATGAGAGAAGACTTTAACAAAAACTCATTGTTGTTTACTTCAAATTTTATCACCTTAGGCTTGTTGCGTTCTTACCATGTTCTTATTTTATGGGAAATGAAGCCTAGGTGTTCTAATAAAGGGTATTCTTACAAAGAAAAAAGAAGCGCATGTTTCTGAGAATTTTCAGCCAATTCTTTCTAGCGCAGGGCATTTCGAGCCTTATAAAAACACAAAACATCATACCAAAAGTCTTGCACTCTTCCTTTCTCAGAACTGTGACGTCAACAAGCCTTATCAGTTTACCAGCGAAAAGCGTGTGTAAGCCAATCTACACAAAGAGACAATAAATTATAAGCTTATCGAGAAGATATAGGAACATTGTCTAATCTCAAAATACTTTATCATTCCTTTGCTTAGAAATAGTCGGCATATCTGATATTATTTCCTTTTAACTAGAGAAAAATGTTAAAGCATAGTTAAAGTAAGAGTATGTTAAGGTTAAAAATTGTAACATTTGTTTTTCAATCTGTACCTGACAAGAAGTGAATCATATAGCATTGATGGCTCTACTTCATTAAGAAGAATAGTAACCTCTAGCTTCACTCAAATATAGCAATTACAAAATAAAGCAATTTAACGACCAGGGGCGTACCTTGACGATTTGGAGTGGGGGGTGTAAACGGGTGAATTTACCGACCAAATTCAACTCTTGTAAGTCAATGTATACACACCAATATACTATATAAAGTCAAGTGTATCACCCAACCCCCCCCCCCCCCACTTCCCGGTAGGTACGCTCCTGCTAACTACAAATACTTGGTTTTAAGAAAAGGACCTCGTTGAAAACAGCAGCTAGCGTATTAAGGGAGTTACCCTGCACAAACTTTGTTTTTATTATTTATCATTATTATAACAGAAAGTATACTATCTTCAATTTAGGAATTCATAATTCCTTGGAACAATGCGTGGCCGAAAAAGCGAAGAGAACTTGTTTGTGTGCAGAGAAACGTGATAGGACTGGGTCCACGAGCGGCCTACCTTGTGACCAATTGCTCTGTGCAGTCTGTCGATGTAAGAAGAGCTATCCGTGTCCCATTTGATGTAACTCAAGTCTTTGTTGATTTTAGGGGCTGTACATAGAAAGGTATGTTCACATTACAGTTCTTCTACAGAAATCTTATATTTATAGATAATTATTATTTTATGTATCTATATAGCTTTTATATATCATTCTTATTTGTCTTTCATTATTTGATATTTTACATGAAAAAACATTTCAAGACTAAGATTCCATAAATATACCAAAATGCGTGCGGTACAATATGATGAATTTGAATAACGATCAATGTAAGTAAATTGTACCAGGAAAAATTTTGTTTAAATAATTAACAGATACTAGACTCAGACATAGATTGTAGACTAAGATACTAGCAAAAGGCAAAATTCCGGAAAACGTACTTGCGACATTTTTCAAGCATTGCAGAAAGAGTAGAGTGGAGAAGAAATCAAGATTTGATCAATAATAGCCGAAAACAATAACGAATTAAATATAGGATACAAGAGATGCAAGAAACATTATCTTTTCTTCTCAAGCAAATACCAACATGTGATTTTACAGATAAATTTAAAGGTTGTTGAAACAGTTATGTCACGGAAGAGAGTTAATCATCTCGGAAATAAAGTTATCGCTTTTTCCTTTCGTGTGATAAATAAACTTGATAACTCCTTAGTAAAATGCACAAGAGAATTTCCCAGTACTGAAGTTTCTAGATTTTTTAGACATCAGGCAATGCAAGGCCCTTTAAGATTCCGCTTAGGAAAAACCTTGATGAAACCACAATAGATCTACAATCCCTGTCAAAAGTCTTACCGTTGGATAAATTTCAGAAAATGTTCTTTTGCACCACCCTTCCCCCGCCCCCTGCGAACAATGTTGTTAACGTAATTTTCATAGGTTTTGTTTTGTCCCATTGATTTTTTCGGGTTTTTAGCATATTCAGCTCTACAAGCAACATTGTTTAGGGGGGAGGGGGTGCAGTGTCGTTGTTTTCCAACGGAAACTGTTGATTTTTGAAAACTTAACAAAAAAACACTTGAAGGTGATTAAGGCAATTCCCAAACAATAATATACAAATAGCTTTGATGAAAACATAGGCGTACTAATGTTTTGAATAGTTGCAATTAATATTTCATTCATTTTTCCTTTAAAAGTCAAAGCATCATGTCCCTACCACCAGTGAGATATCTTAGCGGCCTTAATTGTTTTAAAAAGTTTCTGGTGAAAAAGTGGGGTGCAAAGAGAAACGCATGATTGGCAATGAACAAGGTCATGATCTATTTGATACTTAACCATATGATGCGCCTTCCTCTGGCTGTGTGTAGGCTCTGGCTGCATAATAATCATAATCGTCAATAACATCCATTATCTACAAGAGAACAGTCAAGACGAAAGTGGAGTGGACTGAACATTCTATTTGATGACGTCATTCAAATTTTCTAATATAACTTATTTGTCGTATCGGTGAAAGTTGAACCAAAGATGATGGCGTGTTTGGTCTTCACTGCATAATCTTAACTTGAATGGAGGGAACTAAAGTGATGAATCAACGTGATAAAGTTTGATTCAGTTGGTAAAGAGTTCAATCAAAGGTTTCTGTGCTCGTTTAGGGTGATAAAGGTATAATTTTCTTGAAAAGATTTAATCCTGAAAAATCATAAGAAAATTTACGGTCTTTGCAGAACCATCACGCGGCTGTATCAATATAAATATTATCGTCTTGATTTTGAGTATAAAATGCCATAAGTGATATTTAAAACAGGAACGCTGAATCACAGATCTGAAACAATTATCCCATATAAAGAAAATGATACCGTCAATTGAAAGATTAAAAATGGGACGTTATCTCTGAGTCATGCAGAGATATCGTGGCAGGGGGTTGGAGTTGGCAAGAAAAGGTTGGAGGGGGCTAAGCCAGAAATCCTTAACATAATTCACTTTTAAGGCAAAGAACATAGAAAAAAACCTCACCATTTTTCCAGCTAGGTCACCAAGCCTTTCTGTTAATATTTCATTACTCCAGGTGTCATCGACCTGCAGATCATTTTAAAGACAACAGAATCAATGATAGGTTATGACTTATTTCTTTTCATGTATCGATTTATTCTGATACACATGACTACATATCTTATCAGCTCATAAATTTATCTTCTTCCAAGATAGTAGATCCGAAGAACAACAAATAAGACAACGACCATCGGGTAATTCCAGGTACTAACGAGAACAGAACTCGATAAAATGAAATAATTGGCTCAAAGCAAAATGCATTTGCTTCAATAGCTGTAAAATAGCCCTACCTTGGGCAATAATTGCAACTTCTTAAAGAGAAACAGCGACACTGTTGTGAAGCATCTATGAATATCTTTTTAAACTTAATCACATACAATAAGGACTCACATTGATTTCAGTCTGGGTAAATATTCTTCCCTTATCGAATCTAATGTGAAAAAGAAAAAAAAGCAAAATAGATAATAAGATACAAAACGAGAAAAGGGGTGGAAATTCAGAAAAGGCAATATTTGCTATTGTATTAATGAAATAAAGTTGAGAAGAAAATGAAACATACCTTCCAATTGATAAATCAATAATAGTGACACCAGTCTTTTCCTCGCCATTCAAAATTGTATGTATAATTGGGGCTGCTCCGCGCCATTTTGGTAATAGTGATGGATGTGCATTTAATATGCCCCTGCAAGACAGAGTAAATTAAAGACACACTGTATACATAGTTCAAAATAAGATCAAACCTGTAAAGATTATTATTTTAAAAAGAACAATCCAAATAACTACTCGAATATTTTGAATAAATTGTACGGTACTATCAGCTTGTAAACTCATTGATTTAAAAGCTTTAATGATGTTTACTGCTCTTAACATGTATATGCAAATGGTCCATAACTTTTGAACCAAAGAAGTTAAAGATATGAAACATGGTGCAAATTGAAAGTCTCGGTACCAGCTACAATTGACAGGAGACAGGCCGTATTTGGGTGTGTACCAGACGACTGGTGCAAGTGTAAAATATGGGACCAAGTGGAAAGTGGTCGATATTTGGTGTAGTTGTGATTCCCGAAGAGGCTTGGTGGTACCTATTACGGTTGCACCGTTATGTGCCAAAAACCAAAAAAAAGGAAAAAAATGGAGTGCATCCAAATTGTTTTAGCCATAACTTTGAACCAGCAGTGGTACCACTTTAAAGACTAGCTTATCTTGGTGCTATTTACAAGGACTACCCATTGATGAAATTTGTTTTCAGATTGGGCGTGGCTTTGACGTCAAATTTTTTATTTCGGCTCTCGGATAGTAAGAATTAATATCTTTTTAAACTTACACTATTAACAACTTGACAGTGAGGGCCTGTGGTCTGAATTGATTGTCCTATTTCCTTTGTGCTAAAATGTGCCAAAAGTTGGTATGGTTGTTTCAAAAAAGTTGAATATGACGCCATTTTTTGTCCCAAAGTTGAAAATGTAGCAATTTTGGACGTTTTGGCACATATCTCTGCTAATAGCTGGGGCACTTCAGTATGCTATGGCTCATATTGAAGGGTGTGTGAAGTCGGTCAGTTTGATGTATTGGCTTTTGGATTTGGATGTGGCTGTGACGTCATAGCTACGTCGCAATGGAGAATTTAGACTCATTTTCAAAAGTTCATTTCTTTTTGAGGAAATAAATGTTATTGTGGGTAATATATGCAAAAGCTAGGCAAGTCAATGTTATTTCATGGTGCAGGGAGTATTCTGCTATACCTGTCACAGTTGTCCCAGTATTGGCACATTTGTAATGGCCAGTAATTCAAAACTCTTTAGGGCCATAACTTTTGTCATATATGAGGTACTTCAGATATTAATTAATAATTATTGTCATACAAAACGGAAGATCTCGTCGAGACAAATCGATTGGTGGTATTGGTTATGGGGGGTATCACCCAGTAATGGCGTCACTATACCTGTTGAACTTTTGGTGCTTTGCAATATTGGTATGCATAATTGTTTTGATTAGGTTTGATACTCTATTTTGTGTTGTGACTTTTAAACCTGGCATGTAAATTAGCCTTACAAGATTAAAAAATTAGCTGAGATTAACAACTCAAATGATAAATTCATGCAAAAACAAGATTCTGAGGCCATAAAATGTCAAACCTGTTAAAGCTCTGAATAACCTTTTTTGGGATAAGATGTCCAAAAGAGGCTACAACTCCAAAATCAAAATTGATCAGCTCCCTGAAAAAGGAAGGCATTTCTTGTTAGATTTAGAAAATCAGAAATCTTGGCAGCCCTACCAGGCATGAACCAAACTGTATCCTAGTTTAAGCTTAAATCCTGGCATGGCATGATTTTTGTGCTACTTGACTCCAGTTTCACTAACAAAATGCTAAATACACTATGTATAGACCATTTGGAGTTCCCAAAGACGATAGTGGTCGATTGAGGCTGCTATTCCATTTTTTCATTGTGAAACTTCTATAGAGCAGAGAAAAATACTTTTAGAATGAAAATCTGAACTTTATAGATTGAAAGTGGACCTTGTTTGAGCTACAAAGGAATTTACAAAACAAGATGATTAAGGCTGCCATTGTATTTATTGTGGTTTTTGCCCCTTTGTGTCATGATCTTGCCAACATCAAGATTGTCTATACTAGCATAAAAGAATACTAAGTTGCTGGTTAGTCTCATTGTATTCCTTAAAAGCTTGGTGATAACAAGGCATTATCTAACTTTTTAGGGTCTCTGTTCCAATAATGAACTAACAGCCTCTCTTTTTGCACATAATCAATGAAGTCATTTGAAATCTGCTTCTTCTTTTCCTGAAAAATAAAAATACAACTTTCATACTTGTGGAAAAATAAATTCATAAACAGGAAAGAATCCTAAGCTTACAGAAAAACGGATTACACCGCAGATTTAATGTACCTGACTGTCAACCCTCACCCAAATTTTCTGCTATTTCTGAACCTTTTTAAATGTTCTGAAAAAAGTTGCTTTTTGCAGTTTTGATAACTACACTTACGTTCAAAAAGTATTGGGACACACTTCGAAACTTTGAAGACATTTTATGCAACAAATTTGGAATGACTTTTTTAAAATCCTTCTCATTAAAAAAGAACGGCAGCTATTTCCATGAAATTTTCACAAGACATTGTTGATATTTTGAAGCCTTTTATGTACGCCAAAAAATTAAAAAATCATCGACCATAAAATTTCTATAGGTCTCGAGACGAAAACATGGAAGCTCTGAAAACTCAAGAACTGAGTTAAGAGAAGCGCTTACAAATTTCTTTCTACTAAAATAAAGCAAATGGATTTCACGATATTGCATCAATTGTCGGCTGCTCATTAAGTGCAGCTTTTCTGGTGTGTAAAAAGTTTTTTGGTACAAGAACAGTAAAAAATTTACCAAGGGTTGGCAGACCGAAGAAGTTTACGACACCGAGGGACGAGAGTTCTTTACTAAGGGAACTGCAAAGTAATAGGTTTGAATCCTTACCAGACATCATGTTGTCATGTAAAAAGAAGCTAAATAATGGAACATAAGCAAAAACATGGCTATAAAGTTATGAAAAATACAAATTTTCCAGCGTT